GCAGCATTCCAAAAGACGTATTAATACACAGAGATGACATAGTATAGTAGATACAGTCATACATAAAGAAATGACTTTTAATCATTGGCATTAACGTATTTATTTAAAATTCAGTTAAAACAAATTTAACATATATTACATGAGCAGGTGAATTTAGTAAAGCGACGTCGAATATACAAGACAAAATTATTCTCGTAATGCAAATCGTTCACAGAGGCAGTTCTACTTTAAGGTAGTATTTTTTTACTCGTGGGAAACTTTACAACAGGAAACTTCAATTTTTTCTAAATTTTGCATAATTATTGGATACAAAATCCCGCGGACACAGAGTGGAGACTATACAGAATATAATCTTGGTCGTCGGCATCTACGATGTTCTGCGTGCCTACTCAGTTCACTCTATACTACTCGTGGTTTATTCAGTGGCGTAGCCAGCCTGACGATTTAGTCATGCTATGCAAATTTTATGGTATTATCATTATTCATTTCTTTACAAATTTATTGTTTTTACAGTCAATGAACACCAAAATATTAGCATAGCATGACTAAATTGTCGGGCTGGCTACGCCACTGGGTTTATTTGTTTTCAGTCTCGTTATATCAACTTAAAGTCTATACTTTATGAACCGTCTTTATATTGGGCCTACTGATGTATTCTGCTAAGTTTAAAAATGTTCACAAATAAACGATGAACAAAAAAAAATGAATGACGAAATTTCACACACTTTGTAAAATGTTTTATTATGGTTAGCCCTAATTCTAAATCCGTCTATAAAATGGATCTTTATCTAACGTCAAGCATTAAATTCATGCATTTAAGAATTCCTCGAAATGTAACCTCGTTCCCAGGACTTCCAGAAGTGGCCGAAGTAAAGATCTATGGTGTAGAATATAAAGTATACGAATATGTATTTATTATTGGTCTGTGCAATGTTTACGGAACAAGTTAGTTACCGCCGTGCCTGAAAGGTAGAAAAGAATTTCAGAAAAGCCTTCCTGTATCTTCTATGTCTTAATGCATATACGAAGGCATTTGCAATTGAGTTTATACCAATCAGTTGTAAAACAATATGTATTGCGAGTTTAGAAACCTTAACGTCATCCGAGAAACACATGCAGCGGCAAAATGATCGAAGCAACATAATGATAATATATGGAACAAAACAACATGTCAGAATAGCGAAGATAATGGCAAATGTTTTTACTGCTTTCAATTCTTTTACGATGTGATGTAACCAGGCTATGTATTGCTCGCTCGATCGCTCCGTATCTTCGGAGTTTGATTTTTCTTCGCGTTCTTGTGCTGGTCGTTGTTGTTCATCACTACTCTGTGTTGGTCCGGCCGGCTGAATTTCTTCCAACTTTACTTCCTCAGACTGTAGCCCAGTTTCTGAAGCCATTCGTTGTCGCTGTTCTCGAACGATCTTCAATATCTTGTAGTTTAGAAATGCAATGATAGCAATAGGAGTTGGCAATAGAAATATGTGAAGCAACTCGAGTAATTTTTGTTCAGATTCCTCGCCCGTCACGTAGACAGAAACGAAAACTGAAAGCAAGGACGCTGCAACCAGCCAAATACAGCGGATAGCTACCTTAATTCGTCCTGATGTTAAGATGAATGGGTATTTCAGAGGCTTTCCTATGAACACGTATCTATCAACGGTAATGAACAGCAGAAACATTGTGGAGAGAAGAATCAAAACATAAGTTGTTGAATAACCTATCTTCAAATTTTCGATAGCGTCGTCTTGATCATGCAGAAAGAACTTGGCGATTTTTCTTGGATAAAGTGATAAACAGACCAAAAGATCAGCAATTGCAAGGTTCGTAACCAACCAGCTGCTTGAAGTTTTGTCTTGGTTCAGATATATGTTATAAATAATGACCGCCATATTTCCCAATATTCCAATAATTAGGAAGAGGATATTAAATACCAGAAAGATCGGCAAGAATTCTTCGTCATCTCCAGGATCATCAGTTGAATTGCACATTTTGCTTCTTGCTCGGTTTTCGTTGTCGACCGTATAGAGCTAGCCTGCGCGCAGACAAAAGTGCCCAAAAACATCTGGTAACACTTGAAACGTTGGCGACCTTTGTAGACAAAACTTCAGTGATCCTGAAAGAGAAGACTGCGCCATAGCGCAAAGCACAAACTGGAGTTCAACAAATTTAGCCATTCAAATTTGGCGCCAGGAAATTTTGGTGAATTGAAATAGAAAAATTATAATGACTACGGTCGTCAAGCGAAAACCCACTTCTTTAAAATTAAAACTTCCGAACAAAGATATTTTGTTTAATCTCAAAGTTTATAAACATAATACCTCTAATGCATTTGGAAAATATTTCATTTATTCAATGGCTTGATAGGGATTGTGGAATGCGTTGTCAAAAATGTCGTCTACATTGAACGAAATGGGTGAGGTATTTGCAATTTTTATCCGAAAACTTAACGAATTCTTGACGAAAATCAAAGCTGTGATTACGTAATTTTTCTTTACATAATTTATTCCCGCGTTAAGGTGACCAAATGATATAGAAGCCGGTATTAAGAATGAATAATAAGTAACTGGCCGCCAATATTTGTTGTCTGTTTTATTAAGATTAGCTCTAATCCTAAATCCATCCCCTAATCCTAATCTACTGTCAAGCATTAAATTTCGTGTATTTAGGAATTACTTGATAATTATTGCGTGATATCCTCAATGTAACCTCGTTCTCAGGACTTCTAAAAGTGCCCGAAGGAAAGATCTATGGTCTAGTATATAAAGTATATGAATATTTACTTATTATTAGAAGGGTTGGTCTGGCAATGTTTAGGGAACAAGTTAGTTACAGCCGTGCCCGAAAGTTTAAAAAGAGCTTCAGAAAAGCCTTCCTGTATCTTCTATGTCTTAATGCATATACGAAGGCATTAGCAATTGAGTTGATACCAATCAGTTCTAGAACAATACTCTTTGCGTCTTTAGGAGCGTCGTTCAAGTGTCTAACACATGTGTCGTCGCAAAATAATTGAAGCAACGTAATGATAATATATGGAACAAAACAACATGTCAGAATAGCGAAGATAATGGCAAATGTCTTTACTGCTTTCAATTCTTTTACGATGTGATGTAACCAGGCTATGTATTGCTCACTCGATCGCTCCGTATCTTCGGAGTTTGATTTTTCTTCGCGTTCTTGTGCTGGTCTTTCTTGTTCATCACTACTCTGTGTTGGTCCGGCCGGCTGAATGTCTTCCAACTTTACTTGCTTAGACTGTAGTCCAGTTTCTGAAGCTATTCGTTGTCGCTGTTCTCGAACGATCTTTAACATCTTGTAGTTCAGAAATGCTATGATAGCAATGGGAGTTGCCAATAGAAATATGTGAAGCAGCGCCGATGTAGACAATGCAGATTTTTCACCCGTCACCTCGACAGAAACGAGAACTAAAAGCAAGGACGCTGCAACCGGCCAAATACAGCGGATAGCTACGTTAATTCGTCTCGATGTTACGATGAATGGGTATTTCAGAGGCTTTGCAATAAACACGTATTTATCAACGGTAATGAACAGCAGAAACATCATAGAAAGACAAGACGAAACACCAGATGCGAATAAACCAATCTTCCAAACTAGATCTTCATGCAGAAGGAAAAAGAGAATTTTCGTAGGATAAAGTGTTAGACAGACCAAGAGATCAGCAATTGCAAGGTTAGCAACCAACCAGTTGCTTGAAGTTTTGTCTTGGTTAAGATACATGTTATAAATGATGACCGCCATATTACCCAATATTCCAATAATTAGGCAGAGGAAATTAAATACCAGAAAGATCAGCAAGAATTCTTCGTCATCTCCAGGATAATCAGTTGAATTCCGCATTTTGCTTCTTGCTCGGTTTTCGTTGTCGACCGTATAGAGCTAGCCTGCGCGCAGCCAAAAGTGCTAAAAAACATCTGGTAACACTTGAAACGTCGGCGACCTTTGTAGGCAAAACTTGAGTGATCTTGAAAGAGAAGACTGCGCCATAGCGCAAAGCGCAAACTGAAGTTCAGCAAATTTAGCCATTCAAATTTGGCGCCAGGAAAATTCGGTGAATTGAAATAGAAAAATTATAATGACTACGGTCGTCAAGCCAAAACCCACTTCTTTAAAATTAAAACTTCCGAACAACAACATTTTGTTTAGACTCAAAGTTTATAAATATAACAGCTTTAATTATGCATTTAGAAAATATTTAATTTATTCAACGGCTCGATAGGGATTGTGGAATACGTTGTCTAAAATGTCGTCTACATCGAACGAAATGGGTGAGGTATTTACAATTTTCATCCGAAAACGTAACGAATTCTTGACGAAAATGAAACCTGTGATTACGTAATGTTTTTTACATAATTTATTCCTGCGTTAAGGTGACTAAATGATATAAAATGCCGGTATTAAGAATGATTAATTCCTATGAATGGCACAATAAACTGTAATAAAACTTGGAACTATAACTACGCCGCCTTCTTTGATGCCAAAATTGAAGGTGGTTTTTCTGAGTTTTTGAATGTTTGAGACTGGCTTAAAATCTTACTATCTTGGATGTTTTAAAATAAGTAAAATAAATTCATTTGGCAATTGTTAAAAAGAGTGAACAGGAAACAGAGTAAATAACTCAGTTTTTTGCTTCATATTTTGGTATCTACGAAGTATAGTGCTGAGCTATAGAAGTTTTTATTCGAGGTTTTGTTACAGTTTACTGGAATAGCGTAAGTATCTGGCTGTCATATTATTTTTTGTCTGTTTTATTAGGATTAGCTCTAATCCTAAATCCATACCTAGTCCTAATCTAATGTCAAGCATTAAAATTCGTGTATTTAGGAATTACTTGAAAATTATTGCCGGGATATCCTCAATGTAAACTCGTTCCCAGGGTTTCTAGAAGTGGCCGAAAGAAAGATCTATGGTCTAGTATATAAAGTATATCAGTGAATATGTACTTATTATTGGTCTGTGCAATGATTGCGTTACAAAGTTAGTTACAGGCGTGCCCGAAAGGTAGAAAAAAACTTTACAAAAGCATTGCTGTATTTTCTATGTCTTGATGCATATACGAAGGCATTTGCAATTGAGTTTATACCAATCAGTTGTAAAACAATATGTATTGCGAGTTTAGAAACCTTAACGTCGCCCGAGAAACACATGCAGCTGCAAAATGATCGAAGCAACATAATGATAATATATGGAACAAAACAACATGTCAGAATAGCGAAGATAATGGCAAATGTCTTTACTGCTTTCAATTCTTTTACGATGTGATGTAACCAGGCTATGTATTGCTCGCTCGATCGCTCCGTATGTTCGGAGTTTGATTTTTCTTCGCGTTCTTGTGCTGGTCTTTCTTGTTCATCACTACTCTGTAGTGGTCCGGCCGGCTGAATTTCTTCCAACTTTACTTGCTCAGACTGTAGTCCAGTTTCTGAAACCATTCGTTGTCGCTGTTCTCGCGCGATCTTTAAAATCTTGTAATTCAGAAATGCTATGATAGCAATGGGAATTGGGAACAGAAATGTGTGAAGCAACTGTAATGATTCGTGTTCAGATTCGTCGCCCATCACGCGGACAGAAACGAGAACTATAAGCAACGACGCTGCAACCAGCCAAATACAAAGGACAGCTACCTTAATTTTTCTCGATGTTATGATCAATGGGTACTTCAAAGGCTTTGCAATGAACACGTATCTATCAACGGTAATGAACAGCAGAAGCATCGTAGAAAGAAAAGACAAAACACGAGGTGCCGATAAACCTAACTCCAAATTTAGATCTTCATGCAGAAAGAAAGCGAGAATTTTCATTGGATAAAGTGTTAGACAGACCAAAAGATCGGCAATTGCAAGGTTCGTAACCAACCAGCTGCTTAAAGTTTTGTCTTGGTTCAGATATATGTTATAAATGATGACCGCCATATTTCCAAATATTCCAATAATTACGAAGAGGAAATCACATACCAGAAAGATCAGCAAGAATTCTTCGTCATCTTTAGGATCACCAGTTGAATTGCACATTTTGCCTCTTGCTCGGTTTTCGTTGTCGACCGTATAGAGCTAGCCTGCGCGCAGCTAAAAGTGCCCAAGAACATCTGGTAACACTTGAAACGTCGGCGACCTTTGTAGGCAAAACTTCATTGATCTTGAAAGAGAAGACTGCGCCATAGCGCAAAGCGCAAACTGAAGTTAGCGCCAAGCGAAAAAATTCAGCGAAAAAAATTGGCGCAAAGAAATTTCAGCGAATTGAAATAAAAATAATTATAATGACGAAGGTCGCCAGCTAAAAATCTACTTTTTTAAAATTAAAAGTTCCAAACAACAACATTTTGTTCAGCCTTAAAGTTTATAAACAAAACGGCTCTAAATTATTTAAAAATATTTAATTTATTCAACGGCTCGATATGGATTGTGGGATACGTTGTCAAAAATGCCGTCTACATCGAACGAAATGGGTGAGGTATTTACAATTTTCGTCCGAAAACGTAACGAATCCTTGACAAAAATGAAACCGGTGATTACGTGATGTTTTTTACATAATTTATTCCTGCATTAAGGTGACCAAATGATATAGAAGCCGGTATTAAGAATGAATAATCAGTAACTGACCGCCATACTTTGTTGTCTCTTTTATTAAGATTGGCTCTAATCCTAAATCCATCCCCTAATCCTAATCTACTGTCAAGCATTAAAATTCGTGTATTTAGGAATTACTTGACAATTATTGCGAGATATTCTCAATGTAACCTCGTTCTCAGGACTTCCAAAAGTGCCCAAAGGAAAGGTCGGCGTTAGATCATATCGAACTAACGTATATGACGTCATAAATTTTGCAATAACGGAAGTATAATAACAGAAGTCTTACATGAAGTCTTTCTAGAGCTGGTTCATAAAAATGATAAAATAAAAATGGCGATGAATGATGATACATTTATACATTTATAAATGTACACGAAAGTGTAAATGTCTGTTACCCTCATACCCAGTATAGGAGTGATCATATACTTATGTAATAGTATCTCTGGCTTTACCTTAATTACGGTTAGGGTTAGGGTTATTGAAAATTTTAAATTTTATGACGTCATGTACGTTAGTTCGATATGATCTAACGCCGACCCAAAGGAAAGATCTATGGTCTATAGTATATAAAGTATATGAATATTTACTTATTATAAGAATGGTTGGTCTGGCAATGTTTACGGAATAAAGGCTGTTTTCCACTTACGCGTTTTTCATACGCACGTACACGCAGGTAAAAGTCTAAATCCTTGTACATGTTACCTTTGAAAAAACTAAGTGATTAAATCAAAGGGACTTATTTTTTTGTATATTTTAGTATGCATTAGTTGACCTAGATGTTAAATAATAAAAATTTAAAAGCATTCAAATGTTTCCGTACGTGTACGTGCGTATAAATAACGCGTAAGTGGAAAGCAGCTTTAAGTTAATTCAGGCGCGCCTGAAAGGTAGAAAAAAGCTTCAGAAAAGCCTTCCTGTATCTTCTATGTCTTAATGCATATACGAAGGCATTAGCAATTGAGTTTATACCAATCAGTTCTAGAACAATATCCTTTGCGTGATTGTTGCGCGGGAAACACGTGCAGCAAAATGATTTAAGCAACATAATGATGATATATGGAACAAAACAACACGTCAGTATAGCGAAGATAATGGCGAATGTTTTTACTGCTTTCAATTCTTTTACGATGTGATGTAACCAGCCTATGTATTGCTCGCTCGATCGCTCCGTATGTTCGGAGTTTGATTTTTCTTCGCGTTCTTGTGCTGGTCTTTGTTGTTCATCACTACTCTGTGTTGGTCCAGCCGGCTGAATGTCTTCCAACTTTACTTGCTCAGACTGTAGCCCAGTTTCTGAAGCCATTCGTTGTCGCTGCTCTCGAACGATCTTTAACATCTTGTAGTTCAGAAATGCAATGATAGCAATGGGAGTTGGCAATAGAAATATGTGAAACGGCTTCAATTGCAATTTATTATATACCGATTTTCCGCCCACTATGTAGACAGAAACAAAAACTGAAAGCAAAGACGCTGCAACCAGCCAAATACAAAGGACAGCTACTTTAATTTTTCTGAATGTTACGATCAATGGGTATTTCAAAGGCTTTGCAATGAACACGTATCTATCGACGGTAATGAACAGCAGAAACATCATGGAAAGAAGAAGCAAAACTAAAGTTGCCGAATATAAACCAATCTTCATTGATTGATCTCGGAGAAAGATCTTGGCAATTTTTCTCGGATAGAGTGTTAGACAGACCAAAAGATCAGCAATTGCAAGGTTCGTAACCAACCAGCTGCTTGAAGTTTTGTCTTGGTTCAGATATATGTTATAAATGATGACTGCCATATTTCCCAATATTCCAATAATTACGAAGAGGAAATTTAATACCAGAAAGAGCAGAGAGAATTCTTCGTCATCTTCAGAAACGTCAGTTGAATTGCACATTTTGCTTCTTGCTCGGTTTTCGTTGTCGACCGTATAGAGCTAGCCTGCGTGCAGCTAAAAGTGCCCAAAAACATCTGGTAACACTTGAAACATTGCGTTTGTGTTCAGCTAAATGAACGTTACGTTGGCGACCGTTGTAGACAAAATGTAAGTGATCTGGAAAGGGAAGATTGCGGCAAAGCATAAACTGGTTGGCGCCAAGAGAAAAAAATCAGTCACTGAAGCTTGACGCAAGGAAATTTAAATTTTATACCTCCAATTCATTTAGAAAATATTTAATTTATTCAACGACAAGCTCGATATGGATTGTGGGATACGTTGTCAAAAATGCCGTCCACATCGAACGAAATGAGTGAGGTATTTGCAATATTCGTCCGAGAACCTGACGAATTCTTGACGAAAATAAAACCTGTGTTTCGGTAATGTTTCTTTACATAATTTATTCCTTCGTTAAGGTGACTAAATGATATAAAATGCCGGTATTAAGAATGAATAATTCGTATGAATGGCACAATAAACTGTAATAAAACTTGGAACTATAACTACGCCGCCTTCTTTGATGCCAAAATTGAAGGTGGTTTTTCTGAGTTTTTGAACGTTTGAGACTGGCTTAAAACCTTACTATCTGCAGTATCTGGGAATGTTTTGAATTAGTAAAATAAGTTGATTTGCTAATTTTTAGAAAGAGTGAACAGGAAACAGAGTAAGAAACTTAGTTTTTTGCTTCATATTTTGGTATTTACGAAGTATAGTGCTGAACTATAGAAGTTTTTATTCGAGGTTTTATTACAGTTTACTGGAATAATGTAAGTATTTGGCTTCCATATTTTTCGTCTGTTTGATTAAAATTAGGTCTAATCCTAAATCCATACCCTAATCCTAATCTACTGTCAAGCATTAAAATTCGTGTTTTTAGGAATTACTTGACAATTATTGCCGGGATATCCTCAATGTAACCTCGTTCTCGGGACTTCTAAAAGTGCCCGAGGGGAAGATCTATGGTCTACTATATAAAGTATATGAATATGTACTTATTATAAGAAGGGTTGGTCTGGCAATGTTTACGGAATAAGTTAATTCAGGCGTGCCCGAAAGGTAGAAAAGAGCTTCAGAAAAGCCTTCCTGTATCTTCTATGTCTTAATGCATATACGAAGGCATTAGCAATTGAGTTTATACCAATCAGTTCCAGAACAATATTCTTTGCGAGTTTAGGAGCGTCGACTTCGTTGTCCGAGCGTCTGTCATATGTGTCGACGCAAAATGATTGAAGCAACATAATGATAATATATGGAACAAAACAACATGTCAGTATAGCAAAGATAATCGCAAATGTCTTCACTGCTTTCAATTCTTTTACGATGTGATGTAACCAGGCTATGTATTGCTCCCTCGATCGCTCCGTATCTTCGGAGTTTGATTTTTCTTCGCGTTCTTGTGCTGGTCTTTCTTGTTCATCACTACTCTGTGTTGGTCCGGCCGGCTGAATTTCTTCCAACTTTACTTGCTTAGACTGTACTCCAGTTTCTGAAGCCATTCGTTGTCGCTGTTCTCGAACGATCTTTAACATCTTGTAGTTCAGAAATGCAATGATAGCAATGGGAGTTGGCAATAGAAATGTGTGAAACAGCGTCAATTTATTATATTCAGATTTTCCGCCCACCATGTGGACAGAAACAAAAACTAAAAACATGAACGATGAAGCCAGCCAAATACAGCGGATAGCTACCTTAATTCGTCCTGATTTTACGATCAATGGGTATCTCAGAGGCTTTGCAATGAACACGTATCTATCAACGGTAATGAACAGCAGAAACATCGTAGAAAGAAAAGATGAAACACGAGATGCCGGTAAACCTATATTCCAAATTAGATACTCATGCAGAAAGAAAGCGAGAATTTTCATTGGATAAAGCGTTAAACAGACCAAAAGATCAGCAATTGCAAGGTTCGTAACCAACCAGCTGCTTAAAGTTTTGTCTTGGTTCAGATATATGTTATAAATGATGACCGCCAAATTTCCCAATATTCCAATAATTACGAAGAGGAAATTAAATACCAGAAAGATCAGGTAGAATTCTTCGTTATCTTCGTGTTCATGAGTTGAATTTGACATTTTGCTTCTTGCTCAGTTTTCTTTGTCGACAGTATAGAGCTAGCCTGCGTGCAGCCAAAAGTGCCCAAAAACATCTGGTAACACTTGAAACATTGCATTTGTGTTCAGCTAAATGAACGTTATGTTGGCGACCCTTGTAGACAAAACATAAGTGATCTGGGAAGGGAAGATTGCGCCAAAGCACAAACTGGTTGGCGCTAAGCGAAAAAAATCAGTCACTAAAGTTTGGCGCCAGAAAATTTAAATATTATACCTCCAATTCGTTTAGAAAATATTCAATTTATTTAACGACAAGCTCGATATGGATTGTGGCATACGTTGTCAAAAATGCCGTCTACATCAAACGAAATGAGTGAGGTATTTACAATTTTCATCTGAAAACCTGACGAATTCTTGACGAAAATAAAACCTGTGTTTACGTAATATTTTTTAACCTAATTCATTCCTGCGTTAAGGTGACTAAATGATATAAAATGCCGGTATTAAGAATGAATAATTCGTATGAATGGCGCAATAAACTGTAATAAAACTTGGAACGATAACTTCGCCGCCTTCTTTGATGCCAAAATTGAAGGTGGTTTTTCTGAGTTTTGGAAGGTTTGAGACTGGCTTAAAATCTTACTATCTTGGATGTTTTGAAATAAGTAAAATGAATTGATTTGCTAATGTTTAGAAAGAGTGAACAGTAAACAGAGTAAAAAACTCAGTTTTTTGCTTCATGTTTTGCCGGGCATCTACGAAGTATAGTGCTGAACTATAGAAGTTTTTATTCGAAATTTTATTACAGTTTACTGGAATAATGTAAGTATTTGGCTTCCATATTTGTCGTCTGTTTGATTAAGATTAGCTCTAATCCTAAATCCATCCCCTAATCCTAATCTAATGTTAAGCATTAAAATTCTTGTATTTAGGAATTACTTGACAATTATTGCCAGTATATCCTCAATGTAACCTCGTTCTCAGGACTTCTAAAAGTGCCCGAAGGAAAGATCTATGGTCTAGTATATAAAGTATATGAATATTTACTTATTATAAGAATAGTTGGTCTGGCAATGTTTTCGGAACAAGTTAGTTACAGCCGTGCCCAAAGGGTAGAAAAAGCTACAGAAAAGCCTTGCTGTATCTTCTATGTCTTAATGCATATACGAAGGCATTAGCAATTGAATTTATACCAATCAGTTCTAGAACAATATGCTTTGCGAGAAGCACGTCGTTCGAGAAACACATGTGCCAGCAAAATAATTGAAGCAACATAATGATAATATATGGAACATAACAACATGTCAGAATAGCGAAGATAATGGCAAATGTCTTTACTGCTTTCAATTCTTTTACGATGTGATGTAACCAGGCTATGTATTGCTCGCTCGATCGTTCCGTATGTTCGGAGTTTGATTTTTCTTCGCGTTCTTGTGCTGGTCTTTCTTGTTCATCACTACTCTGTGTTGGTCCGGCCTGTTGAATGTCTTCCAACTTTACTTGCTCAGACTGTACTCCAGTTTCTGAAGCCATTCGTTGTCGCTGTTCTCGAACGATCTTCAATATCTTGTAGTTCAGAAATGCAATGATAGCAATGGGAGTGAGCAATAGAAATATGTGAAGCAGCACCAATGTAGAATATGCAGATTTTTCGCCAGCCATGTAGACAGAAACGAGAACTAAAAGCAAGGACGCTGCAACCAGCCAAATACAGCGGTTAGCTACCTTTATTCGTCTCGATATTACGATCGATGGGTATTTCAGAGGCTTTGCAATGAACACGTATCTATCAACGGTAATGAACAGCAGAAACATCGTAGAAAGAAAAGACGAAACACCACATGCCGGTAAACCAATCTTCCAAATTAGATCCTCATGCAGAAAGAAAGCGAGAATTTTCATTGGATAAAGTGTTAGACAGACCAAAAGATCAGCAATTGCAAGGTTCGCAACCAACCAGCTGCTTGAAGTTTTGTCTTGGTTCAGATATATGTTATAAATGATGACCGCCATATTTCCCAATATTCCAATAATTAGGAAGAGGATATTAAATACCAGAAAGATCAGGTAGAATTCTTCGTTATCTTCAGGATAATCAGTTGAATTCCGCATTTTGCTTACTACTCAAATTTCGTTGTCGACCGTATAGAGGTAGCCTGCGTGCAGCCAAAAGTGCCCACAAACATCTGGTAACACTTGAAACGTCGGCCGACCTTTGTAGGCAAAACTTCAGTGATCTTGAAAGAGAAGACTGCGCTATAGCGCAAAGTGCAAACTGGATTTAGCGCCAAGCGAAAAAATTTGGCGAAAAAAATTGGCGCCAGGAAATTTCGGCGAATTGAAATAAAAAGAATTAAAATGACGAAGGTCGCCAGCTATAAATCTACATTTTTAAAATTAAAAGTTCCAAACAACAACATTTTGTTCAGCCTCAAAGTTTATAAACATATTTCCCAATATACCAATAATTACGAAGAGGAAATTGAATACCAGAAAGATCAGCAAGAATTTTTCGTCATCTTCAGGATCACCAGTTGAATTGCACATTTTGCTTCTTGCTCAGTTTTCTTTGTCGACCGTATGAAGCTAGCCTGCGTGCAGCTAAAAGTGCCCAAAAACATCTGGTAACACTTGAAACGTCGGCGACCTTTGTAGGCAAAACTTCAGTGATCTTGAAAGAGAAGACTGCGCTATAGCGCAAAGCGCAAACTGGAGTTAGCGCAAAGCGAAAAAATTCGGCGAAAAAAATTGGTGCCAGGAAATCTCGGCGAACTGAAATAAAAATAATAACAATGACGAAGGTCGCTAGGTAAAAATCTACTTTTTTAAAATTAAAACTTCCAAACAACAACATTTTGTTCAGCCTCAAAGTTTATAAACAAAACGGCTCTAATTCATTTAAAAATATTTAATTTATTCAACGGTTCGATATGGATTGTGGGATACGTTGTCAAAAATGCCGTCTACATCGAACGAAATGGGTGAGGTATTTACAATTTTCGTCCGAAAACGTAACGAATTATTGACGAAAATTAAACCGGTGATTGCGTGATATTTTTTACATAATTTATTCCCGCGTTAAGGTGACCAAATGATATAGCAGCCGGTATTGAGAAAGAATAATCAGTAACTGGCCGCCAATATTTGTTGTCTGTTTTATTAAGATTAGCTCTAATCCTAAATCCATACCCTAATCCTAATCTACTGTCAAGCATTAAAATTCGTGTATTTAGGAATTACTTGACAATTATTGCGTGATATCCTCAATGTAACCTCGTTCTCAGGACTTCTAACAGTGCCCAAAGGAAAGATCTATGGTCTAGTATATAAAGTATATGAATATTTACTTATTATAAGAAGGGTTGGTCTGGCAATGTTTACGGAATAAAGGCTGTTTTCCACTTACGCGTTTTTCATACGCACGTACACGCACGTAAAAGTCTAAATCCTTGTACATGTTACCTTTGGAAAAACTAAGTGATTAAATCAAAGGGACTTAGTTTTCTCCATATTTTAGTGTGCAATAGTTGACCTAGATGTTACATAATAAAAATTTAAAAGCATTTAAATGTTTCCGTACGTGTACGTGCGTATAAAAAACGCACAAGTGGAAAGCAGCCTTAAAGTAATTCAGGCGTGCCGGAAGGTAGAAAAAAGCTTCAGAAAAGCCTTTCTGTATCTTCTATGTCTTAATGCATATACAAAGGCATTAGCAATTGAGTTTATACCAATCAGTTCTAGAACAATATGCTTTGCGTGTTTAGAAGCTTTGTGCGAGAAACACGTGCAGCGGCAAAATAATTGAAGCAACATAATGATAATATATGGAACAAAACAACATGTCAGAATAGCGAAGATAATGGAAAATGTCTTCACTGCTTTCAATTCTTTTACGATGTGATGTAACCAGGCTATGTATTGCTCGCTCGATCGCTCCGTATCTTCGGAGTTTGAATTTTCTTCGCGTTCTTGTGCTGGTCTTTGTTGTTTATCACAACTCTGTGTTGGTCCGGCCGGCTGAATGTCTTCCAACTTTACTTCCTCAGACTGTAGTCCAGTTTCTGAAGCCATTCGTTGTCGCTGTTCTCGAACGATCTTTAACATCTTGTAGTTCAGAAATGCAATGATAGCAATGGGAGTGAGCAATAGAAATATGTGAAGCAACACCAATGTAGAATATGCAGATTTTTCGCCAGCCATGTAGACAGAAACGAGAACTAAAAGCAAGGACGCTGCAACCAGCCAAATACAGCGGTTAGCTACCTTTATTCGTCTCGATATTACGATCGATGGGTATTTCAGAGGCTTTGCAATGAACACGTATTTACCAACGGTAATGAACAGCAGAAACATCGTAGAAAGAAAAGACGAAACACCACATGCCGGTAAACCAATCTTCCAAATTAGATCCTCATGCAGAAAGAAAGCGAGAATTTTCATTGGATAAAGTGTTAGACAGACCAAAAGATCAGCAATTGCAAGGTTCGCAACCAACCAGCTGCTTGAAGTTTTGTCGTGGTTCAGATATATGTTATAAATGATGACCGCCATATTTCCCAATATTCCAATAATTAGGAAGAGGATATTAAATACCAGAAAGATCAGGTAGAATTCTTCGTTATCTTCAGGATAATCAGTTGAATTCCGCATTTTGCTTACTACTCAAATTTCGTTGTCGACCGTATAGAGGTAGCCTGCGTGCAGCCAAAAGTGCCCAAAAACATCTGGTAACACTTGAAACGTCGGCCGACCTTTGTAGGCAAAACTTCAGTGATCTTGAAAGAGAAGACTGCGCTATAGCGCAAAGCGCAAACTGGAGTTAGCGCCAAGCGAAAAAATTTGGCAAAAAAAATTGGCGCCAGGAAATTTCGGCGAATTGAAATAAAAAGAATTATAATGACGAAGGTCGCCAGCTATAAATCTACATTTTTAAAATTAAAACTTCCAAACAACAACATTTTGTTCAGCCTCAAAGTTTATAAACATAGCAGCTCTAATTCATTTGAAAATATCTAATTTATTCAACGGCTCGATATGGATTGTGGGATACGTTGTCAAAAATGCCGTCTACATCGAACGAAATGGGTGAGGTATTTACAATTTTCGTCCGAAAACGTAACGAATTCCTGACGAAAATGAAGCCGGTGATTACGTGATATTTTTTTACATAATTTATTCCCGCGTTAAGGTGACCAAATGATATAGAAGCCAATATTAAGAATGAATAGTCAGTAACCGGCCGCCATATTTGTTGTCCGTTTTATTAAGATTAGCTCTAATCCTAAATCCATCCCCTAATCCTAATCTACTTTTAAGCATTAAAATTCGTGTATTTAGGAATTACTTGACAATTATTGCGTGATATCCTCAATGTAACCTCGTTCTCAGGACTTCTAACAGTGCCCAAAGGAAAGATCTATGGTCTAGTATATAAAGTATATGAATATTTACTTATTATAAGAAGGGTTGGTCTGGCAATGTTTACGGAATAAAGGCTGTTTTCCACTTACGCGTTTTTCATACGCACGAGTACACGCACGTAAAAGTCTAAATGCTTGTACATGTTACCTTTGAAAAAACTAAGTAATTAAATCAAAGGGACTTAGTTTTCTCCATATTTTAGTGTGCATTAGTTGACCTAGATGTTACATAATAAAAATTTAAAAGCATTTAAATGTTTCCGTACGTGTACGTGCGTATAAAAAACGCATAAGTTGAAAGCAACCTTTAAGTTAATTCAGGCGCGCCCGAAAGGTAGAAAAAAGCTTCAGAAAAGCCTTCCTGTATCTTCTATGTCTTAATGCATATACGAAGGCATTAGCAATTGAGTTTATACCAATCAGTTCTAGAACAATATCCTTTACGTGATAAGCCTTGTTCGAGGACGGGGAACATAAGTCCTGGCAAAATGATTTAAGCAACATAATGATAATATATGGAACAAAACAACATGTCAGAATAGCGAAGATAATGGCAAATGTCTTTACTGCTTTCAATTCTTTTACGATGTGATGTAATCAGGCTATGTATTGCTCGCTCGATCGCTCCGTATGTTCGGAGTTTGATTTTTCTTCGCGTTCTTGTGCTGGTCTTTCTTGTTCATCACTACTCTGTGTTGGTCCGGCCGGCTGAATGTCTTCCAACTTTACTTCCTTAGACTGTAGTCCAGTTTCTGAAGCCATTCGTTGTCGCTGTTCTCGAACGATCTTTAACATCTTGTAGTTCAGAAATGCAATGATAGCAATGGGAGTTGGCAATAGAAATGTGTGAAACAGCATCAATTTATGATATGCAGATTTTCCGCCCATAATGTGGACATAAACGAAAACTGAAAGCAAGGACGCTGCAACCAGCCAAATACAAAGTAAAGCTACCTTAATTTTTCTGAATGTTACGATCAATGAGTACTTCAAAGGCTTTGCAATGAACACGTATCTATCGACGGTTATAAACAGCAGAAACATCATGGAAAGAAATTGCAAAACTAAAGTTGCCAAATAACTTATCTTCAAAATTATGAAATCACGGCGCGCAGGGAGAAAGAAATCGGCTATTTTTCTCGGATAGAGTGTTAGACAGACCAAAAGATCGGCAATTGCAAGGTTCGTAACCAACCAGCTGCTTGAAGTTTTGTCTTGGTTCAGATATATGTTATAAATGATGACCGCCATATTTCCCAATATTCCAATGATTACGAAGCGGAAATTAAATACCAGAAAGATCAAGTAGAATTCTTCGTCATACTCATGACCAGTTGAATTCCGCATTTTGCTTCTTGCTCAATTTTCGTTGTCAACCGTATAGAGCCTATAGAGCTAGCCTGCGTGCAGCCAAAAGTGCCCGAAAACATCTGGTAACACTTGAAAAATTGCGTTTGTGTTCAGCTAAATGAACGTCGGCGACCCTTGTAGACAAAACGTAAGTGATCTAGAAAGGGAAGATTGTGCCAAAACACAAACTGGTTGGCGCCAAGCGAAAAAATTCAGTCACAAAAGTTTGGCGCCAGAAAATTTAAATATAATACGTGAATGCCTCCAATTCATTTAGAAAATAATTTAAAATTTATTCAACGACAAGCCCGATATGGATTGTGGGATACGTTGTCAAAAATGCCGTCTACATCGAACGAAATGAGTGAGGTATTTACAATATTCGCATGAAAACTTAACGAATTCTTGACAAAAATAAAACCTGTGTTTACGTAATGTTTCTTTACATTACTTTTTTCTTAGGTTAAGGTGACCGAAGGATGTAGAATGCCGGTAAAGATGAATAATTCGGATGAATGGCGTAAGTATCTGGCCGCCATATTTGTTTGTATTTTGAAATGATTGTATTTTGTCTCTTGTTGTGATTTGGGGGCAATCGCGTTTGAAGTTTAATGCATATCTCTTACTTTCTAACAGCACTGGCCGAAATCATCAGCATTCGTGAAGTAGATGGCAGAAAGGAATATTATGTCCATTTTATTGATTGTAAGTGATCAGAACAATAGTTCTCAATACTTACCACGGTAATTTATTCTGCATAATTAGCATAAAAAAATTAATCATTGTAAGTCTTTGCAAGTCTTTGCATAGTTGAGGCAGAAAGACGAAAAGAGTCATACATAAAGCATAGGCAGCCCAGAAATCTGTTTATACTCAGTCTTCGACTGCATTGTTTACGCACGCGGTCAGCTTCGACTGTCTGTACTAATTACTGTATTATATATTGATATTACTGTATTATATCAATATATAATACAGTAATTAGTACAGACAGTAGAAGCTGGCCGCATATGTAAACAATGCAGTCGAAGACTGAGTATAAACAGATTTCTGGGCTGCCTATGCATAAAGTTGAGGAATTCTTAATTCCTAATTTCTTGGGGTTGAATATCAGATTTGATTAAGTCTGTCCATTGTGTGTATCAGTGTAATGTATATTTAAACAATGTAGTATAAATAACATCAACTATTGACTACTGTGTATCAAAACATAAAGAAGTGAAAAGAAATTAAATAAAAAACAAAATGTTTCTGTTTGAACAATAATTTGTGAGTTTCACAGGTGTCTGAGGTCTTCCTTTTTCACTTTGCCTCAGTATAGGGAGACTCAATACAGCTGAAAATTTTGACATGGTGCAAATATATATTTGTCTTTGCAGTAAACTATACATATACATATAAATAGCAGGGCAAGGCGGCAGTTGCCCCCTCAGAAAGCTAAATTAAAGCTAATTAAATAGTTCACAAAAGAACAAAATCCATGCCCAGAAATAAATCAGTTGCATCATTTTCATGTGTATCTGATAGCATCATAAAACAAAATGTAAGGTCAGTTAAAAAAGTCTAGTACAAAAATCCATTGAATACAATGTTTTTGACAAAATATTAAGTGTCGCAAAACTCTCTTTCTAAAATGAGTTTAAGGACACTCAAGCTAGAAATGACTTTTGCTTGTATACTAAATGTAGTAGACTTAGTGTAAATGTATTAAAGCAGTAATAGTGTTGAGTACTTGAGTGGTAAACTCGCGCTTTCATAAGTATATAATTTTAATTTTAGCACAAAGGTTCTTATTTAATTAAGTGCCGGCCTGGTAAAAATTCTCTTCCCACAAACAAGTTCTTATGCATTAAAAAACGTTCTTTTTTACACGCGAAACGTTCTAATTGATTCCTCTCACGCTTGTTACATTTTTGATACATTTTCTGATACAACTTTTGCTACAATTTAGAATTTTTTGATACATTTTGGAGTGTTCTAGAATCTAGAATGTCTACTTGTTACATTGTTTCATTCAACAAAATCTGTTGTTTCGGGTGTTGGGCAAGTATATTTATCAAAACATAAAAGCAATAATTTGAGACAAAATAATGTTAAATAAATGCCATCGGAAATGTAGAAAATATTTGTTGTTTTACACATGATATATTTTAGTTATTTTTCCCATCCCACTGCGGAGAAACAATATATGACGGGAATGTAAACAAACGCTATGTTTAGATTTTGTTGTAAATATTGGCTCGCAATCGTTCAAAATAATATTCGTGTTTAAAAAAACGGGAACATACAAAGTTTGGACAATCTTTAAATCAGCATACCCTGCATACTTATAAGCAGAAGCGATCAGGGCCGTGGCTAGAAGTTTAATTGGGGGGATGTATATTCATTTATTATATACACAAGCGCCAGATATGAGGTATGCTGCAATTTCATTGGTTGGCTACTAGACTAATATTAGCTCATATCTGTCTAGTAAAGAAAGTAAACAAAATGGCTGAAAGTTTGGGGAGTTGAGTGAAATAGAAATCCAAGCTTTAGTTGATAATAGCACACCAAAATGTCATGTACGACTCGAGTTCGCAGAATAACTGTTAAATATTCGTCTTACGCCCGACTGATTTCTTTTGTTCGCTATTGTTCTTACGGTATATAAACATGAATATATGAATATACACCCCCCCCCCCCCAATTAAGCGGTCTAGCTACGGCTCTGGAAGCGATGCCCCGACCCGACTGGACGCTACCTTCAAAGACGGTCTTCTGTGAGATTGTAATTTTATTTTACTGCACAAATTAGTTAACAAAAGGCTTGACACATGGGTGAGCGAAAAATCGTTGGACAAGGAGAAACTTCAGCTGCCCAAGAAAGAAGAGAACAGAGCCAAGAGTAAGATAAACAAAGGCTCCGCTGGATCAAAACCATCCTCGCCCGAACGCGAAGTTACAGGGACTAAGAAGGCTCTGGTGAATCGAAAGAGAAAAGCTAACGCCATGTCGTCCGGTCCCGACGAGGTAGGGCGAGTGAACGCTAAAGCATAGCTGGAACGCGAACACGTGCCTATGTTTGCTTGAAGGCAAAATAGTCAGCGGAAGTCGAACCTACACGTCTTCGATTCCTGCCGGAGGATCGAAGTAACGTTCCCGGTTAGGTCGTTTCCGGTAAAATTCGTATGTTTTTGCCTTCGTTTTCCTGAAAACCTTCAACATTTAATTTATGTTCATATGAGACGAAGAAAGTGCAATATACCCAGTCCTTTTTTGAAAAGGATGGATCGACGGGCCTTCTCGATCGACTTTTGTCTGTTGAGAAAACATAATGTAGAAGTAGAACAACATCTTGGACTTAACCCAATAATTAAGTTTCTAAAAAAGGGTATTTCCACTCCATTTCGAAATCATTGTCGAACAAGAATGACTTTGAAATAGAGTGGAAAAATCACCGTAAACTTGTTGCATAGTTTTAACTCAAATCTTGGAGTTACAAGATGTTGTTCATCGAAATATGTTTTCTCTTATTTTAATTAAATTATCTACTGGTTATTGTTCGCTGACCGACTGTTATTTTGACCACTGTTCTTTGATTAAAACAACCAGGTTGACGGCGAGGATAGCTCGAACAATGTCAGCGATAAAATGAGCAGTCTGAGAACTGGAGGCAGTATGGTCCATGATCGGAGCCACGATGACGTCGTTACGCGCATGAAGAACATCAAAATGATCCAACTCGGCAAACACCTCATCCAACCTTGGTATTTTTCACCGTATCCCGAGGATCTTACCAAAGTTCCGGTTGTTTATCTTTGTGAATTCTGCCTCAAGTTCACCAAGAGCCTCCATTGCTTGAAACGGCATCGAGTAAGTCTTCTTGTACTTTTGTTTTTAAGGGCACTGGATGGCTGGAGAGAGATTAGGTGGTGGTAGGTTGGGTGTTTATAGGGGATGAGGTTAGGTAGGTTGGGTGTTTATAGGGGATGAAGGGGGGGTTGTTTGGAAAGTGGTAGGAGTGTTTGTTGGGGACGTGGTGGTGGGGATGTTGGAGGGTAGGTAAAGGGGAGTAGCTTGACCTAACCTGCTTCTTATAGAATGTAATTTACATTGAAATGTTTTTTTTTTGCTCTAGACCAAGTGCACTCTACGACATCCTCCTGGAAATGAGATATATAGAAAACAAAGTATTTCCTTCTTTGAAATTGATGGTAGAAAAAATAAGGTATGTGAATCATTATTTCCAGAGCAGTCATGTGAAGCAATATTGTCACGTGTCTGCCATTAAAGTCAAGTCAAAGTCTGCCTTTACATGAAAATACTTCATTCAATGAAAATACTTCATGTATCAATTCATAAACTGTTCCTGTTTGTCGTATCACCTCATCCTTTTAAAACATCAGCGGCAAAAATTACTACAATTTTTTGGCCTCATCGGATCTTTTTCGTTGATTCGGGGTTGGTCAAACAACATTTGTACCACAATAATGCTCGATTGTTGATCACAGAGGAAACTTTCTTCCATTTTTCTAACGGCTTGATGAATTCCAAACTCATGATTAGCTCTACTCTGATGCAAATCCTGTTAAAAATACGAATATTTTGTAAATGTTTGCGTGTAACTTGCGCTACCGGGGCACAAGATTATAATCACAAATGTGTTGCATACTACTTCACTTCCTAGGGGGCAAGCAGTCGTATGCAAATTGTGCCCACTTTGAAGTGAAAATCTATGTAAATACAGACGAATTTTTTATAAATTTCACTCCAATCTAAGTTATGAGTGTTTACTTTATATTTTGCTGACGCATCGCGGGCGCGATATCCCTATTTTTTGGCGATGATATAATTGTGCTATTTTCATATATTTGAAAAATTCGATGAAAACTGATAGAAGCAATTTGTGTATTTTATTTGTACTTAGAAGAAAACAGTTCGAGGTCGTGTATGAATGGCTTCAATAAGTCAATATGATTATCGCTGTCATCTAATTTTTTCATATTGACTATTCATATTTGGTCAGCAAGAGAATTTCAGCATATGAAAATTTTACGCTTCGCTCTCAGTCAATCATTGTTTCTTTTAATCATCGCTTTTTATATGAAACTTGCATTGTAGGATGAACAATTGACCCGATACGAATGACATTTATAAGGATATTAATTATAACTCGAACGTCGTATAATTCTCCCATCAAACACTGCTATAGCTTAGAAACGAATAACAACATAAAAAAGCGAGTAAAATATGTACGACTCTGGGGAGTTCTGTCGATTGAAAGAATTTCTTATTTCTTTCAAAGCACTGATCGGCACTTCTGGTTCTGGTGTAGGCGCATGCAGAAAGTGTATAAACAAGCCCTTGATCTTTATAGTTTCTCTTAAGCGTTTTTACTTCATCAGACTGAGTTTAAAAAATGCTTGCACATGCATGTTTGTCTAATTAAGAATATTCACCGTCGCCTCTCTGAAGCCACTGTTTCGCCAGAAAACGAGGCAGGGATTTACCAGAGAGTTTGAATACATCAATGTTGACGCCACTGACCACAAAATCTTGTACGTATCATAATCAAGTTTCGAATGGTTTAAATAACTTCGGAATATCGTAAAAGATGCTGCCAAGGAATAGCAGACTATGAGACTTGCGACAATGGCAAATGCGGTTATTGTCGATCTCAGGATTTTTTTTCGTGGAAGGTTTTGCGTGTTTGAAGAGGCTTGTGTGGTTTCAATGGCCTTTCGATGCCGAGACACAAGTTTGTATGTCCAACACCAGGTGAAAACCACGATGACGATTGTCGAACATATTATCCAAAACGATGCTCCCGCGCTGAATTTGAAATCCAAGAAAATACTGAGATTTTTTAGCAGTATAAGAAGCCATGATAGGAGAATCACTTTTGTCAAGCGGGACTTAGTTATGACGTTTTGTAAACGGTACGGATATGCTAGAGTTATGAACGTGTGCGAACTGAGAATGACAATTGTCATCAACGAGAGCTCCAAGAACAACATGGATAGTACGCCAACAAGTGCCGACAAAACACAGGTGACGTTCTCCGACAGACCTTTCCAAACGAAGGCGACGTACATTGGTTGTACAAAAGCCGTGATGCTAAAATCTGTGATGGCGAGGAGCAAAAATATCGTGGTCTGATGGGTTCGTAAACGACGGTTGCGATAATAAACTATGATGACTAAACCGTTAGCCAGCGTCCCGAAGAAAGCTACAGCGATATTTACTGTCATCAGCGCAGTTCTCACAGCAGTTTGTAATTCACTTGCATTTACAACAGCATACAAAGCTGTTATAGCACATATCTCATCAATGTTAGACGACCTGGATGATGCGCCAGACATAGTCTATGTATTTTGTATGATTGTGTATGCATGTGTCCTGGCATGAATATGTTATGTAGAGAGTGCATTTTATCTCATGCATTCATGTACGGAGCACCTGTGGCCAAATTCCGTGCGCTGATTGGTCGCTTGCCGGTCTGGTCCGGGATCACTTTTTATTTAACCGCTGAAAATAGCTGTTCAACTGTTATATTTTCAAATCAAACATTGTGAGTTTCGACACAAAGAATTGCGGACATTTGGTCTTCGTGTTTGCACAACAAATTCAGTCGTTGTCGATTCAGTGATAGAGATAGAAACTTAAAAAAAGGCCTATGAAATTTCATAGTTAAAGGTAGGCAGGTTCAATTGGGGCTATGCTCTGTCTGCTCACCTATCATCTGCGTGTTGTAACTCGTTTTTGATGATGAAGTTATTAAACTAAACTAAACTAAAGTGATTGACGTTTGCTGTATTGATTACATTTACTTCATGCGCGTGTTTGTTCGAGTAACTCGAGTTTTGACGTCGTTGTGTTGACAACGCAATGAAAAAAGCGATATTTTTCTTCGAGACAGGAAATACAAAGATGGATTTTCATCAGTAGGCGGTATGGAATCAGTAGACATAATCGATGTTTCCTTTATGATTATGTACGTAGATTCTTAGTGTATATGCAATGTGGAATTGAAAACATAAATGATTAGTATGGCGTGGGTAAATGCCGTACGCTGATTGGTTGTTTCCAGTCTCTTTGTTAGACCGCTGGAAATAATAACGGTCAAACTTTAATATTCCGAAAACAAACTTTATAACGTTTCATTAATTCATTGCAATAACATGCGGACGTCAAAGTATTTGAGCATATGTTTCATATATCACTCGTTTTTGTCTTATAATTCACTTAATGTCAAACAACATTTCTTTTCATTGAATGTCATTTCATAGCTTCCGGTTTGCTTTTGGGAAATCTAAGGGAAACACACGCGGTACAGGAATACAGCTTCAAATCTAGTTTCTCGTATGCGAACGGATCTCACATCAAAATGGAAATTAAACGTATTTCATTTGTCAATGCAACTCGTTCCATACGATACATTTATTTTTAAGAAAATTTATTAAACAATAATAATTTATTGAACCGAAACTGTTTTTAATTATGCGCAATAAAAAATCAATTATAAACTACGTATAAACAATATAGTTACAATCCCTGTAGTAATTCATAACCCTTCTTACTGGTAATTTTCGGGTATATTCCGATTAGCATTATAATATATATTTACGGACACTTCGCACTTGTATTCTGAACGCACAAAGCTTACTCTAGCTTGGGTATTTTTTCGACGTCGCATGAGAGATGTAATATTATGCTTTTGGTAATATTTCACAAAATACGAATCGTTTCTCCTTATAGGATTTAAGGGCTGTTTTCCATTTTGCGCGCGAAGCGGAATTTTTCATTGTCTGCGCCGCTTGCATCATAGACAATCAAGAAGATTGTCTTCTCAATTGTCTATGCTTCCATGCGGAACTAATGTGAGAAAAACAAAGAAACATTTCGCTCTGCGCAATTAAAATTATGGAAACACACCAATTTTTTCAAGAATTTATGAACGAATTGTTCCATCACTGAAGAGAATGTCCTTTCCCCTAATATAAGTAAAGATAATGACTTAAAATAAAAGTCTCTTTAATTTCAAGCTATAATTGTTGCTTGCATTCTTCAAAAAACTACTCTACGCTGTTCTAGTTGTGGAATAAGTTTCACCTCATCTTTCTATCTTTCAACTGATAAAGACGCGCTTACTTCATAATCAAGCCGCTGACCGTATATTGTACGCGGTATTTATACAAAACGGATTTAGAAACAGAAGGCATGGTGTTTATTTAGTTCAAAGTATTCGCTGCCGCTACTCTGAAGCCACTGTTTCGCCAGAACACAAGACAGGGATTTACCAGAGAGTTTAGATACACCAATGTTGCTGCCACTGACCACAAAATATTGTACGTATCATGGTTACCAAGTTTCGTGGAGTTAAGAAAACCTCCAAAGGCCGGAAGACATATACGCAAGGAGTAGCAGGCTATGAGACTTGAAACAATTGCGAATGCGGTTACTGTTGATCTCAGGATCTTTTTTCGTGAAACGTTTTCCATGTTTGAAGGAGCTTGTGTGGTTTGAATGGCCTTTCGATGCCGAGACACAAGTTTGCATGTCCAACACCAGGTGAAAAACACGATGACGATCGTGCAACATATTATCCAAAACGAAACTCTCAAAACAAGTTCGGGATTAAGAAAAATACCGAGATTTTTTAGCAGTATAAGGAACCAAGAAAGGAAAATCACGTTTGTCAAACGAGACGCGGTTATCATGTGTTGCAAACGGTACGGAAATGCTAAAGTTATGAACGTGTGCAAACTGAGAATGACAATGGTTATCAACGAGAGCTCCAAGAACAACATGGATATTACGCCAACAAGTGCCGACAAAACACAGTTGACGTTCTCCGACAGACCTTTCCAAACGAAGGCGATGTACATTGGTTGTACAAAAGCCGTGATGCTAAAATCTGTGATAGCGAGGAGCAAAAATATCGTGGTCTGATGGGTGCGTAAACGACGGTTGCGATAGTAAACTATGATGACTAAACCGTTAGCCAGCGTCCCGAAGAAAGCAACAGCAATATTTACTATCATCAGTGCAGCTTGTATGGAAATTGCTTTTATACCTGTGTAAGAAAAAGTTATACCGCATACAACATCATTGTTGGACGGTCTTGAAGCAATAGACATGGTCGTTGTTTCCTTTTATGATTGTGTGCATGCGTCCTTTTTGTCACATTTTGCACAGTTTTAGTTTTTGTTTAAATTCGCTCAGTTGTAAAGATAAACCAACTGTTTAGAAGACATTTCATTGCTTGCTTGAGAACAAACGTGGGAGAGAGGCGCCGCAATAATCGTTTTCTGCCATGCATGTAATAATCATCTAAGCATCTGATTGGTTACTATGCTAGACTTCTGGCTTCTGATTGGTTCATGATCCATTATAACCTTGCTGTATTTCCAATACGGGGCCTTTTTTTACCTAAAAATCAAACAGCTGAAATGAGCTCGAAATTACACGTCTCTTTCATTTATTCCAGTAGCTTGTTACTTATTTGATATAAATTATTTATTTTTGAGACAAATTTACTAAGTCTATATAAGTAATTTATTTAACAAACATGGACACACCTTTTCACGCATGCGATTAAATAGAGAATAATACATGGATGCGCCGAATATGGAGAGAATGATGCAATTAACACAATAAAAAACCTCTTTTTTTTAAACTTTTTTACCCGCCTTCCTGATTCCAGATCGGTGGATCAAACACGATAATCGCACATGTGTTATTTTCGCTTTTCAAAATGCCGGATTCGTCAATAAAACACCGCATATAATATAATAAAAATCAATAATTAACAACTTCGACGATATTGAACTCCATTAGATAGATCGTTTTCAATGATGACGAATATTTAATCTTTGTATTAATTGTTTACTTTCGCATATATAACCCGAGTATTATTGATAAAATATTCGCCGGGACACTTGTCACCTAAGCGCGCAAAGGATATATATAACGTCGGAGTTATTGTTTTCACAACGAAGACGTGAAGCAATATTTCGTATTTAGGAACATTTTTGGGCACCGCAAATGTCTATTTCACTTAATCACAATACATAGGATAAAGGATGGATGTTTTTAAAAGGAAAATCGTGGAAACATTTTAATTTTCTCCTAAGCATGCATTCCTGAACAAATTGTTCTATCACTTTCCAAAAAAACCTTATATGTTTTCCACTTTTCCTTACCACATGCTGAAGCTAAAATTGTAACGACTTGTGTTTTGAAGCGACGGTTTGAAATGAGCGAGTTTATCTATACTTCAAAATATTCGCTGCTTCCCCTCGAAAGCCACTGTTTCGCCTGAAAACGAGGCAGGGATTTACCAGAGAGTTTGAATACATCAATGTTACCCCCACTGACCACAAAATCTTGTACGTATTGGCGCCAAGTTTTGAATAATCTAAGAATTTTTTAAAGATGGTAAAACTCATGCACAAGCAGTAGCAAGCTATGAGACTTATCACAATGACGAATGCGGTTATTGTTGATCTCAGGATTTTTTGTTGAAAAACTTTTTGCATCGATGAAGGAACTTGGTTGGTTTGAATGGCCTTTCGATGTCGAGCAACAAGTTTGTATGTCCAACACCAGGTGAAAACGACGATGACGATTGCGGAGCATATTATCCAAAACGATGCTCCAACAACGCCATCGTAATCCAGAAAAATACCGAGATTTTTCAGCAATATAAGGAACCAAAAAAGGAAAACCACTTTAGTCACACGGGGCGTGGTGATCACTTTTTGCGAACAGTACGGAAATGCTAAAGTCATGAACGTGTGCAAGCTGAGAATGACAATGGTTATCAACGAGAGCTCTAAGAAAAATATGGATATTACGGTAACAAGCGCCGCCGATACACAGCCGGGGCTCCAAAATAAACTTCTCCAAATGAAGACGACGTACATTGGCTGTACAAAAGCTGTGATGCTAAAATCTGTGATGGCGAGGAGCAGAAATATCGTCGTCTGATGGGTTCGTAAACGACGTTTGCGATAGTAAACTATGATGACTAAACCGTTAGCCAGCGTCCCGAAGAAAGCAATGACAATATTTACTATCATTACTGCAGCTTGTAGAACAATCTCATTTATACCAACGGTAGGGACACACGCGGTAGATGCATATGTCGTCTCGATAGCCGACGTTGTGAGATTACCAGGCATAGTCGATGATTCCTCTAAACGTTTTTATGTGTACACGCCCTGGATGAACGTTCACGAAGTTCATTCAATAAAATGCAATATACAACTACCGACACATAATAATTCTTATATAATTTAAACTTAAATAAAACTTATAACTTAAATAATGATATAATGTAAAATTATATAATTTCAATTGCGTACATGCATATTTAATGCAATAAGATGCATGTTCAGTCATTAATTTACAAGATCTATGAGATACAAGATATATATATACAGCTGATTTGGGTATAAAAATCAACCAATCCGAAGCCGGACCTTCGACAAAACCGAATTATCATTTCCTTCATTGCCTATGACTTCGACACTCGAAAATATCAAGTAATTTTATTATATTTAAGCGAAAACACGCTTATTTTTTCCCTAACTGTAAATTAGAATTTAAATTTTTTGCTCATATATATATATATATATATATATATATATATATATATATATATATTATATATATAATATATATATATTATATATAATATATATATATATATATATATATATATATATATATACACCCATTTGCAAAAACGTTGGCCGCAGATAGATAGATAGATATGTACTCGAAGTCTAATTAGAATTGCATATTATTACATTTGCATGGGATCTATATATATATATATATATATATATATATATATATATATATATATATATATATATATATATATATATATATATATATATATATATACACCCATTTGCAAAAACGTTGGCCGCAGATAGATAGATAGATAGATACTCGAAGTCTAATTAGAATTGCATATGATTACATTTGCATGGGATTTCTATAATATTACACAACATATGCAATTATAATTAGATTTCGAGTATCTATCTATATATCTATCTGCGGCCAACGTTTTTGCAAATGGGTGTATATATATATATATATATATTAATATATATATATATATATATATATATATATATATATATATATTTTTTTAATAATTCGTAATATGTACCAAATATGTGTTTAGAATCACATATGAGTAGCTATAGAGTGCTTGATATACTGAAGTGTAGAGCTATAATAAGACGAGAATAAATTTCAATAAACCTGGTTTACTTCATATGATTTTATTCACTACAAATTTGTTTCGTATAACAAGCAATGCTTACCACACTCATCAGGTGAATTTAATTTTTTCGCGCTATATAGTTGCCATGGTTATATAATGCTATTTACATGTTTGACGGAAAACGGAGAGCGTATATATATACATATACGTATTGTATTAGGTTAGATTACTTGTCTTCAAGTAAAAAATGTTTTCAAAAGTGTATACAATTCTAAACATACCTCAACAAGTGTGCATGGCAGCTTTTTCCATTTTGTACATTAATTTTTGCAATATATATTAAAAGAGTATTTATATATAGTTAAAAAGTATTTTTCAATCATGCGCAATTATTAAAAATGAATTATTAACAACTTGAACAAAATTAAAATGTATAAAGTTATCATCAGGATTTCAAAAGAAATATCTAATGAAAATTTCGTTTTTTCATGCACAATTTTTCCTGCATATAACAGTAGTTGAAATGTCTGCATGATTGTCGTCTATTTGAAGATATTCTTCGCTGCTTCTCTAAAGCCACTGTTTCGCCAGAAAACGAGGCAGGGATTTAGCAAAGAGTTAAAATACATTAGTGTCGCCGCTATCATCCACAACATCGTGTGGCTCTTACAACCAAAATTTGAATAACTTTCCCAAAAAAAAAATTCCAAAGTGGTGAAACAAAGATATAAAGCGTAGCAGGCTATGAGACTGGCGACAATGACAAATGCGGTTACCGTTGATTTTAAGATCTTTTTCTGTGAAACGTTTTGCATGTTCGAAGGAACTTGTGTGGTTTGAATGGCCTTTCGATGCCGAGACACAAGTTTGTATGTCCAACACCAGGTGAAAACCACGATGACGATGTCGCAGCATACAGATGTAAACGTTGCTTTGTGGACAAGTTCAGGGGAAAACAGAGCAAAACAGAGAAGTTTTACTACTTTCAAAAGCCAAACGAAGAAAACCCCTTTTATCAAACGGGATGTGGTAATTGTGTTTTGCAAACGGTACGGAAATGCTAAAGTTGTGAACGTGTGTAGGCTGAGAATGACAATGGTTATCAACGAGAGCTCCAAGAAAAAGATAGATAGTTGAAACATAAGTGCATCTAAAGCACCGTCGGGGTTCCCAAACAAACGTTTCCAAGCTACGACGACAAATATTGGCTGTACAAAAGCCGTGATACTAAAATCTGTGATGGCGAGGAGCAAAAATATCGTGGTCTGATGGGTTCGTAAACGACGGTTGCGATAGTAAACTATGATGACTAAACCGTTAGCCAGCGTCCCGAAGAAAGCAATGACAATATTTACTATCATTACTGCAGCTTGCATAGCAATCTCATTTATACCAACGGTAGGGACACACTCGGTAGATGCATATGTCGTCTCGATAGCCGACGTTGTGAGATTACCAGGCATAGTCGATGATTCCTCTAAAAGTTTAAACGTGTACACGCCCTAGTTGGATGAATGTTCACGAAGTTCATTCAATAAAATGCAATATACAACTACCGACACAGTCACTATACCACTGAGCGTTCATGCGAGCATTAAATTGCTGCGGAAAAAACATATTAAAAAATACGAAACCGCGGTCAAATCGTGCGCGAGATGAAATCAATTATTCATAGCTACGATATCTTTATTATCTTTGTATTGTTTATTTAAGAGTTGGAGACTGTTGTGAGTGTTTTTTTAATAAACGCACGCGCTGACCATACAATGAACGAGTTCATCCATGCAGCGCTATAATCGTTTTAATACTGGCAAGGACCTATAATCTATTACTATATACCTATAATCTATGACTATATACCTATAATCTATGAGTATATACCTATAATCTATGACTATATACCTATAATCTATGAGTATATACCTATAATCTATGACTATATACCTATAATCTATGAGTATATACCTATAATCTATGACTATATACCTATAATCTATGACTATATACCTATATAATCTATGACTATATCCCTATATAATCTATATCTGCACGTTTGCCTAGTTGAAGATATTCGCCGCCGCTTCCCTGAAGCCACTGTTTCGCCAGAAGATAAGACAGGGATTTAGCAGGGAATTTAAAAACATCAATGTTAGCGCTACCAACCACAAAATCTCGTGTGTACCACGATTAAGTTTTGCCAGGCTTAGAGAATTTCCTGAGATCCTTAAAGAAAGAGTCAAGGAGTAGCAGGCTATGAGACTGGCAACAATCGCGAATGCCGTTATTGTTGATCTTAGAATCTTTTTCTGTGAAACGTTTTGCACATTTGAAGGGGCTTGTGTGGTTTGAATATCCTTTCGATGCCGAGACACAAGTTTGTATGTCCAACACCAGGTGAAAACCACGATGACGATTGCAAAACATATTATCCAGAATGATGCTTTCTTGGCAATTCCGTAGTTCAGAAACATGCAGGCATTTTTTAGCATTATCAGAAGCCAAAAGCAGGCGATCACTTTTGTCAAACGGGACGTGGTAATTGTGTGTTGCAAACGGTACGGAAATGCTAAAGTTATGAACGTGTGCAAACTGAGAATGACAATTGTCATCAGCGAAAGATCCAGGAACAAAATAGATAGTGGATATACGAGTAATGTCAAAACACAATCGTGGTTTCCAAACAGACGTTTCCAAACTATAGCGACGTACATTGGTTGTACAAAAGCCGTGATGCTAAAGTCTGCGAAGGCAAGAAGCAAATATATCGTGGTCTGGTGTGTTCGTAAACGACGGTTGCGATAATAAACTATAATGACTAAACCGTTAGCCAGCGTCCCGAAGAAAGCAATGACAATATTTACTATCATCAGCGCAGCTTGTATCGCAATTTCATTTATGCTCGAGAGAGTGTAAGAAGCGGCAAAATCACATGCCGCCTTGATGTTGGAAGGTGTGGGGTCCTCTGGCATGATCGGCGATTTCCTTAGTCGTGGAGATATAAAATTCCGTATATAAATCTTCACAAAGTAAATTTAATATAATGCAAGATACAGGTATACCGACACAGACAGTACAACCGAACTTTTTTAATTAATACAGCAGCTTTATTTGATAACATAAATTACATGTTGGAATAAAAGTAATAAAGATTACTTTATATTTGTCAAGTCATATATGCGCGATTAGAAATAATTTATACTAACAAATGAACAATATTTAACTCCACTTTAAAGAACGGATTCTTTCATGACGAATTTTTAATTTTTGTTATTTTCGAGTAACCCGATTATTTTCACTAGAACATTATGGAACACTTTTTCATTTTAATTTAATTTAAGGACATTTGGTTTGTATATATACATATAAAGTAGATGAAAGTAGATATAAGTAAATGAAATTAAGTCTTAAAATGAATCACTACTCAGAGTTTCACGATTGTCTCCATCTTCAGGCGATTAAATTCAGTTCGTTACATCATAGATAGGCCTGAAATCTGTTTGTACTCAGTCTTCGACTACATTGTTTACGCGCGCGGTCAGCTTCCACTGTCTGTACTAATTACTGTATTTAATACTGTAGTTAGTTAATTCCAAGATGGTTCTCCATAATCACTATATACATGCTATATATGCCACAATAATTTTTGTACAGGCAAGTGTAGTGTTGCAGTTCATGGTTAAAAGCTTAGTGCGTTTTTTGCACGATATCGGTTTCAAAAGTCTTTTTGTCTAATTGAAAATATTCTTCGCCGCTTCTCTGAACCCGCTGTTTCGCCAGAAAACAAGACTTGGATTTACCAGAGAGTTTGCGTACATCAATGTTAGCGCCAGCGACCACAAAAGCTCGTAGGTATTATGACCAAGTTTCGAGCGGTTTATTAAAGCTCGGAAAATCATAAAACACAGAGCCAAACAGTAGCAGGCTATGAGACTTGCAGCTATAGCGAGTGCGGTTATTGTCGATCTCAGAATCTTTCTTTGTGAAACGTTTTGCATCTTTGAAGGAACTTGTGTGGTTTGAATGGCCTTTCGATGCCGAGACACAAGTTTGTATGTCCAACACCAGGTAAAAACCACGATAGCGATTCCACAGATGACGACAGCAAACGCTATTCTCATGGTATTCATGTAATCTAGGAAAATTCCGAGATTTTTTAGCAGTATTAGTAGCCAGGAAAAGACAGTGACTATTATCAAGCGGAACCTTGTACCGTTTTGCAAACGGTATGGATATGCTAAAGTTATGTACGTGTGCAAGCTAAGAATAACATTTGTTATCAACGAGAGCTCCAAAAACAACATGGATAATGCACTAGCTACGACTGCTAAAACACAATCGTAGTTCCCAAATAAACGTTTCCAAATTATGACGGCATTCATTGGCTCTACAAAGGCTGTGATGCTAAAGTCTGTGATGGCGAGGAGCAGAAATATCGTCGTCTGATGGGTTCGTAAACGACGGTTGCGATAGTAAACTATGATGACTAAACCGGCGTTAGCCAGCGTCCCGAAGACAGCAATGACAATATTTACTATCATTACAACAGAATTCAATGCTGCTTGTAATGTATTTGTATTTCTGAAAGGATAAGAAGCGGGTATATCGCATATCACGTCGATGTTAGGACTTGTGAACTCACTAGACATATTGTCGATGTTACCTCTGAAACCTTCAGATGTAAACGTCCTGAATATATAATTTGAAAAAAAAAGTTTAATAAAATCCAATATACAGGCCACAGAGATGGTTAGAAAAATTCAATCATTGCACGTATTTTAATAATTGTGGCAGCTTGTCGACTTTATTTACATAGATTTTTAGAGAAAATATATTAAACATGATTTAAGGCGTGATTAAAAATCAATCCGTATACAACACATTTAAAAATATTGAATTTTCCCCAACTTGTATGAAGATTGTTCGTTTTTTGTTTAAGATACATACGCAAAATGAATTGTTTGAAAACGTATTCAAAAACTGCTAAACTGCTAAACTCACTAAACTTGACTTAAATCCACTATCTTAATTATGTGTTTATATTTATTTGCCTTCCAAAATGACTGTCAAACGAGACCAAAAAATTGCTCAAATAAATATACCTTCAACCTCCACATATTTTGGTACAGCTTCTTTATTTAACGATCGAATTAATTGAAATGCATTTTAACTATGCTGTCAGCTTTATATAATTAACATGTCGTCGTATAGAATGTGCAGTCGATATGTACGAAAGTGGACCGCACCCAATACTGTATTGATAGAACACTCAGTTGGAAGAATTTTTCTTGTATCGGAATGCATGTGTATTCTTTTGCTTGTAGATTTACGCTCAGAATCTTTGTCTCCTCGCAAAGTTGTTCCTCGATCACAAGACGTTGTTTTACGATACCGATCCATTTCTGTTCTATGTTATGACACAGTACGATAACAAAGGCTTTCACATTGTTGGATATTTTTCCAAGGTGTGTTCCACGTAGCCTCCTCCACAGGGCTCTCTAGCTTCCCTTGGGGCTTCCCTTGGGGCTTCCCTTGGGGCTTCCCTTGGGGCTTCCCTTGGGGCTTCCCTTGGGGCTTCCCTTGGGGCTTCCCTTGGCGCTTCCCTTGGGGCTTCCCATGGGGCTTCCCTTGGGGCTTCCCTTGGGGCTTCCCTTGGGGTAATCCCAGGGGAAGCTAGAGATGCCTGTGGAGGAGGCTAGTTCCACGTATGGGGTCTGGCATGTGCTTAATTTAATGTTCCTCTCTTTGCGGGTTGACTTGGGGAACAATATGTGCATTTTAATCCACAAAATATTTATATCGATGAAAAATTAAAAAGTCTTGAGCTATTAGCGCCCCTGATCGTTCATCTTTGTGGCCAACTTGCATGTTTTGTGAGTAAAAAAAGATATTTTAACATGATGTATTTGTTGACGACGATTGCCTAGGAAAAAGAATCGACCGAAGATTACAACGTTGCTTGCATCTTGACGCTTCCACAATATCAAAGGAAAGGCTATGGCAAGCTCCTAATTGAATTCAGTGAGTTTTTGTTCGATTTCACCCATCCAGTTAACTGTATCTCGACGGGAGTGGTCGGAAAAAACCTCAGAATATCCATGCTATTCAACTTTGTTCTTAACAATTCCACTCTATCCCCTTCTATTCCACACTATTTCATTCTATTCCGTTCTATTCCATTCTATTATATTTCTTACTATTTCATTCTATTTCATACAATTCCATTTCTTACTATTCCATTCTATTCCATATTATTTCATTTCCTACTATTCCATTCTATTCCATATTATTTCATTTCTTACTATTCCATTCTATTCCATATTATTTCATTTCTTACTATTCCATTCTATTCCATATTATTTCATTTTTTACTATATTTCATTCTATTCCATACAAATCCATTTTTAATTATTCTATTCCATACAGTTCCATACTATATCATTCTATTTCATACTATTTCATTTCATACTAATTCATTCTCTTCCTTCCTATTCCATTCTGTTCAAGAATGTTCCATTCTATTCCATTCCATTTTATCCCATTATAGATTTAATACAATTATATACATTCAACACGATCGATGACTGCGATAAACATTATCTTCCCGTGATTTTAAGGTTACGAGCTATCAAGGTTTGAAGGGAAAACGGGTACGCCTGAGAAACCGCTGTCCGACCTCGGCTTGCTGTCGTATCGAAGTTATTGGTCACAGACTATTTTAGAAATTTTGATTGGTTTAGAGTCAGACGATGGCAACCAACCGAGCATAACAATTAAGTGAGTACATGATGATTTCTCTTCTTCTTCTTTAAACCTTTCATCTCAGAATGCAAAGCCGCAATTACCATAACTTTAACACTGTGTGCAAACGAGTTTACTAAATCCACCTAAATTCTGCACAAACAATGGTCTTTTCGACTATCCCACGTAGAAATGCATGATCCCGCGTAGAGTGACTTTGAGGTATTGAAATGAGTAAGTGACATAATCTTGACAGTTGTTAAGTCATGGCGACATTAGCATGTGCTTGTTTTGTTTCACAAAGACTAAATTCAATATCTCAAAGTCATTTCCGCTTCATTGAATCTGGGGTAACCAGGCTTACGTCATGAACAGCACGTGAACATCCCCAGGCTCTCCCGCCTAACCCTTCTCCTCACGGGGAAAAAGCTTGGGAACAAGTTTGGTGAAAAGTCAGTCCCCGAGTTTTGCTGCTAGCACGAAGAAAATCCACCAATGTTTAATAACTTTATCTTCCGCGCAGCGATATTTGTGAACGGACGAGTATTCGCAAAGAAGACGTTGTCTCGACATTGCAACACCTTGGTCTCATACAGTATTACAAGGGACAGTACATTCTTACCTTCACGAAAGATATCGTCGAAGGTCACAAGCGCGCCATGCAAAAACGTAAACTGCGAATCGATCCAAAAGCTTTGCATTGGACTCCAAAGGACTGGGCTAAGCGAGGAAAATGGTGATATCATGTCCCCGAAATCCAGCGCCTTTTCCGTGAAGTTTTGTAAATTTGTATTTTTTGAATCAATCTCATCTTTCGAACGCCAATGGTGTCTTGTACAGTAGATTCGGTCATCTATAGGCGCTTTACGATTACACCACGAGATCGACAAAATGGAATAACTTTATAGATTTATAAAGAATAATTTGACTCAGGTGGTTTACAATCCGCCATATTGGTTGATTTTAGAGACATGCACAACTAATTTAAACATGCACTCTTGAGCTATTGGTATAGCACGGTGAACATAGTCATCAGTTAAAAAAAATTTAGTTGTTCTCTTGAATGGCAAGAAAAGAGTTTAAAGAAACCATCAATATGGCGTAAAACTCTGCCTTTTTAAAATTTTTCTTAATTGCATTTGACTTTTTCAATTTTCAATTATCCATGCTCGATGCTGGTGTAGCATGTAAGGTTGCATTTTTGTTAATAAAACTACACTATGTTTTGCTCTATAGTTCCGACTTTCTTTAACATGCATGATAGTAATAGTCTGTAAATATTTTACTAATACCTTAAAGTTGTCCAAACTCATTTCAATGCATCGAACTGAATATTTGCGATGTATCCGAAAATTTAACAATAAATTGTCGAAATACCGTCAAAGTAACTACTGTAATCTATCTAATCGATAAGAAATCGGTGACAAAATTGCCTTCGACAATACCAGAGTGAGTCCAATGCATAAACAAGGTATAAACAGTTGTTCTTAGAATAAATATTTAAAATGCACTTTAATCTTTACTCTTTACAATTGCTGGCAAATAATTTACACACAATTCTTTATATTACATTAGGTAGCTTTTAAGACAATATTTTGGTCAATGTTTTAGCGGTCAGTGTGGTTAGTTTCTGCAAATGTTGTTTGTTTTCACATCGATTCAGTATTCTAACCATTCTTTCGTATAAATACACGTGCTTGGAGATATAGCGGAACCATCTTCACATTTGTCCACAACCTGAAGAGAATAAGAGAATATTAGTATTGGCTTACTTGCCAGTAGGCTCCGTGCAGTGAACTCTATATATCAACTGGAACGATAACTTGAAAAAACCACTACCAGGTCTTCCATTTGACAATCACCCAGAAAAAAGACTGGCACTGGTCTTCATTCAGTTTCAAATTGGTTTCAAAGATGGCGGCAAAATAACCGTCAGTTATCGTCCAGTCAAATAGAGTTCAGTGACGACGGGACTTTGAACTTACCGGACAAACGCCACAAGGCACTCGCACATGTCCCGTTGAAGATACGATGGGCCTAATCGCTCTATAAAGTTTCTTTTGTTTATATTCTCCCAGGCTACTTGATCCCGCCGATGTATCGTTGACTATAGTTCTTTCTAACTTCCCATCAAATATTAAAGTGTCTAAAATTGTTTCTATGTCTTTGATGGATAACTGGACCTGTGGAATGACAAAGCCATACAGATTACACTGATATTTACCGTGATCTTATAACAGTTATCCATCTATTTCTGGTAGTAGGAGGAGAGTTGTTTGATAACGGTCTTTGAGGGGGGGGGGGGCTTATTGGATGATTTAGGGATGGGGGTGTCTCCTGATCAAGGGATTGAAGGGAGGTTGTTTTGGTGACATATAAAGAGCAGCCTATAGGGGCCATGGTAATTGAAAAGGGGAGAGGTTATTTTCAAGAGGACTTACAAGCTCACTTCTCATCCCCATCTGGCCGAAACAGGACCTTTCGGTTATGTATAAATGATATATTACTTATATTACCAACCTTGCTTATGCCGAGATCGGTGATGTACTTCAATATATCTTGTGAGGAACCATAGGACGCATTTTTATGTGCAAAAGGATCGCTGGATACCTTCTTTGCATCGGCTGCCTTGGATATACGAAGGTTGAATAGGCGATGAGTATTTCAACTAAACCTGGTTGTGCGCATATATTGGGGGGGGGGGGGTTAGGTGTTGCAAAAATTAACCAATAACAAGTTTTGAAAATTAAAACCGTTTGCTTTTACCTTCGTTTGTAAAAATTTAAAGCACTGTTGATTGAGCACTTCTACAAATTCCGACTCGAAATCTTGATCGCTGTACCACGAGCCCCCGGTGACAGACTGATCGGGTTCGAGGTTAAACAGCATGTACACTTTCTTTTTTGACGCCTAACAAAGAATCCATACGATCGCCCGTATCAACCAAGTACAGATACTAAACTATAAGTAAACTGGACGGCCAACTCGATGGGGGTCGACTCGATTCGTTTTATCAAGAACAATGAATGCAAACGTTTGTTGGGTGGGGGTTAATTCGAATGCTCGTTCCTGTTTTTTTTACGATTACAAGGAAATTGGTTAAATTAGGCAGGGAAACGCTCTAGAGGCGTTAATGTGGCTTCAGATTTAGGAAAGCCCTGGAATATTACCGCTATGGACTTGATGGCTTTAATCAACTTCTTGCTCTCTAATGTCTTGAGAATCTTGTTTACTTGGGTTAATTGAAGATTGCATTTGTAACGAATGTCGCGTATCCATATTCCTGGAAGAGCAGACAGTATATTGCCAAAATGAAGACATACAATACCCAGGTAATAGTCAAACTTTGTTTGTTAGAATTCTCTTCCGAGACCATCAAAAACGTAGATATTTCTCTAATATCTCATAAGGCCCGTTTAACACTTGCGATATGAGGTGTGATTTTTCTCTTTTTGTAGATCAACGAGTGATTAGTTACGAATGCTCAACGGAATGATCTGATGTATAAGGGCTCTTATTTGAACATCAGTAACTGACTCACTCGTTCACATCTATCAAAAGAAGAAAATCGCGGGAAAAATTGCAAGTGTAAACAGGCCTTTAGCCAAGTATGGAAAGGAAATCGTACCACAAGTGAACCCTACCCTTATTCCCAGCTTCTTCGATGATCTGATAAATTAACTTTTCTTCCACTTCAAATCCCTTGACTTTTCTAAAAGTAAAAGAGAACTGAATTCTGAATTTTCGAATTTTGCAGCTAAAGGGCGGTATTTCATATCTCTCCATATTAGATTATACTGTTTTTTCTGGACTTACGAAACAGATTCACTGTCTTTATATCTGTAAAGCAGCGTTGATCCACTCTTAAGTAACTCCAAACGACCCTGTAATGCAAAATGATACCACGTTTATAATAGTACATAATACATAATAAGACTAATAATGGTGGTTCGTCGATGTGAATCACGAAGGTTTCGTGAGAAACACCATTAATTTTTCACAAAACAATTGGGAAAAACCAGTGTGTGGTTATATTGTCAAAATACAATACAACAATACATTCTCTAGTGAATACGGCTCAGTAATAATGCTGACTTAATGTAAGTCTATGAAAGGAAAGTACCTATTATACCACGGGGCTATACATGAAATAATATATGTGAAACACCAGCTTGAGCTCAACGTAACTGTATTTTCGTCTATAAGCTCAACAACGTATTCTTTTAATGAAAACTACTTTGGTTGGAAAATAGATTACACATTTATTATAGAAAACCGGAACTGATGTACACCATCATAGTTCATGAATAAATATTGTACAGTACTTTCAAGGGGTTGCAAGGCAATAATAAGGCTCGAGTTCACTGCATTTTTCAATTTTAAAGACGTCCTACGATTAGAACTACAGTTATTGCACCACATGCACCACGTTCTATCAACGAGGATATTATATACCGTGGATAAAAGTCGGTTTATTGCCATAACGCGTTGCTGCGCTGGTATACTGGGCATACTCTGCTGTATAACAGCATCGGAGATTCCTTTTCCGTTCTCTACGCATAACGCCAGAATTTTGCCTTCGAGATCAACAGCTTCGATCGATTCTTGTTTTATTACGATGTCTGCGACCGCCATATTGCTTTCAGCCGCGACCGGAACAATGGACTGGAACTAGGAATTCATTTTCGAAAAATTGAGTCCCAGGGGGGGAGTGTATAAATATTCCAGTTTTATTATCAGTTAACTGTGGTACTTCATGTATCAAGGTGAGGGTGTTTAATATACCAATTATTATAGGATGCTACTAGTTTTTTGAGCTTTAGCAGTCGATGCATTGATATCATACATTATTAAGAGGGAGAGGTTAATATGGGGTATACAACCCGTTTACCCCTGAATTGGCAAAGAAAGTACCTTTTTCATAATCCTATGTTCAAAAAGCTATTAAATGATTGTAATCGCAAGCTCCGTACAATGCCATTGTTTCTGGTTGTAATTTATGTGCTACCCCTGATCTTTTCATATTGCTTGATTTCCAGTGATATCTCAATCCAGAATGGATGACCAGACAAGTACCAGTGCCACTCTCAGTATTGCCAAGCAACAGTTTGTCTCGCTGTTATCCAGCTTGCCACCAGCTGAAAGCAAGGATTTTCTAGATTGGATAATCGAACAACACTCTTTGCTAAGGAGCGATGAAACAATGCCACATGATTCCCATAAAAATTGTTTATCCAATGCATATCAACATTGTGTATCTGGAGAGGAAACATTGCAGGCCATTATTGAAGATCTCCGTGGAAGATTACCTCTGAGTGGTATCTGTAGTTCAGAAACCATGTTTAAGCCAGAAATCGGTCAGGTATATATTATGCAATATGTTTTTTATCAAAGAGCGGCATCAAATGTTTACAACCAAATATAATTACTGAACTATAATTAAACTGGACAGTCAACGTAAGGGGGGCGGCAATGAAATATTAAGTAGTTTTGTCAATGGTTGATGGATATGATCCCACCCACTTACATTCTATTGGTGCCATAGACCTGATTCTTATTGATATGTCCTAGGCTGCCGATGATAAATTTTGTATGGCAACTTGATATAGTCATAGTGACAGAACCTTTAAATGAATGTCTGAAGAATTGAACCAGTTTCTATTTTGTAGAACTCAGACTGTAATCCAGCCACAACAGCAGTGATTGATTCATTTCTATATGATGATGATGATATTGACCTGCTATGTGCAAACAATCAGTTCAGTAGAAATTATTGTAGAGAATGTGGATCACACAATACAAATCCTTTAAGTAAGTTAAAGATATTTTTTCAAACTACAAACCATAGGACATTCTAACCCTTAATACATCATTTAATTCATTCTAGACTTAACTTTGGTTTAATTATTAACTAAAAACTCTTCATAATTAGCTTTATATATTTCATGAAATACTCTACATAATGTTAAGCAAATAAATTTGTTTTCCAATGGAGAAAATGTTATCATTTGTGCCCATTTTGATTCTGCTTCTTTCACCATAGATAGGTAGCCCAGGTTTTTATTACTATTTATTATCCAATATGGCGTCGTTTGCAGCGCATGCGCAGGACCAATTCCTGGGTTATCTATGCTTTCACTAGACAGTTCCAGACAATCTTATGCTATTAGTCAAGTAATAATGCACATCTTTTTCCCTGTCTTTTTAGCATTAATTTCTCATTCCATGTCCACTATACAAATGAAATACATCTTCAAAACAGTGCTACCAAGATTATCAGCAGATTATACCAATGCAACAATAATAGACATTGGCTCAAGATTAGGCGCTGTACTCTATTATGTAAGTTCTGTGATTTTGCTTATACTGTTCATGAACATCATGTTCAGTTCATTTTTGCACATCCATTTTCCTTTTCATTTTATAGGCTTATTATTTTAGCAAATTCAAGAGAATTGTTGGAATTGAAATGAACACAGAACTTTGCCAAATCCAAAATGAAGTCATTCAAAAATATGGACTTGGAAACCGTATTGAGGTGAAAATCTGTACATATCTGCACATACCAAGTGATACTGGTAGTACAACATTTATCAGTATTGAGTGTTTTATTAAAATGTAAATAAGTCTTTTTCTCTTCAGACTGTTTGTAGCGATGTGTGTAATGTTGGTGAACTTTTGCATCAAGGTATAAGAGTTTTTCCAATCTTTCGCAAGGCATCCATAAAGGATTAACGCTAGCAGAGTTACCTTAATTCTCTTAATTTGTAGCGGATGTAATTTTGTTGAACAATACCTTTGAGTTCTTTCTACAAAGAAGTGTCCAGATAAGGTGGGGAAAATAAAAATAATACTAAATGATTATATAGCAGTGCCCTTTTACTGACCTATTAAAAACAGAAAAAATGGAAAACAGGGCCTACAACAGAAGGAGGTTCAAGGTTGTCTAAAGCAAACCAATTTGGGATCATGAATTAATTAAACATGTTTTTCAATTCTCCATTTAGCACTTGGAAAAACATAAGACAAAATATTTGTAAGCCAGGATGTTTATTGATTGCTGTCCCAAGCTTGGAGGAATCAATATGTATAGGAGATGGAAGACAGGTTAGTCCTAATGTGTTGGGATAACTATAAAATAAACCACTAATTTAATATGAAACTGAAAATAGTGGTTCTGATGTGATCTTAGTGTAAAAATTGATGTCAATTTATTGCAACTCAATCTTATTAGGGTTATTAGCAACATGTATCCATTGCTGGATTGCCTTTTTTGAGGGATTTTACATTTCGAATTTCTTTTCTTGCAGCCAATATTGGACCTACAAAGTTGGGTTATTCCACTAAATGTGGATGCAGGTGAACTGGCAATAGATTATTCAGTAGATGATATTGATGAACTCAATGGAATACATTTTTACAAAGTAAAATAAACATTCATGGGATTGAAAACAATATTTTTTTCTGGAGGAACATTTTTTACAATGGCCAAAAAAATAAATAACTATTTACAAAAATTTTATCTTAATTTAATTACGATTGTTTCAATGAAATATGCATATTATTCAAGTTCTATATCCAAACTGTTTTTAACAATAAAAATATTGTTGAAATTGAAGACCACAAAAGACAAACCTAAAAAATAGAGAAGGTGAACTTATAGTCAAAGTGTAGTTGGGTTATGCACCCAGATCCACTTAGTATATATTTTTTCTAATGTCAGACAATTTTACTCACAAATGGAAAACACTGAACACTTACATCAGATCATTTACACATTGGAATATTTTGCTGCCTACCTCAGTTATAAGATAATAGTAGTAAGTATTATAACAGCTGGAATATTTTGGGGTGTAAGATTTCCAGTCAATAAGAAGTGAGGGAGTGTGGTAACATCTAGGGAAAAGAACAAAGCATGAATTGGATTGCACACTGCAATTAATGCAGAAACATGCACAGATTTGACCTTTAATGACTTTCATGGGTGGCTACTGGCTACTTACCTGACAACTTTAAAAGAGCTACAAAACTGGTGCCAACCAAGGATGACAAAAAATGTTGTTATCACAGCAGTTGCACTCATGCAAAACATCGCCTTTGACTTTTCAGACCTCGACAAGCTGGATATTACAATAGTTAATATTAAAAATAAATCCAATGAAGAAAATAGGGGTTTCCCCATTCGTTTCAAAATACGCGTTACCTTTCAAATGAAACTCCCAGCAGGGGACGCCTTAGTAGCATTACGATGCAGGCAAAAACCGATGATAATCCATAGGCTATCAACATATAGCACCAACCAATAAAACCACCATCTAAAACTCGTTCGATTTCATAAATTCTAGCAAAGAGCAAGCATTGTTTGCATTCGACCAGGCCGACAATTTGCAAGATTACAGCTAGTAATTGCACTAGTATAAGGGTTACCAAAACCACAGTCCGAAACGTCAGAGCTTTGGAAATCATCGATTTCTATGCACATTTGAAAATAACAAAAATTTAAGATGAAAAATTCTATATGAAATTGCCTGATTTCGAAATTGTGACATTCCAATGCCGTACTCGTTCCACCAACCAACTCGTGCTGTTAATTTACATCATTCAGGATGACGTGATGTTTGGAGGTGAATGTGGAAAATTATTGATATTATCAATATTGATGCACGTATTAACCTCCGGGGTGCAAATCAAAAACGTACCCCACGAGAAAGGTTTTTTCTTCACAAGAGGTCCAGGCCTATGCCCTCAATAAGGCTCAATTATGGTCAAAGGCATTGGCACCTGGTATTGGAGCTGGAGAAACATGACCCCCTACCGGCCCTACGTTTACAGTGTTATGCCTAATAGTCCCCACTCTGCAAAAGAAAATAATAAAAAAGGCTTGTTGATGTAAAAACGATTTTCTGTTTACAAAATAGTCAAATAGACGCATTGATTGCACTCATTTCTGCTCCAGGAGGATGATGTTTAATGGGACACGCGCTGCATGGCGGGATACAAGCCCTTCATTGGAGGTAACATGAAGTACCGCAGATAATACGGGGATAAGCGAAGGAATCAATCTCGAAAATCTTAATAAAGATATCCGTTTTTACAAGAAAGAAACTAATTTTTTAGTTATGTTATGAGTGACAGCGAAGCCGACGAAAACACCTGTCTCATGTCTAGTGAATCTACTTCGCAGCTGTGTGAAAATAACAGTGATCCTACGACGATGGAGCGAGATTTGGTAAGTAGATCTGGTACATATAAACTTTTTATCTTTCTTGTATGATGACATTAAACTTTCCTTGTATTAAAACCCTAAAACACTTTTCTTGTATTAAAACCATAAGAACTACAGGCTTATCAAGATTATATCTCTAAGAGAATGAGGTTTTGCTTTGGTTTCTAATATAAAAGAGCCATGCCTCAATTATTGAACTAAAAAATGCGAGAAACTTGTGTAAACTGTTGAACTTTGTTTTAATTTTTTTTTACATGAGCATTCAATAAAATTGTCATGCGATCTTTTGCTCTTTTTTATGTTTACGATTGTCTTTGCGGCATCTTTTTTAAAATTGTTTGTTTTCAAAAGGGATTCAGTCATTGATTTAAATTGAAATTAAGTTTCAAAACTTGGTTACTTCAATGCAGAATATGACATTTATAAACTTTCTGATTCAGGCTGTTAAGGCTATTCTGATTCAGCTTGCGTAAAAAGCTAGTTGAAAAAATTTTAAAACAGGGTGCCTTAATTGATACTCAGAAAAAATATTTATAAATTGTGCCTCTCTAAAAATAAACTTACATGTGTAAGTTACATGTAATATGTAGTGTTGGACCATTTGCAAGACTTGAAACAAAAATTTGCAATATTGGCTTACGTTCAAAATGAAAACAAGAAAAATCCTCTGTAAAATTCTGGGTCTGTGTCTTATAGCACATCCACTACCCAGTTAGAACCTCTATTGCAATTTAATTTTCCCAAAATTTGTATGAACATTTAACAATTATTGGATGAGGTTGAGTGTGATATTGAGAATTATCAAGCCGAAGTTTGCGTTATCTGCCGAAGCGAAGCTGAGGCGGATAACGCAAACTGAGGCTTGATAATTCTCGATATCATGCGGAAACCGAATTCAATAATTGTTTTATTATGTACTTCCTTTTTAAAGAGGAAGTTTGACAACAAACTAGCGGCAAAAAATTACGTCACCTACGGGTAATTTTCAATGTCGTGTAGGTGGCAAGACATTGAGAATTATCTGTAGGTTTTTAGCCAATCACAATCGAGATTGCATTAGTAATGCATAATAATTTGAATTATTCTCATCAAAAACACTAGCTCACATTAATTTAAAAGCATAGCGAACCTAAATGTTGTTATTTATTCAGGCAACACAATGTATTTCAAAAAGTATGAAAGTTCAAAATGTAAACTAACCATTTGTTTATGAACGCCGCAGGTTTAGTAAACCATTTCTATCAAAACAAATCCACAAATACATTTGCTATTCTTGACAACCCCTGCTTAATGTGTAATAGGATGAACAGACAAATGAAGATATTGAGAGATTGAATCGCTTGAGGAGGCGGAGGCAACAGACAGACAATGATGCCGATGGCACATCACGAAGTAACAGACAAAGTGAAAGCAACTCCAATGAAGACGAAGAGTATGATGAGGAAGAGGAGTTGAAATATGGTTTCAAAAGTGTTATGATGTTAATCATTCCTGTTTCTGTTTGCTTGTTTGTTGTCGTTGCAACAGTTGTTTCCGTAACATACTATTCCCGAAGTTCAGGGCAATATCTGTGAGTTTCAACTTCTTATTTGACAGCCCCATTCAAAACCTCAGATTATCACTTTCAATCATTTTAACACTGTTAACCACCTACTACTAGAAATATCTGGCTTAACTTGCACTTTTCTATATAAAGTTTTGTTTAATTAATTCATCAAGTCTAAAGCCGGTTTTCCACTAGCGATATTTTTCGCGCGAAGCGACTTTAATCCATTGTATTCGAGCAATTTGTTCCAGATGGTTGCTGTTGAGAGCTCTGAGACAAAAGCAAAATGTCGCTTCGCGCGAAAAATATCGCTAGTTGAAAACCGACTTAATTCATCTGAGTTATCTGACAATATCTGAATGACAAATTCATTTTCCCAACAGTTTTAAATGTGCTATTGGAATTGTCACCAATACCTTCTTTTCTAAAAACTTGTAGGGCATATTTTGATTTCTATATTAGTAACTAGATTGGGACAGTAAAGTTTAAAATGTGCATGATGCAGAAAAAATATTTCCATTCATTAAACATATGACATGGGGCATCTTGTTTATTACAATAATATCTTTTCAGAATTTACACACCATTTCATGAACAGGAGGGAATCTCAACTGCTGAAAAAGCTGGCCATGCATTCCTTAATGCCATCATAGTTATTGGAGTTGTGTTAGGGATGACTGTTATCTTGGTCATTTTATATCTGAAAAAGTGTTATAAGGTTAGATCAGAGTTAATTCTTGCAAACAGATGTCCCCAAAATTACCTGGTATCTGTTTACATCAGACTGTTTTAAGAGGTTTCAAGAACCTAATAAAGTACCAATTGATAGATGGGAAATGATTTATTCCTATGTTGTTCTTGTTTGACAGATTATTGCTGGTTGGTTAATCCTGTCATCTTTATTACTGTTGTTCTTCTTTAGTTTTATATACATACAGTAAGTTGAATGGTAGAGATTTAAAAAGACTAATATAAGTAACATGCATACATAAAAACAAATCAACCTGGATGGCATATTTCTGTCATTCAGAAGTGGAATTTTAAAATAAAAAAAAATAATGACAGATTTAATGAAATGTTGATTTTTCCAGGGAGCTATTACAAGTGTATAACATAGCAATGGATTATTTTACATTATCAATCATTATTTGGAATTTTGGTGTGGTGGGTATGGTATGTATCCACTGGAAAGGACCACTCTTCCTTCAGCAAATATATCTCATTCTCGTCAGTGCATTGATGGTAAGTACAAAGATAAGATATAGAGTCTTGGGGCAATGAATAGATCTTTTTGGTAATTACGTCACAGCGTTATCGTTTTAAATTTAGAACCACCTTAAATGAGATTGATTTCAAGTTTTACTCTCACAAGCTATGTGCAGAGATGCAAAACATCCTTCTATAACCTGTGCATGAAAAATAATTTTTCATTTTGACTAATGAGTATGGAAATAAGGCATAACGCGGGAACGGGGCCCGATCTATTCTTGTGTTATGGTTACTATGGCTTATTTCCACATTTATTGGTCAAAACAGAAAAATAATTTTCATGCATGCATGTGTTGAAGAACAATGTTTTGCATCTTTGCAGGAGGCTTGTGAGAGTAAATCTGCATTTCATTTAAGATGGTTTTAAGTTTAAAATGTTGTGATGTTAAAATGTTTTGACGTAATTACCGAAAAGGTATATTCAGATAAACAATGCACAATAAAACGTTTTTTACTTATAATCATGACAGTTCACAACAACTGAAATTTCATTGCGATGTAATTTTCACTCATAAACATATATGTGATCCTAAATATTTACCACATAGGCACTTGTGTTCATAAAATATCTCCCAGATTGGACCACATGGTTTATCCTTGGAGCAATTTCAATATATGGTAAAAAAAATGCTTAACTTCTTTCACTTTGGTTTCACATACTCCAGTTCAAATCTCCATGTTTTATATTTCTTTTTTGTTTCCAGACCTGTTTGCTGTGCTTTGTCCAAATGGGCCGCTCCAAATTTTAGTACGGACAGCACAAGAGCGGAATGAACCAATATTTCCTGCGCTTATTTACTCTTGTAAGTTTGTATATAACGACTTGAAGTTTGTCATTTCTAAGGTTTGTTGCCTTATGGTTATATAAAAGCTTTTAAAGATATCACTCTCAAGGACCACACCTCTATTGTACCATTTTTAACAAGGAACACTCAGATATTCCACTTAGTTTGCATGGGGAGATTCAGAATATAGCTAATGCCTAATGGACTTGGATTTGTGAAGCTAGATGGTGCCATCCAATGTTATTGTGATTTTTCCAGCCATTGTAAAATGCTAAAAAAGTAATAAAATGACAGACATTGACCCACAATAGGGCAATGTTTCATGAATACAAAATTTTATTTTGGTATTACCAAACAATGGGTAATTTCGGTCTTTGGGGGGATTTGAAGAATCGCTACGTATTAGGAGAATAGTGCTATTTCATTTGTGAAACAATGGCTACATATTCATCTACTCTTTTTCAAAGCGACAATTATGTGGGGCATTGGAATGGCAAATGAGAACGAACCAGGAAAACCAACAGAAGAAGAACAAAATGACGAAGCGTTTGACCAAGTATCAGATCAAGGAGATGGTCCATCACCTAGGGAAGCCAGTAATGCTGTATCGGCCCTGGCAGGGGAGAGCAGGGTGAATAACAGAAATGACAGAAACGAGGAAGAGGAAGAGAGTATGTACATATATTTAAAAACAATTTGTTTGAGGTGCCAATAGAGTAAGTGAAGCGAGTAGGCTACAGGATCAAGCTGAAGGAGGAGATTGGGTGCATCTAACCTCTCATGTTTGTTCTCGCCAATATTCGGCAATATTCTGAAGAATTTATCTTTTTCAGATAAAATTATATACTTTGAGCAGTTTCGTTTTTAGTTCTTGGTTTTTTGTTCAGACTTTGAATTTTCATTTTGGCATCTGAGACCATTTTAGCCCTTTTTGCCCTGAAAAGGGCTAGTGAATCCCCTACCCTAAGAAATTCTGTCCAAGGACCTCTTTGTAGTAAAGTGTTGCTAGCTGGGGAGTGGAGAGGTCAATAGCTTGCATCCTCTCAAACAGGTGAACTGAAAATTTCCATTTTCTTTGCAGAGGGAGTGAAACTTGGTCTTGGTGATTTCATATTTTACAGTGTTTTGGTTGGGAAAGCTTCGTCATATGGTGATTGGAATACAACAATTGCTTGTTATGTTGCTATTCTAATTGTAAGTTACACTCTCCGCTCTCATAAACATTTCTCCTTATTGAGTGCAGCTACATCAGTAAAAACCTCCTTTAACAAAGCCTTTCAGAGAATCAATTTAAGGTACCCCGGGTCTAGCAGGGAACGGAAAAGATGCAAGAGAGAGGAATATTCTGTTTAAAGTATTACTTATTTTATTTTCTATTCTTATTCATAGGGGCTGTGTCTAACATTACTATTATTGATGATATTCAAGCGAGCCTTGCCTGCCCTGCCAATATCCATAGCGTTTGGACTTGTTTTTAATTTTGCCACCAGTGAACTAGTTAAACCTTTTACAGATGAACTTGCCAGTAAGCAAGTATTTATATAAAGAAAGCTCTCAATTTGTCTGAAGAGGAGAATGATAAAATTCACTACCACAAAGTTTGAATAGAAAACAATGATGGATGAATGTGTAAATAAAATCACCCTTAAAGATTATATCAGACAATGGTGGTAATCCCCTTATCCTCAGACACCATTGCTTTATAGAATAAGTTGATAAAATATTGGTAAACCTTAGCAGTTGAATTGTGGGTGCTTCTGAACAAGCAAGATGGCCCCGGGTGCTATATCAAATGTCCAAATCCAACAACAGTCTAGAGGCTTTAGGCTCCCCCTAAATTTTAGTATTTTTACTTTTTATTCCAAACTCAGAACTATCTAGGATTTTAAGAAAGTTAGTATTTTTGACAATCATTCATTATCTTTGATATTCAATTTAGTAAAACACAAAGTCAATATGAATCGATGTCACTATCACCCACTATTAGAATCATTCTTAACTTGCAACTATATATTCTATGGGACAACTTGCACTCCCTAAATATGGTAAAATCCTTTCCCTTTCTTAAATTGCTCAAGAATGCACAAAATGTATATATTATACGGTAAATTTTATTCAGTGAAAAATCATAATCATTGGAACATTAATTAAAACACTCGGGTACAATATAACTCATTTAAATTAGTTGGCTCAGCTTATAATTACAATAGCAATAAAACTGTTAATTGTTAACTTGACTCGCCTCATAAAATAGCAATAAAAAATGTTAATTGGTAGCAAACCTGTTGGTGATCATGATTTTCCCAAACAATGAAATTGTGGTGTATAGGTTTATAAATCGATAATTGGGTAAAATCATTATGCACAAGAAAGACAAATGAGCTACTATGCAAATACATTCACTTCATTTGACAATAACTAAAAAACAAAACTTGAACAAATATGAGCAATTTAGTGTACTATTCTGTTGTAATTAAATGCTGATTATAAGAGTTAGCTGTGTAAAGTTGCCCTGTCTGTGTAGATACATTGATCATAAATATAACTTAGCAGAAGTTTTAATAAATTCCTGTTTTACACCGTACACAGGCTACAATTACTGACATTTTTCATTTTAATAATTAGAAGTCACATCAATATAAAAGCATCTAGAATACAAATTAAATAAAAGTTCCTAGACATGCTCGCCCTTTCTGCTGCTGTCTTGACCAGTTGCTTCCACTGTATTTCCCTGGGTAGATGGGTTTTGTATTGGACTTGTCGAATAGATGTAAATGGCGGTGCACACAATGACTATGGCCATGAATGTGTAGGTGGTTATGGCCTTGCCAAATAATATCCATACAAGAATTGCAGTGAAAATAATCTCCAAGGATGCACCAAATTGCTTCAGAATTGAGTTCAGTTTTTTAAGCAGGATTGCAGTTACCAGCCCGGCAATCGTGTTGTTTAGGATTATGCCAAGAACAATGGGTTGTTTGAGAGATGCAAGTCCCTCGGGGGTTAGCGCCTGGCTAAATGTGCTGTTAAAATACATGTAGCCGAAATTGCAGATTATCGAATCGAGGTACATGAAAAAGCTCTGGGTCAAGAAGGGAACATCGCCTGCTTTTCCTTTCAAAAGGTACTCATTATAAACGCCAGCAATGCAGGAGCTGAATATCTGAACAAGCATGAAGAGAAGGTATCTATCAACTCGGAAGTTGAAAGAGGAGCTTTCTGCGGAACTGTGGCCAATGTGTTGAACAATGCAACCAAAGGTAAGAAGACCAAGTGATAGCCATTGCCTCAGAGACAACTGCTTGTTAAACAGAAACTGCAAGTGGAAATGTATATATTTAAATCTCATTATATGTTTTCTTATTTCAAAAAATTCATAAACAGCAACACTGGACTGGTGAATTTTATGCATTACAATTAACTAAAGTTATATATTTTTTATTTTATATTTTATGTTTTGAATGTATGATCAATCAGGCACTGGTAGTATTCTAAAAGTGTTATAATTATTAAATTTATTTTACCTGATAAACAACACCAGTAGTAACAACCCGGAATTGGAGGAGCAACCAATACGAAGTTGGACCATATGCTTTCAGATTGATAAAGGCAAGGTTGTTGTACAAACAGTATAACAAGGCTGGGATCATGTAAAATCCAAACACTGAAAATAATCAATCAAAGCTGGTTATGACATTGTTCAGGATCTAGTCTTAGCAGCCCCACTTGAACTTATCTACCACAGTTAACTTACTTCTTGCATTAGACTTTATTTGATTTAAAAATTCTGACAACGATGATCTACAGATAAAAACAATGCATGTAATTAGAGAGGGATGATGTTAGCAATCTGTTAGATGATCAATTGTAGTATGTAAAACTGCCAAGTTTTTTTTAAAATAGCATTTATTCTTGTTCTGGGGTAGTCCAATTGATGTGTTAAAGCAGTCTCTATAACATAAAACAGTGTTTGATTAGGCAAGCACTCTATAATTTCCTTTTTACTGGTAATCTTAATTTCATTCTTTCTAAAGGTGGTAAGGTGAGGTTAGAAAAGCTTTCCCATCCATCATCTGGTGGCCAGATGCAAAAATAGATATGACATCTTAAATGATCACCAATTGCTGATCATCTGATCCATAAACAATAGATTATCATTTGCACCATTCAGCACAAAAAAGTGTTTCTCCGTAGCTTTAATTCTTATTGATATATTTTATGGCATTATTAAACTGTACCCAGCTGAAGAGCAAGCTTGGAATAAACCACAATGTCATTATAGCTTTTTATGTGTAAACATAATCTGGCTGAAACAAAGGTGCAATTTTTGTGTTGATCTTAATTTAAACTGAGATCTTGGGACAAATGCTCTCGAAGTTTCTTCAAGTATAAGTATAACCTAGCTTTGTGCTGACCTGAAATCTTTCAATGATGAAATGCCATTAAACTTTTTGATTTTGTCTACAATCTAAATTTTATTGGACGCGTGGCAAATTGGTAGACCATAGGTAATGACCGCGAATATTCCGCTTTTAAACTCATTGCAAAGCTATACATATATACAACAAAACTTATGCCGTTTTGTTTAACTACTCCCCCACTTACTCACGAAACTGCAAAAGTAGAATGAAGAATAATTTCCCCAGCTCCACAAGAATAACGACAGTTGTTGTGTTGTACGTGTACTTATTATTTTCATCTTTAGATGCAGTTATAAGAAGACCTAAAAAAGGACAATGCGTATGCTTTAGACATATCACACATATAACTTTCAAGTGGTACGAAATGTTGATATATATACCTTGATTTACAAAGAGAGCGATGTAGGTGATAAAAATCACAAGATGCAATCTTGTGGGAAACAGTTTGTTGGAAGAATCACTCATGCTGGCCAATAAGAAAATCCTTAGTTTTCTATAAAAAATCATGAACTGTTGGGCAGTCGCCAAGTATCTGATGGAAAGCGCACTGCCTTCTTCTCCAGTCGAGTTTCGATTGCCTGATTTCAAGCGCAAATCGTCCACATTGTACAACTTTCATACAATATTCCGGTTTCATATATAAATTAATTTATGTACTTCTTACAAAAATATAATATGTGGCATGGCGTCACCGGATATAACCCAGTTCACTGATATAACCCTGCACGCTCGGGCTAACCTTCGTCCAGTTTCGGTCACTATCGGAAGTTCCGTATCGTTTTTCGAGTGTGTGTTTGTCGCGTTTTCGTGCGCACGCACGGCTGCGTTTCCTTGGCAACCGATAATGCTTACGGTTAAAAAACAACATGGACGACGAAAAAGAAGATCAAATTTTAAAGAAGCCGAAACATCCTGTAGTTTTTGTCAATCATGTTGACACATATGTCGGAAAGAACATTAGCAAGGTAACTTTTAGAGCCTAAAGTTTACTTTTCTGAATTTTTTGCCCCAATCGGGGTATTTTTAGGGTTCATTTAAGCGACCGAATATTGTCAAAATTTGTAGATATTTGCAAGTTCAGTTGTCGGGGCAAACTCTGACGGAATGGACAATGAGTCCGAGGCGAGCAATCCAGCAGAGGGAGGAAGGAAAGAAAATTTTTACAAAGTAGTTGGTACGATGTTTGATCCTGAAAAAAACGATAAACCAACGTGGGTTAAGGACGTTTACAAGGTGATCGAGTTTTATCTACATATAGACTATACGTTTACTATTAAAATACAGTATAAATTGTTTATTAGCTTCACCTCAAAGTAGCTTATCATATTTCTGTGTCGAATGGTTATATAACTGTGATTACACCAATCCCGCCTTTAATGTTGTGCACTAAAGTGCTAGCTAGCTTGCATGTGATAATATATGCTGCAAATCCTGCAATACCGCATATGATTATAGCTGGCTGCATTGGGATGGTGCTTTTCTGAGTTTCTAACCAGACAAGCTGAAAAATCAGGTTGACCACAGTGGGAACCGTTTGTACACTAATGTGTGTCATTAGCGACTTAATGAATATTAACTCATTCAAACTAAATTATAGCGTATGTTGTACTGTACTGATCATTCCCCTGGATTCAAATGGCTACCTTTCTGTAACACAGCATTTGCTGATACACATTTATAGCCACACATTTATCATTATATATTGTCATAAAAATATACAAATCCTCGATCTTGATGCAATGGAATTGCATGCATCCAAGAAGACTCAAAAATGTCTTTTTTCTTCTTCACTGTTAAAGTATGGCAAAAAAGAAGAAATCTTGGAAAACATACTTCAAAGCGATATTATTATTTATGACATAATCAGTCGTCCTGATCAGGTGGATGAAGCCACATGGGCAGTATCAGGTTAGTCTCCAAATAATTTTAAACTACTAAAAAAACATTAATTTGTGCAGTACGTACAGGCCAGTTTTTTCATACTTTCTTTTTCTTTTATATTCCTCAGCTCTTCATGCGGAAATTGAGAACTTTACTTCTCCGAAAATTTTCATATGCCTATCTTCAATAATGACATGGGCCAGGACCAAGCCTCTTGATCCAGTAAGTAAACCACTATTGGCATGCACTCCCCCCCCCCCCCCAAATATATATATATTCACTCCCTCGTAGACAGATGTAAATTGAGGACAGGAATGTCAAAGATGATGTGAGAGTGATAAATAATTATGGTGTGATGTGCCGATCCGAAACAGCTAGGGTCCGAATTATGTTCCACACCATTCTCACATCAGTTGACTGCAGCCACTGATATAGTGGTGCTTTAGTTCCTGAATCCTAATTTACAAGGGGTTGACTAATCCAATGATAGTAGGCCTGCCCTGATATCTTGCTGTAATCGGTAATTCCCCACCTGAAGAAATTTTTGCCAACTCTCCCAGGATGAACCGGACATCCCGTTCACAGAAGACGACTATCGAAGGCGGCGTTCCCACCCAAACTTCAGGCCTCACATCAGCACTGAAAAACTCGTTATCAAACTTGGGAAAACTGCCAAGACCAAGCTGTCCACATTCGTCGTGGCCAGCGGGTTGATATACGGCGCCGGAGAGGAGATCTTTCACTCGCTGTTCAAGACAGCGTGGCATGGCAAACAACCTGCCCTGCAATGCTACGGCAATGGTCAGAATATTGTCCCGATGATACACGTTCACGACCTCGCCAGCGCCCTGGTGAACATCTGTGATAGTCCACCCAAAGTTCGTTATCTCATTGCCAAAGATGATTCGCAGTCACCTTTGGATGAAATTGTTAAGGTATATAACCTCCTGGGGTAATTTACTCAAAGGTAGTTAAATAAGAAAGTTATAACAAAATGACTGGTTAATTCTCAGTCACTTTTGCCTGAAATTGTTAAGACACATTCATAGAGTATATATTCAGGAAGACTTGAGATGGACATTGAGTGGGACATCGAGTTTATAGCTGTATGATTATGAACCTATAATTCTCTCTCATGTTTGGATCTCAGCAAGTTACTCTTGTGTGCGGATAGTTTTTCGTGAGGAATTCGCCTCGAGAGGCAAGTTTCTCACGTGTGCGGATGGTTTTCGGGTTGAGCTAACGGCCTCGCGAGGTCGTTAGCTCAGCTGATAGCTCTCGTGTTTGGCGGGCTTAAAGCATGTTTTACCCGTAGTAGATAAGTACAGCTACCGTAGTGCGCGCGATCCATAATCTTAATCTATCTTCAGGCTGTCAGTCGCAATTTGGCCAATGGCAAAGTGCAACATGTCTCCAAAGAAGAAGCATTGCTCATTAAAGATCTCCAGGTTCGTTTGAGATTCATTCAAAATGGTGTACACGCTATACTTGCAAATACGTATACGCGAGACAGGAATCATGCAGGTAGTTTTGTTCAATTATTTGTGTAAATGTTTTCAGCAAACTGACTTTGATATGCTGTTGGTAAATCTCCGAATGGACGCAGGTTTTGTCCGTGAAGGAATGAACATCAATTGGAAGAGTGAGGTAAGAAAGACAGAAATCCGTGTTGGAAAATCAATGCATGGCATCACATGTTCGCCTCTCCCCGTTTTGAATATATTATATAATTATATATTGTCAATATGTTAGGAAATTTAACTAAAACATGGCATTTATTCATCTTTTGTCTTCCATTTTAGACGGGTTTAATCGACAACATTGAAGCTGTCATTAAGGAATACAAACAAACGAGAGGGCTTCTGGTATAGATGAATAACGCATGCTCTTTGTAGAGAATGTTAAAACAACTAATTTGAAATTGGTTGCCCCACATTCATCTCTTTTTAATCAACTCTATTTGGTAGAGACAACAAAAAATAAGATTTTCGTTATTTTAACACATAAAAAATCAATCCAATTTCTAACTTAATTTGCTGTTTAATTTATTTATATAGCCAATCCGTGTTTGTGTGCTGGGCCCACCTTCCTCTGGAAAAACTCTGGTTGTCAGACAATTGTGTCAACGATATAAATTACATCATATTCTGATTCAAGAAGTTATCAACGAGGCAATCACGAAATTGGTAGGTAGCAATATAGTGGTCAGTTCGGGAAATAAGATACTTCGAAATAGGATTAAACTTTATAAAAGGAAAAACTTATCTGACGTGGAGTTTGTAAAGGGATATTTAAAGCGAGCTAGAAGGCACTCTTCAGTCAAAGACGGGGATTGTATTTCAGGAACAAAGTGCCGCCAGAGCGGACACGGACGCTGACGAAGAAGATGACGTAAAGGCTGAAGAGGACAGAGAACTGTTAGAAGCACTGGCTGAAAATAAGGAGCAAAATAATGGTACTGGTATAATCTCTCTCACGAACGATACCCAGCTGTGGTTTACTGTACCCTCGCCAGCATCTTCACCCTTATTCTATACCATCATTACCCTCACTCAAAGCTAGCCTCTGCATGTATTCTAAAAGCCCACTCACACTCAAACTCATTGAGCGGGAGATTCCAATCTTCTTTTTCATAAGATTTCTATGGCGGTATTTCCACTCGAATAAGAGCTTGGTTTTCATTGATTTTCCTTAAATATTTCCACTGATTCAGAAAGACCTTTCTCATTGATCGGTAATAAGTAATAACAACATGGTCATGTATATGCCAGACTTATTGAGTGTGTGCAAGCTTTTGAAGCGGTACAGACGTATAGTAGGAGACGGTTTTGCTTTTGGGTGTCAATAATTAGCTAAGTTCATCGTCTCCTGTTTCAGGCCGTTACGACGATACCTACATCATAAGGTTTTACAAGAACAAGTTACATTCCATGCCTTGTCAAAACCAGGTAAATGTATAAGTTAAATCTATAAGTTTTAATGGAATTAGAAAGCTTAAAGTGCCCATGTCATAAAATTGGAATTTAGATTTTTAGAATCTTTGTTTGAAATGAGTTAGTAAGTTCTAAATCAAAACTGAAATTGGATTTTTATTTTTCGAGTTATTGCCATCTAAACATTGATTTTGTTGGAATGAAAACTCTGAAAACCGCGCAAATGAGACTGGTGCGAAACAAGGTGTTTGACGTCACAATAGGAACTCGTTCGACGCGACAACTTAGTAACTCTATTGCATGGAGTAATAAGTAGAAGCTAACCGCGCAAAAAAGTGGTTGTTCTTACTTAACAGACAATTCTGTATAAAGTGACTCATATATTATCAAAATCTGTTGTGAAATGGCTTTAATAATTGTACATTCCTGGCAACAGTCGTGCAATAATTGCAAATACGCCATGAGTCTGACCAATTGAGTCACTGTGTTGTAAACACGAAGGCAGTGTTTAAGTTAACAGATAAAGGTTCGGTAAATAACGTCTCAAAAGATGCGAGTGCGCACATTTTAGTAAAGACAGCTAAAGAATGTTGGTAAAAAAGATGCCATAATAAAAGCGAAATGTACTGGGTTATATTTATATACACATGATTTGATGTTTTTTTTGCGCGAGACGTGTTAGATTTCTCAGTTAATATTGATAACTCTAAGTCTCTCTTTGAACTATTTTTTTTGAAAGCACATGGGAACTCCACTTATACTCTAGCTCAGTTGATTTGTAATGAAGATAAACCAGATAATCATGCGTGACTTACATACACATAAACACATTGTAGAAATACCGGCACCCATGAGCCACAGGAAAACCTCAATCGTAATGCTATTAATATGATATTTATATAGGGCAGTAAAATGTATTAGGGTTCCGCGTCCGCCTTATATCTACACCCGGGTGTACTGTATGTATGTGCGCGATTACGAATGACGATCAACTAAGACGAAACTTTAGAATTAAGTTAAGTACAATTGCCAGATTACTACCATAGAATCTGTTTGTAATTTGAATACTGTATATCTAGCGTAATGATATGATGTTCTGGGGTCACGGAAAGCAAGTCGCGCAATCAAGATCATAAGAAAACATTTGCTATTTACTGACGCCTACGATCAAGTCTTCGTTGTAGCTTCGATGCCATGATCGTTGCACGATTGCTCCATTTCGCGATACCTTTTCAGCTTATCATCGGCATCTGGTTTGTTAATGGACCCTTAATGTATGGTCCGAAGTGTTCTTACTGCCTGACAAGGCTGATATTGACCCGCGTTCATGGTCTTAACTTTTGTTCTTTCTTAGTATTGCATTGGCAGGAAAACATTTTAATCGGTGTTATTTCTTTGGTAACTTCTCAATAGCTAAACTTGATGAAGACATATTTCTGCCACGTTTAATAACCGAATTTAGCTGGCATAAAGTCGCTTCTCTTGTACTACATACTATTATTTATCTAAAGGCGCAATATGCGAGTTCCTATTGTGACGTATTAGTTACCAGTTTCCGACTGTCGCGGATTTCAAAAACTTTTGCCGTTAAAATTTGAAATTTTCAAACTTTATCGCTTTATTTCTCCGCGAAAACAAACTCAATTTCAAATGTGATTACTATTTTCGTAATCTACGTTTCACGGCGATTCTAATGAGATAAATTCCAATTTTATGACATGGGCACTTTAAGCGTTTTGCTCACGTAGCAAATGAAGTGTTCCTTTCCGCAGTCATAATTCTGATATAAGAAGTGCTTCAATTTAAGGGTTTTATTCTTGATGGCTTTCCAAAAACGGAAGAAATAGCGAAAGAACTCTTCCAAGGTAAGATGACTCTTGTCAGCCACTTGAAAAACATATGAGATGCTGCTGACAAGTGACAATGTTCAATATTAGTTAAACTCCTCGATTTTATGCGTTCGCACTTGGTTTGTGCTTAATGGCGAATATATGGAGTATGGACTGCATGTACGTTTGATTCGCTTTTTCCTGTCCAATATAATCGTAAAAACATACTAGGGTATTTGAGGCTGCAACTCTCTCATAGTGAGGCCATCAATCGTCATGCATCTCGTTTTTAAGGTCTGTTTGCACAGTCCAATTGAAGTGAATTGCATCCGACAAAATTGCATCGTGTAAACAGACTGTAAACCTCTGTCACAATTGTCATAGTTAAAAACGCACCAACGCGCCTGGTATGTTGGGGAGGTTTATAGTAAATAAAGATAAAGCCTTGTAGAATTTGTTAAGTCGCAATTACTGGTCTCTAACAGGTTGAAATTGTATTTTACGGAATTAAAAAAAAAACACGTAGCCTAATATCGTATTTGTAATCTGCCGTTTTTTACAGCCGAGGAGGCGGAAGAGGATGAAGATGGCGAACCGCCGTTGTACAACAAGCTTATCATGCCTGGTAAGAATTGAATCAAGATTGCATCGATCATAAATAATCTTACATGAGTCGAAATACTCCAATTCATTGCGCTTCATCAGGAGTGTTTTGGCAGTCTCTTTAAGCATGAGTCGTATATTTACGGTCCTTCCATTTTATGGATAGCGTTTGACTGTCTGTTTTCAAACTTCTTATTAATTTTCTTTTCTTCACAGAGAAAGTGATTTCTCTGGATACCACTGATGACTTTCTTAAAGCGAGGGTCATGAATCTACCAGAATCTGTGGTTGCTGGTACACACAACACGGAAGAAGGTCTGTTAACCACTGTGTACTTCTTGTTATAAAAAAGCTGTACTGAGTTTCAGGTAGAAAATATTTTTCCGAAGTCGCTGTTTATTCCAAAAACTGCAAATATACTTTCAGGTCTCCTCAGGCGATTGGCAGAATTTCGCGCCGTGAACACTGAAGATGAAACAGTTCTGAATTATTTCGATGAACTCGAAATCCATCCAGATCACATCGGTATGGAAATATAGTTCAGTGTTATCTTCACGATAGAGGATTTACATTGTAAAATCTATACCAAAATTAGTGATATTTAGTTTAGCAAGGACTTTCCACTAAATTGTGATAATTTACCCGCATGTCCATTCCTAGATGAAAAATTATTCCGCCGGCTACGTTTTGTGATAAAATTGAAGCATAACTTTGTTCTTTTCTTCAGATATTACCCAAGACAGCAGTCCTTTGATGTCTAATGTTGTCGAACAGATCGCAAAGCTGATTGGCGAACCAAGAAATTACGGTACCAGGCCTCTCACGTTTCCTGAGATCATCGTAAACTGACAATAAATAACCCATTATTATTGAGAAGAACTGAAAAGAGCCTGGCAAAATTTTAACTCAAGCAACCCTGGGAGAACGCGCGCATTCCCTAAATGATGACTGAGAAACACCTCTTTTGTGTATTGCAGGACCTACACCGGAAGAACTGGTAGAAATGCAGCGGGTTGAGGCGGAGATAAAGGTATGTGTCACCACTACCTCCCCCTTGACCCGGCCCAAGAATACATCATGGATCCATCTCAGTGCTCCAAGCTGAAATGAGTCAGTTTTGGTCGATATAGAGTGAATCCTTGAGTGTTTCACCTGTCAACCAAGTTATCCCCCCCCCCCCCCATGCGACTTATAACATTTGTGATAATTCTATGTTGTTTTTTCCACTGTCCAGCTTGAACGCGAAAAGAGGGAGAAAGAGGAAAAAATCCGTAGAGAAGCGGAAGAGGCTACGGAACGAGCAAGGAAGGAAGAGGAATGGGTACGTGTAGTGCATTTAGTATCTATAATTCATTTCCTAGAGAAAAGCCCGCCACATCAACTCTAGTTTGAATACACTCAGTATGATAGGTGCTGCGCGATTAAGGCCCTACAACTGGTAATGGCAAATGCACAAAACTGCTTTCATACGTATTTTCCGCACTCGTTTGTAGAGAGTACGATTGAATGAGGTTAAGAAAGAAGAGCAAGAAGTACTAGAGACTCAGTCAATACCTCTGAGAAACTATCTCATGAAGCATGTCATGCCCACCTTATCTCAAGGGCTTGTTGAATGTACAAAGATAAGACCAGACGATCCCGTTGACTATCTGGTGAGTTCTAGCTATATTGTACTTTTCAGTTTGTGTGAGACTGAATGAGGTCATCAATGAAGTCATATATTTCGTATTGAAAAATTTCCGTCATTTTGGCAACAAATGAAAATACGCTCATTCGGCAGCAAGCAAACATGTAATGCAACTGAGATTGCCGAATAATTTTTCGGTCGTCATATTTCCACTTCCCTCTTCTTTTGATTGAAATATTCCCAGATGGTTTTTAGAAGAGCGAAATATTGAAATATTACAATTTCATTTAAAACATTTTACTCCTTGGCTTTTTTAACAAACCATGCATCTACGAATAATAGGTTCCGTACTCTTGCAGAAATAATGCTCAATAAAGGACGCTATGCTTTGTTCGACAGCCCTGACAAACATTTCATGACAATATTCAATACAATAGATAAAATACAATAGATAAAATACAATATATTTATTGCAAATTTATACATGCAGCTAATTGCTCTTGTTTAATCTTTTTTAGGCTGAATACCTTTTCAAAAACAATCCGCAAATTGATTAACTATATGCGTTATTCTGGCTTTACAGAAAATATTGTATCATAGAGATTTTTACATAATATTTAAATTAATCATGGTGTCATTCACTTGTTACTTCCTCAATAATGTTTTTGGCCGATATTGATGTCACATAGGAAGTCTAGGTACTTATACATGATATTAAAACAGGTTATATGGTGTGACCGGATGTGTTATCACTACAAAGATAACAATGTACGATACCACAGAATACCTAACAGAAGTAGAACTCTATACTATTTTTTCGTAAATGTGATTCGTCATGATTCGTCACTTAGCAAGTGCATTTTTTTGAGGTAGTCACCCCCCTGCCAATACTAAAAATGGCCTGATTTTAGACATTGGCAGGGGGGTGATTACCTCAAAAAAATGCACTTGCTAAGTGACGAATCATGACGAATCACACTTACGAAAAAAGTACAGGAGTTCCACTTCTGTTAGGTATTCTGTGACGATACTATGTGAATGTTTACAGTTTTACTCGCAGGGCTGGTAAGGAGGGGGCGTGCCGTCAACCTGATCTCTTAAAGATCTCTTCAGGCCCTGACTCGTCAGCTTCAGGCCTACAATCAATTCAGCCAAATAGGCTGAAACGAACGCGCTTGATGGCTCGTGTCACCCCCCTCCAGTCACCCCCCAGCAATGTTGCTGCTGTTAAAGTATGCTCTATTATATTCCAAATATTCCAATATATATGTATCAATCAACTGTAAATAGATTTAATTTAGATTTATGAGTGATCAAATGATTCCATAGATTCCATAGATGCAAGTGTAGTAAATGTTTCTTTAATGAAAGCCAAATATGGTAACCAAATGTAAAATGAAATGTTATCCGCCCTAAAGAGATTATCATGTAACCACTTATATATAGATGTAATTTTCCTTGTATACATCAGAGTGAATAAAACTGTGTAACCCTAAAGTTGTGCTGTGAATATAAAGGAGTGGCAAATGGCTACCCAAAACTCAACAGGTTATGGGCCCAGGAGAGCTCTGGTCTTCGATGGAAACGAATCGAAGTACGAATTATGGGAGGTAAAGTTTTTATCCTTTATGCGGATCCAAAAACTTTACAACATTTTTGTGCCTAGCAGCGATGAGCGTGAGCTAGATGAGTCGAAGAATGCCGATGCCTTCGCCGAACTTGTACAGTGTTTAGATGACCGAAGCTTGTCCCTAGTCATAAGGGAGGCAAAAGATGAGGGTCGAAAGGCTTTAACCGTGCTGAGAGAACACTATCAAGGAAAAGGAAAACCCAGAATTATAGCTCTGTACACTGAACTGACTTCACTGAGAAAAGGAGAAAGCGAGTCCACAACGGACTACATCATACGCGCGGAGACCGCTGCGACAGCACTCAAAGCAGCAGAGGAAATAATAAGCGACGGTTTATTAATTGCAATGGTTTTGAAAGGCCTTCCTAGGAACTATAAAACATTCTCTACTGTGATAATCCAACGAGAAAAGCAGATGACATTCAGCGAATTCAAAATAGCCCTGCGAAACTACGAAGAGAGTGAAAAGAGTTGCCATGGTACGGAAGGCAAAGACAACGTGATGTATGCCGCCAAGACGAAATTCGACGGAAAATGCTTCAAATGTGATAAGAAAGGTCATAAGAGTTCCGAATGTTGGCTAAAGAGCGAAAAATGGTGTGCCAAATGTCGAACCAAGACCCACAATACAAGAGATTGTAGAGCCGCAAAGAAGGACGCAGCGAAGCTTATCAACGGACAAGTGAAGAATCAAGATTTGGATGAACATTCATTCGCATTTACGTTAAAAGATGGTAAAGGTAGGAGTACGAAGAATTCGAAGCTTCTCGTGGACACTGGGGCGACCAGCCACATAATTAATGATAGGTCTAGGTTTGTAAGCTTTGACAAGAACTTTGATCCGAACAGTCACTTTATAGAACTTGCCGATGGGAGCAAGGCTAACGTAGTTTTAGGGAAGGGAAATGCAATGGTTAAATTGTTTGATGTAAGGGGTAATGTACAAAATCTAATGCTAAGCGACGCACTTTATATACCGTCCTACAGTCAAAATATTTTTTCAGTTTCGGCAGAAATAGGTAGAGGAGGATCGGTTGCTTTAGGAGAACAGGTAAGTAAATACACTACAGCTGAAGGTCAGGTATTTGAGATAGAAGAGAGAGAGCGTTTGTACTATTTAAATAGTATCTCTTCTTCGTGTAACAATGCTACCTCCATTAATGAGTGGCACAGGATTTTAGGCCATTGTAACTTTGGAGATGTGCGTAAATTAGAGCAGGTAGTCAAAGGTATGAAAATCATAGACCACAGCGAGAAAGATTGTGAAGTATGCATTCAAGGAAAGATGTGTCAGAATAGAAACCGAGAGCCAGATCAGAGAGCTAAAGCACCTTTAGATTTTGTCCACTGTGACTTGGCAGGGCCAATTGAGCCCGTTGCCAGAGACGGATTTAAATATGCATTGTCTTTTATAGACGATTATACAGGTATCAACATGATATATTCTTAAAGCGAAAGAGCGACACTTTAGAAGCCACAGAAAAATTTTTGGCCGATGTTGCGCCTTATGGTAAAGTTAAAAGGATACGAAGCGATAATGGTGGTGAGTTTACGAGTCAAGAATTTAAATCTCTCTTACGAAAGCAGTCAATAAGACACGAGACGAGTGCCCCGTATTCCCCTCACCAAAATGGAACTGCAGAAAGAGCGTGGCGAAGCCTTTTTAGCATGGCTAGGTGCTTGCTATTGGAGGCAAAACTACCAAAACGGTTGTGGACCTACGCTGTGATGGCTTCGGCCTACATAAGAAATAGATGCTTCAACCAACGCTTAGAGAAGACACCATTTGAGGCGTTGACAGGTAAGAAACCAAATTTAAATAATATGCATGTATTCGGCACAACATGCTATGCTTTTTGCAGAACACCAAGAAAATAGACGCAAAGAGCCGTAAAGGTATATTTATAGGGTACGACAGAGGTAGCCCATCTTATTTGATATACTATCCGGAATTAGACAAGATAGAAAAGGTACGTTGTGTCAAATTCATTGACAACTTCCAAGGCAAAGACAAAAACTCAACGATCTTGATGAGTTTGTACCCGACAGAAAACCTTCGAGTACTAGCAATGAAAACCCCAAAATGCCGAGTACAGTTGAGGAGAGCTCGAATAATCTCGAAACAATCAGCGAAAATGTAACAAACAACACCGAGGTGATTGCCGAGGGAGATAGGTATCCAACAAGAGTTCGCAATAAGCCAAATTATTTCGATCAAAGCAAATTAGATGACACATTAGGTGAGAATGTTAATTACACTGTTGATTATTGCTATAGAGTTGCGAACATTCCAGTGTGCTATAAACAAGCACTTGAGTTGCCTGAGGCAAACAAATGGCAAAAGGCAATGGAAATTGAGATGAAAGCGTTGACAGATAATGACACTTTTGATTTAGTACCGCGACCTAAGGATAGACAGGTAGTGGGGGCAAAGTGGGTTTACACTATAAAAACAAATCAAGAGGGAGAGGAAAAATATAAAGCTAGATTTGTAGCGAAAGGGTATTCTCAAGTTTCAGATATAGATTACCAAGAAACATTTGCACCAACTGCACGCATGAGTTCGATCCGAATGTTATTACAACGTGCCGTGCAAAACGACATGATTATTCACCAAATGGATGTGAAAACAGCATACCTTAATGCGCCAATTGACTGCGAAATATATATAGAACAACCTGAAGGTTTTGAAAAGCGAAGTAATAGCGGTGAAACGTTAGTTTGTAAGCTGAAAAAGTCGCTATATGGTCTAAAACAAAGCGGCAGGAATTGGAATAATCTACTCCATCAATATTTGATTAACGAAAACTTTATTCAATCTCTTGCAGATCCATGTGTGTATGTGCGTACAATAGATGATGAACGATGTGTGATCGTAATCGTTTGGGTCGACGATATCATAATCGCCTCGAGTGATTCAAATTCACTACAGAGCGTGAAAAAGTCTCTTAAAGAAAGGTTTAAAATGACCGACCTAGGGATTCTAAAATGGTTTTTAGGCACTGAATTTCAATGCAGTGAAAACACAATTAAAATGAATCAAACCCGGTACATTGAAAAGATTCTTGAGAAATTCAAAATGACCTATTGTAAGCCAAAGCCGACGCCGTGTGAGTTAGGAGTAGACAAAGTTTTGGAAGTGGAATCTCCTGAAATGGAGGACCCCGGGCTTTATAGAGCTATAGTAGGTAGTCTCATATATGTAATGACTGGCACTAGGCCAGATCTGTGTTACATCGTGACAAAATTGGCACAGAAAATGTCAAAACCAACCCAGGCAGATTTAACTAAGGCAAAGCACGTTTTGAGATATCTAAAAGGTACTTCAAAATTTGGTCTAACGTTCACAAAGTCCATTAACCCCCTCATTCTTCAAGGTTTTTGCGATTCAGATTGGGGAGCATCTATCGCAGATAGACGGAGTATAACAGGATACAACTATCAACTAGCGCAAAAGGGACCGTTGATATCATGGAAGAGCCGCAAACAGCCGACAGTGGCACTATCCACCTGTGAAGCGGAATATATTGCATTGACAAACGCGATGCAAGAAGCAAAATTTCTGAAACAACTCTGCATCGACATGAAGGTAAGTATACATGAAGGTAAGGCTTTCATAAAGATAGATAACCAGGGAGCGATGAATCTGGCGAAGAATCCTATTCATCATCAGAGAACAAAACATATAGACATCAGGTACCATTTCATTAGGGAAGAAGTGAAGGAAGGACGAGTTAGTTTAGAGTACGTTTCAACAGAGGAAAATATTGCAGACATATTTACAAAGCCAGCCAGTAAAATAAAATTAGAAAAATTTAAAGAGACCATATTAGGTAAGTATACATAGGTTCATAATTGCGCATATAATTTTAAAGCGATGGCCCGCCCTGCTGCACGCCATCAAATAAATAATTTACTATAGAACATAAAGAGCAAGTGGGGGTGTTAAAGTATGCTCTATTATATTCCAAATATTCCAATATATATGTATCAATCAACTGTAAATAGATTTAATTTAGATTTATGAGTGATCAAATGATTCCATAGATTCCATAGATGCAAGTGTAGTAAATGTTTCTTTAATGAAAGCCAAATATGGTAACCAAATGTAAAATGAAATGTTATCCGCCCTAAAGAGATTATCATGTAACCACTTATATATAGATGTAATTTTCCTTGTATACATCAGAGTGAATAAAACTGTGTAACCCTAAAGTTGTGCTGTGAATATAAAGGAGTGGCAAATGGCTACCCAAAACTCAACAGCTGCGACTGTAATAAAATATCTAATTCAACACATACATTATCAGTTGAATCAACATTGCTTGGGGGAAGGCGGGGGGTAGTATATAAGCGATATTAAACGGAAATATGTGGTATTTTTCGCTTGCATATCATATGTCTAAGTAATATGTACACGTTCACACTGTCTTCCTTATTGATGACATCGGATAGTAATTGACAAAAGTGGTAATAAGAAAAGTGGTAATACTATATGGATCCTGGTAAAGCCTGTTCACATTAATGACATTACCAAAATCTTGTCCCAGGTCAGGTCCAGGCCACCTTCTGCTGTTGGCCTGGGTTTTGTGACCTAGACCAGGACCAGGCCTAGAAGACAGGTCTAGGCCGGATAAACAACGTTCAAATCTAGGCCTAGGCCCGGTAAAAGGCCCGGTAAAAAGGCCCGGTCCTCCCGAAAAAGTACCTTCCTATGTCCGGTGATCTGGTGTAACCGTGGTATCAGTTATTGCTGACTTATTAAAGATGAATTTATTGATATGCGTATGATAATATAGGATATTCAAAACTACGTGCCTTTTGTGTCATCGTGTACTCCTGTTTATCCCTCGGTAGCCGATACTGGTCCTCTTTGTTCTCCAGTATCCCCAAGAGTGACGAAGACCCGTGAGCGAACACGTCACTGCACCGGTAGAGGCAGCTCTACAGTTGCCCTGAATTGATAGAGCAAATCGACTATTACTTCGTTATTTATCAGGCTTTTTTCACCATAATATGTCCACAATGAATCCCGAATAGTAAGTATCATTTCTTTGTGAAAATATAACCGTTTTCGTCCGTAAAATGACACATTCACACGTCGCGATTTACGGCGTTTCAAGCCAAGTGTGTCGTAATAGGAACTGTAGTCGTCTTTGTCGTGCTTTAGTAATTTGTTGTAATTCTTTCGTTTAGTGACTACCTTTTTAAACTATTACTTATCGGAGACTCGGGGGTAGGAAAAAGCTGTTTATTACTACGATTTGCGGTGAGTATTGTTGATCTATTTTGTCTCGCCGTCAAAGCACAAAGCCGTCGAAAGAATTTCACAGCCATACAGGCGTAGTCGATGACTTTCGCTTTGTATTAGCTGTTTTGAAGCCTAAAATAGCTTTTATTGCCTTCTAGGACGATACGTATACGGAAAGTTATATCAGTACTATTGGGGTCGACTTTGTGAGTAAATCAGCACTAGTTCCTAGTCCGAACATGCCAAAGTCACTTCAGGAAAAGGAAGAATTTCTATTATTAAATTAAAGCATTTTTGCATTTCGACATGTATATCGCTAAGTACTTTTGAAAACAACATGCATTCCTTTTTATCTATACCAACCAATTGTTCTTTTTATTTTTTATTTGTGTAGAAAATAAGGACCATAGAGTTGGATGGTAAAACGATAAAATTACAAATTGTAAGTGCGCTAATATACATCTCGTTTGACTGTCCACAAATGACAAATGTCTCACAAAAGCTTGAACAGCACAGGCCACAATTTTAAATTATTCAACAAGTTTTCCTTTTTTTAAGCCTGTGTTACTATGGCTTACAATCTTGTACAATACATAGAATGTACATATTTGCTAATGATTGGACTGCTACATGTTCTTATATTTCTTCTTGCTTGCCTGATTCCCAATTAGAGTTGTAATTAGTGTCACATGATCTGGCAATATTAATTCCCTATTTACCTGGCGAGTGTTTGGTCTAAACTATTTGGTAATACATGGAAGGCTTGTGTTTCATGCGGTTTGCTTGCACCTGCTCAAAGCAATCACGATCCACCTTCCTTTCGGTGTGCAGTTGTCCGCTTCCTGTCCAAACAAGTTTTTGTGAGAGTGAAATACTCAGATTAGCTGAGTTTGGGCTGGACTTTGCCAGGTCGAAACAAGATTCACTTGCAGAGAATGTGATTAACAGGTGTTTCCATCCATAAACACCTACAATTATTCTCTTAAGAAGAGGTGGCTAATAACCTGGATTGTATAATGACCTGTTTAGTTAAGTGGCCACACCTTCCCATTGACAAGTAAAATTATCATGCATTGTATTAAGATGATGGAAAGACTAAAATGACAGCATGCATATTGGATTCCATGGTGACAGAAATTGTGTACATAGACTTGCATATGCTTAATTTGTGTGGAAAAATGGATGTTTTTATAACTAGAGCAAGCTTTCTGCCATATCATTGCCTTCATATTATTTACATTTCATCAAATCCCCAATTACAAAGTCTTACTTATACAGAAGTAAAGTACTAAACTTTATTGAAATTATATAGGTGTAAATTTAGTTCTACAACTGTCACACTTGTACTGAAAGGTTGACCTGGAAAAAGGAGTGTGTGAATTTACATATTTACCTATTTTGTTATATGTTACAGTGGGACACCGCAGGCCAGGAACGTTTTAGAACAATAACGTCAAGTTACTATCGAGGAGCACATGGAATTATTATTGTGTATGATGTTACAGATCAGGTTTGTAGCACTTGTTGAGTAAAATCACTGTTCATGAATGATTTAGAATAATTATCCCTTGTTATACCAGAAGTCCTGGACTCCAGAATTCTAAAATAGGATGTCAAACTTTGGAGAGTGTTTAAAAAGATTGGAAGGGGCTGCTTTCATTAAGAATAATGCCTAAACCTTAAAAATTTACAGAATTTAAGGAATTTACATTAAAGTACCGCCCCTCAAAGATGCACATTCAAATGCAATACAGGCATGTGATAGAGTGAATTAATGCTATTTTCAAAGAGATTTCCAGGTTTTTAAGTTTAATTCAAAAAGCTGAGTGGCGAGTAGATTACTTTTCCTGTAGATGATAGGAAACCATGATCTCTAGCCAGTAATGACCCAATTTATGCTTTCAGGAATCTTTTAACAATGTGAAACAGTGGCTGCAAGAAATAGACCGTTACGCGTGCGAGAATGTTAACAAACTACTCGTAGGGAATAAGTGCGATCTAACTACGAAGAAAGTTGTTGACTTCACAACAGCAAAGGTTAGTGTGGACTTGCTGTGTATCATCAGGGGGAATCATAAGTGAAATAAATGAAACAGACATGTAATTTACCACAAGGTGTAAGGGAGCTTGTTAGATTTAAGTGTGCAGACAAATGTTTGGATTCTCTGTGGGAGGACTTGTATTTAGGAGAATGCATTAGATGTATCAAAGGAAACCCATTGAAATTTATTTCAGTTGAACCTGTATTAGAAAGGCCTCCTTAAGAATTGCATGCATTGACTGCATTACATATTATATGGTTTACTGCTCAATGCTGGTCATGACCAGAAAATACCAAAATATTTTAGGTTTTTTAAATGCCGTAAATTTTAGAGGACACCCGCTGCTAATATGAGCCCGCAAGACATTTCGCTAATTTAGACACCAACGTTATTTTCTCGCAGGAATTCGCCGACCAGTTAGCCGTACCCTTCCTCGAGACGAGCGCGAAAAACGCGACGAATGTCGAGCAAGCTTTCATGACGATGGCTGCTGAGATAAAGAACAGGATGGGCCCGCCCGCGGCGTCCGTGACAGGCCAGAACAGTAACGTGAAAATAACCAGTACCCCGGTGAAACAGGGCGGCGGTGGGTGTTGCTAACTGAGATACACATCATTGATTTAGAGACTACAATAATATGACGAATAACCCTTAATTGAACGCTGAAGAAACGCATAGTTATATACCGTTCCATCGTCGTCCTCATCACGTGATTTACGGGATTACTACATATTGCCATGGATTGCAAAATTAAAGGGGAACTCGTTACAACAGTACGCATGCGTCGAGATTACATCGAAATTTGAAACTTTAATTTGTTTGTAGGATACCTCTTTGTAATAGTTCGTTTGTTTGATATTATATTATAGCAATGGTATGTATATGATGTAGTCACGCGCTCGTTTCGTGTTTCCCCTTGTTAATGTCTGGGGTGGAAAAAATAATTACATGACGTATACCATCCGAACGACCGCACGTCTAAATGCTAGATGGCGGCATGTCGATCAACAATTTTATTTCACAATGTTTGTTGTGTGACGTATGTCTTATGCTGAATGGCTTTCCTGTTGACGAGTTACGTTCTCCGAATGTTGTCCTATTTTTGTCGATTTAAACGGAAAGATAGACGTTCTTTCGACTTCGTTATTCATGTGGTCTTATACAAAAAGGAGATTACTTATTTATCGTACTCTTTACTTTAGATAACTAACTTATAAGTTCGTCCTGTGATAGCCTTCAGATTCGCTTTTGTTTTTGATCGGCATGCTGCAATCTTTTTGTTTCAGCGAATTCGTGAGGTTCGCCATTTTTTTTTCGATCAGAGAATGTCTGAATAACCTTATTATTAAAAAACTTCAAATTATAACATATGATTTGTCACTTTTGAAATTAAAATAGGGAAAAGCTTTTGTTGTAGTAATTAATTTGAGATCGCAGCATTTCGACTTCGCATATTATTGTTAGTTTCAAATTATAGCCATATCACATGTTAATGACTCTTGAAAGTTTTGCATGAAGTGCTGTCAATTTTAGGCCATTAATTAAATCCCGTAAATTAATAAACCTCTGCGCATTCCAGCTAGCCTGTGCACTGACCTATATATCTTTCCAGATATGCGTATGATTCCAGTCACTCGATTTTGACGATCAAATTTTTTAAAACTCTTTAAATCCTGCATTATGATTAGCTAGATGCGCCATTGATCTATATATAGTCCCGTAAAGTACGAAAAAGAATAGCCGTTGTATCTCTCACATTACTCACTGTAATCACATTTCTTCCACCTCTGACAGTAGCGCTTTATTTTGTATATTGAAACTTGTATTAGTCATTTTCCAGCAAATTTATATGTAATATAGCAAGGCAAGCATGCGCTAGTGTTTAGATAAACACAAAGTCGTTGATTCTGAGATGGCCTTCGGTTCAGTGTTCGGTTCTCTATGAGCGCATATTAGACAAATGTAGTTTTCTTATTTTATTCATTTGAGATTAGTTTATGATTAAAGCGAATTCGAAATGAAATTTGTTCAACCTCGTGTTCAACTCTTGTGTACATTTTTAAATAGAAAAACAGCCCGGTCAATGTCGTTACGTCATACTGTAGGCCCGTTTACACTTGCAATTTATGCTGCGATTTTCCACCTTTGATAGATATGAACTAGTGAATTAGTTACGGACGTTCAAAGAGTAGCTCGTACACATACGAGTATCCGTAACTTATTACCCGTTCACATCTACCAAAAGAAGAAAATCGCAAGAAAAAAATATTAAATATTACAGATTAAATTTACATCATCATTACACTAAAAGACGACAATCAATATGATACATCATAGCAAATTTTGCAATAAAGAGCGAGTCATTGTGAAAACTAGCAAGAAAACAATATTCCTAAAAGCTCTGACTATTCATTGATGCGCAAAAAGCTCGTCAAATTTCGCAAATTCGGTGAGTCGCGCCGTTGAATTTTATACTTTATACGTTTTTGTTGCTTATGTGTTGCTGTTATGACTACAAAAAATAAATATCAGAAATACCATAAAATTTATCGGAAATACTAGAAATCTAGAACACTAATTTCGCCGAGCAATCAAAGGGGACTGGGTGCCGGTCAATAACAGTGGTCAATAATTGGCTATTCATTCAACAGTCTGTTACATTAAATTATTTGTGATTGTTTTGTTCGAAAACTCTATCACAATTTTCATTTTTTTTCGTCAAAATGTCTGCGAGAAATGCATCTCATGCGGGAAATTGGTACCCCCGCGACAGTAAGTAGTTTAAAGTTTTTCTTAGCTGAATATTCACGCGTTTTTAGTTGACTTATTGAACAATCTTGAGACCTTAGTTAGTCTGAAGTGAGTGTGTGTGACCTTCTCGTTGTTTATGTCAACAATTTTCGTTCTCTATTGTAGAGAAAGAGCTGTCAGATAAGCTGGAAGGCTGGCTATCGGGTGCGAGTCGTGTGAATTGTCCTGTCAAAGCTGTAATTGCTCCGTAAGTAGTTGATCGCAAAAGATCGTAGACGTATTTATATAGTAGACGTATTCTTATAAATAGAAAGGTCTTTAATTAATAGTTGTTTATTAAAGTTTAACATAAATATTTGTGAAAATGTTACATTGTATTAATCTATGTTGAGTGAACATGTTGAACGAAGTTAAAATGAGTCTAACATTTTCAGCCAATATCAGGCAAAAGAAATGGGATACACAATATACTTTTATGTAATATTGAGTGTTATTGTCAAACAATTCCGTGTTGAGTGTGGGAATTAAAACCTCTCATGGTGAATTAACACCTTTATTCTAAAAAAACAATTCTAAAATGAAGGCTGTGTAGGCAAAGACACTTAGGACAGTAGATAGGGGTGATCCTATAGATCATCCTATCATGCATGGTTATATATCTATTCAATATACTCACCAAGTCCCCTCTTCTATTGAAATGCTTTAAGGGTTGGTATAAAAGTAGGAATTTCTAAGATTAAGATAATTATTATTAGAAGTGTAGACCCTGTGAACAGTTTCCAATGTTCAGAGTGCATTGGGACTCCAATTAATTGTACTGTCGTACCATCTCAAAAATTATCATGCGCTCATGCAGTACTACTTACCTCTGATATATGCTTTATGTTATCAACCATTTCTGTGTATTATGGTACATTTTATCATTCATCAAAAGTATATGAAAAAAGATTTTGAAATACTAAAAAATATCAATCTTCAATTCTAAGTTAAATAACATTTTTAATAACAGGTCCAAAAACTAATATTAATTTCATGCAACTTCCTCTCTGCAACTTTGGTTAAATGAATTTAATTTGTTTAATCTATTTCAGGCACGCTGGGTACTCTTACTGTGGTGCGGTCGGAGCTTATTCTTATAAGCAGTTTGATCCACGAACTATGTGAGTTAATATAAGCAGTTTTATCCACAATATATGTGCTAGTTCCACAAAGATTTCTTTTAATTGAATCTGACTGGATTTCAAATTCATTCTTTTGTAGAAAGAGGATATTTATACTTGGCCCATCACATCATGTGTACTTACCTGGCTGTGCTGTGTCTGGAACTTCATTCTATAACACACCATTGTATAACTTGAAAATTGATACCAAAGGTAATGGTAATTATATTATTTCCAAGTTGTTTGTGCAATTTGACTTGGGATTATTCTTCAAGTTGTCCATTAAAACTTGTGGCCGTTGGTTGTATTAAGGTATATTTCATCCATCTTTTTAATTCAGTAAACGAAGAACTTACATCAAGCGGTTTGTTTGAGGTCATGAATATAAACACCGATGAAGATGAACACAGCATTGAAATGCAACTACCATATATTGCTAAAGTTATGGAAGGGTTGGTCAATTTCCAAATGAAAATTCATTTAATTTCTTATAAAAAGATTTGGTGGTGTATGCATATAATACTACCTGAAAGCTATATTATGCAAAATTTGATTGGTTTGATTGAGTTCTTACATAAAAGTTTTGTGGTATGAAATGTCTAAAGTAGGCCTTTTTTTCTTTCAGATGTCCGCATGAATTCACAATAGTACCTATTCTGGTTGGTTCATTATCAACCCAGAAAGAAAAAGAGTATGGTCAATTCTTCAGTAAATATCTTGGTGATCCAGATAATTTTTTTGTAATATCCTCAGATTTTTGTCATTGGGGTTAGTAAATCTTAGAATAATAGGTTACTGCATGTATGTTAATTCATAGACATGCTATGTCCAGGTTATTCAAGCGAAAAGTATCGAGAGTAGTATCACTAGACTGTTCTTCATGCCTACTCACCATGTTCAGCATTTACTAGTACTTAACTAACTGGGCTGGCTGCACGAGAGAAACAAAAATTAAGCCATAGACCGTGGAAACGTGGGGATTGGGGAGCTTTAAACCTTTTTGGCGGCAAAAATTATTGAAAAAAGTTATAGCGTTAGAGTTATTTACGTTAAGATAAAATTTTACTGAGGAGTTCTATTTAGGACCTAGCCTCTCCCCCGGTATATATTGGATTGAAATTAGTTATGTTCAGTACATATGTTTTGCCAAAATAAAAAAAAACAGAGACAAAAAGGACAAGCATTTGACCATTAAAACAGCGTGGTTATCCATGTCAAAATATTTGACATCATAACCAAAGCATGGTTGTATTTTCCGGTATATTCGACCATGGTCGAGAACACCGTTTTCCCGCCATATTCGATGCTTGCAAGTTGCAACTTTATATAGATAGGTGTTTGTATATGAGCACCAAACATGCTTGAAACTTTACATAGGCCCAGCATTTGACCATTAAAACAGCGTGATTATCCATGGTCGAGTATACCGTTTCCGGCACGTTCGCCATGGTCGAGTATACCGTTTTCCGGCCATATTCCATGCTTGCAAGTTGACACTTTATGCAGGATGTTTGTATATGAGCACCAAACATGCTTGAAACTTTACATAGGCCCAGCATTTGACCATTAAAACAGCGTGATTATCCATGGTCGAGTATACCGTTTCCGGCACATTCGACCATGGTCGAGTATACCGTTTTCCGGCCATATTCCATGCTTGCAAGTTGACACTTTATGCAGGATGTTTGTATATGAGCACCAAACATGCTTGAAACTTTACATAGCACCAGAATTAGACCATTTAACCTGCGTGGTTATCCATATCAAAATATTTGACATCATAACCAAAGCATGGTTATATTGTTTAATGTTTGTATATGAGCACGAAGCATGATTGCAACTTACATAGGACAAGCATTTGACCATTAAAACAGCGTGGTTATCCATATCAAAATATTTGACATCATAACCAAAGCATGGTTATATTGTTTAATGTTTGCATATGGGCACGAAACATGCTTGCAACTTTCCATAGGAACAGCATTTGACGATTAAAACGGCGTGGCCGGAATTAGACCATGGTCGAGTGTATCATTTTCCGGTATATTCGACCATGGTCGAATGTACCATTTTCCAGTATATTCGACCATGGTCGAGTATACCGTTTTCCGGCACATTCGACCATGGTCGAGTATACCGTTTTCCGGCCATATTCGATGCTTGCAAGTTGCAACTTTATGCAGCATGTTTGTATATGAGCACCAAACATGCTTGAAACTTTACATAGCACCAGAATTTGACCATTTAACCTGCGTGGTTATCCATATCAAAATATTTGACATCATAACCAAAGCATGGTTATATTGTTTAATGTTTGTATATGAGCGCCAAACATGCTGGAAACTTTACATAGCACCAGAATTAGACCATTTAACCTGCGTGGTTATCCATATCAAAATATTGGACATCTTAACCAAAGCATGATTATATTGTTTAATGTTTGTACATGAGCGCCGAACATGCTGGAAACTTTACAAAGTATCTACTATTTCCCAATAATCCTTAAATTGAGAGGCATTTGTGGCCATTTCAGAGGCCTATTGGCTATGTTATTTCAAAATTTTCTCTAGCAGGCGCGCGGTTCCGCATGTATATAGGCAAAATCCCACAATAGTAAAAAATTTAAAGTAGCCTAGTAAAGTAATTTTTTTTTCTACTTTAGGCAAAAGATTTCGATTCACACATCATGATAAAAAGAACAGGCATATCTATCAGTCAATAGAGGCGTTAGATAGAATGGTATGAATGAGACTTGGGATCACCTTAGTGTAGATGACTAGTGACTATAGACTCTAACTCAGCCAAAAATACTAGTGCATGTTTGACCAAAGCCAGATCACTTGTCTTGACTCAAAATGATACAAACAACTTGTTATTTGACATTGACTCAGGCATAAGGACATCCATGTGAAAAGCTTGCATGTCCAGCCAACCTTATTAATAACCTAACAATGTATACCTGATCCCTCTTGTGACTGTATAACATGACGTTTCTGATTATGCTTGGGATCTTTCGCCTTAGGGAATGGACCTTATCGAACAGCTTCAAGCACAAGAGTTTGTAGATTATTTAAAGAAATACGGAAATACAATATGTGGACGACATCCTATTGCTTTATTCCTATTTGTAAGTAGATATCTTGATTGGATCATTATGGGACTGTAGTGTTAACTGTAGTGTGCATGTATAGTCGATTGAATTTGTTCACAAGAAGAAGCTCATTTATAACTCTGTCAGTCATTTTACACTATAAGAGTATATTATTTACGTTTGTTATAATCATTCTGACTAATCATTCTGTAGTGTTAACTGTAGTGTGCATGTATAGTCGATTGAATTTGTTTGTTCACAAGAAGAGACTCATATATAACTCTGTCAGACATTTTACACCATAAGAGTATATTATTTACGTTTGTTATAATCATTCTGACCCGTTATAATTGAATTCTGAGTGTCATCTGTGAATTTTCATGGTGTTTGAAGGCAGGTTAGGTGTGTGCATGTCTGTTGTAAGCATAGAGACTGAAATGTTAGGCAATATGCAACGATATCTCTTTACAAAATGATTGGACCCTAGGCAGGTGCAATATAAAACATTATATTGCGGTCATTGGTGCACGATCTTATGCCTGAGTGTATGATTGGATGGCGTTTTCGCGCCTGCAAGCAAAGCATATACCCAATATCGTCCCTATAATATTGTCCTGTTTCGTTCCCAGATATACCCCCATCACCCTATATTCTTGCCCATCGGTCCTATAGGGATTCCATCGTAATGGCAAACTTCGGGGGAACAGAAATGTTTAAGGAAAAGGGGATAGTATGTGTAAGCAGGGGATAGTATGTGTAAGCAGGGCATAATATGTGTGAAGTGGCCTTACTGTTTACTCCCTATTCTGTGGTTGTACACCAACAATTAAGATCGATTCTGTCTCAAATTTTCCTTCATTTCTTGAAATCATCTCTTCATTTCAGGCAGTGGAATCGTTACACCAGTCTAATGGTCCGTCGCCAAAGTATTCATTCAAGTTCCTAAACTACGCGCAATCGAACAGTTGCCAATCGATGGGCGACAGCTCCGTGAGCTACGCTGCTGGTGTGCTGATGAGACATTAGTAAAAAAAACTCGCGTTACGTGGACACTGATCTTAATTTTCTCTGGACCACAAAACGGTGCTTCGTTGCTTCCCAAAACCACTGCATGCCATAATCATAACAGAGTGTTTGAATTTTTAAGAAAGGCAAGTTTGCGGGGACGCAACGCGGCGATGCGAGGGAAAGGTGGCAGATTAGGGGGCACTTCTGTAGCGGTGCATAATAAAGAATGTTTCCACAACATTGTCTGTTGAACTTCGTTTCGTCGTGTTTTCTATTTCCAAAATAAAATCTCTGGGAGATTTTCACCAGACGATTGTGGAAAAAAAGTCTTTAGTAAATATTGATTTTTATATTATTATATTTGAGTAAATATTTCAAGCCATTTTCAGCATGTTAACGCATTTAGAACATTTTCTAAAGTCAATTTCGCTAAGTAAGGGAGTACCCCTTCTAAATGTGTTAACGTGCTGAAAATGGCTTCAAATATTTAGTAAGATATTTAATATCTTTGTTTTGGGCATATTTGGTTTGTTTTTGAAACATTGAAAAAGTCCTCAATTTCGGCCAAAAAAGTTAGGGTACCCTTGCAATAGTACGCTAAGGGGGTCGAACCCCTACCATTTTGGCCAAAATTGACGACTTTTGAAAATGTTCTTAAAATCTGTTAATATCCTGAAAATAGCTTCAAATATTTACTAAGACTAATATCTTTGGTTTTTGAGCTTACTTTGGTTTCTTTTTGCAACATGCATGAAAAAGTCCTCAATTTTAGCCAAAATGGTAAGGGTAATTTCTTGTCTGTTTTTGAAGCATTGAAAAAGTCGTCAATTTTACTACCATGAGTTTTTCACGCTAATTTTTTTTTGCATTGCCAGAGCTTGAAACATTCGTCCTTGGGTTCAGAGACCAGGGTCTTAACCACTAGACCACCACATCATTTGTCGAAAGCTATCGTTCTTTACTTGACTAAATCCTTTTCGAAGAATTTTAAATGAACAAGACGCCTGCATGTTTTCGCACTAATTCCGGCGTGCCGCGCACTTGCCAGCCTTCTGAACATAAACTCAATATAGTACTCATTTAGATGCCTTGCGAACCTAAATGTTTTTTGACATTATATTCAGAAGACAGAAGCACATCGTACTTTAAAAAGGAAAGAAGTCTAAAAATGTAATGACGTTCACTTTGTCTTACACTTTGGGATTCGCGCTTTTATTAAAAGCTTTTGTTCATGCATAATTATTTAACAATGCATTTCAAAATAGGTTCAAAAGAAAAAAGTACAAGAATTTAAGAATGTATTTCAATGTGTATGACGCGTACATATATAGTCATGAGGCAACAAGCAAGCACCTCGTACTCTCGTAGATTACATCTGAAATAGCAATTGAAGCAAATATCCAGTTAAACAGGCATTGACAGGCATCTCTTTCAAGACTTTGTTTTATAAAGTGTCGAAATATTAGCTGGTTTAGCCAGTTCGTCGACTATAAAATACGCTAAGCCAAAAAATAGAAGTTATATCCAAAAGCGCAATTTGCGCGGTTAACTGCGGTAACAAACTAACAAAAAGCAGCTCAACAATATTACGGCAACGATTCATAATTATTTCATTTAAAAGTTCTTCGAAGAAAGGATTCTTTCAAATAAAGAACAATAGCTTATCGACAAACGATGTGGTCGTCAAGTAGTTGTTAAGACGTTGGTCTCTTCAGTCCAAAGGTTCAAGTATATAGATTAGCGTATCAGTTTATATTCGACGAACCGGTTAGACCAGCTAGTATTTCGACTTTTTATACAGCAAAGTCTTGAAATAAATAGTCAATGTCTGTTTAACTGGATATTTGCTTGAATTGCGATTTCAGATGTAATCTACGAGAGTACGAGGTGCATGCTTGTTGCCTCATGACGTTATACACATTGAAATACATTCTTAATTCTTGTACTTTTTCTTTTAAACCTATTTTGAAATGCATTCTTAATTCTTGTACTTTACTTTGACTTCACTTCATTAAAAATACAAAACAATCGCACCGTCACCATTAGCTTCACTTGCGCCGCATAAAACTAACTTATGGAAAGATAGTGCTCGAAGCCAAAGGAACAGGCAAGCTTTATATAAGGTTGTCTTCGTTTAGACTATAAATTCAATCATGAACATTGAAGTGAACTTATTTAAATTGTTATTTCATTTGAGATCCTACCAAAAAAGTATATATTATTTTATTAAATTTTCCCATCGAATTTACTATTTAATTCTTCGAAGTAAGTAAACATTAGCATTAAAAGCGGGAAATTTTTAAAGGCTTACCCCTTACCATTTTGGTCAAAATTGACGATTTTTCAAAATTTTCTAAAACTGTCTTAACATGCTAAAAATCGTTTCCTAAGACTAATGTCTTTGGTTTTAGAACATATTTGGTTGGTTTTTGGAACCTTGAAAAAGTCGTCAATTTTGGCCAAAATGATAAGCCTTACCCCTTACCATTTTGGTCAATTTTGACGACTTTTTCAACTATTCAAAAACTGTCTTAAAATGCTAGAAATCGTTTCCTGAGACTAATCTCTTTGGTTTTAGAGCATATTTGGTTGGTTTTTGGAACATTGAAAAAGTCGTCAATTTTGACCAAAATGGTAAGGCTTACCCCTTATCATTTTGGTCAATTTTGACGACTTTTTCAACTGTTCAAAAACTGTTTTGAAATGCTAAAAATTGCTTCCTATGACAAATATCTTTCATTTTAGAGCATATTTCGTTCGTTTTTGGAACATTGAAAAACTCGTCAATTTTGACCAAAATGGCAAGGCTTACCCCTTACCATTTTGGTCAATTTTGACGACTTTTTCAACTGTTCAAAAACTGTCTTAAAATGCTAAAAGTGGCTTCCTAACACTAATATCTTTCAATTTAGAGCATATTTCGTTGGTTTTTGGGAATTGAAAAAGTCGTCAAAACTGACCAAAATGGTAAGGCTTACCCCTTACCATTTTGGTCAATTTTGACGACTTTTTCTACTGTTCAAAAACTGTCTTAAAATGCAAAAAATGGCTTCATAAGACTAATATCTTTCATTTTAGAGCATATTTGGCTGGTTTTTGGAACATTGAAAAAGTCGTCATTTTTGCCTTCAAGTATTAAAATGTATTATTTTATGACAAGTATCAAAACATTATGCGGTGGCCTAGTGGTTAAGGCTACTGCCCCACCAGGTTGTGAGCGTAGGTTCGAATCCTGCAAGGAAAAGTGCAATTTTTCCCACCTAAATTGCTATTTAATTTAAAATTCTGCGAATAGGATTGAGTAAATAAAAAACAAGAGCTTTTGATAAGTGATGCTGTGGCCCAGTGGTTAAGGTTACGGACTACCAGGTTGCAATCCTAGGTTCGAATCCTGCATGGGAAAGGCTCGATTTTTCCCACCGAAATTATTCTTTAATTTAAACTTCATCGAAAAGGATTAGGTCAAATAAAGAACAATAGCTTTCGACAAATGATGCGGTGGTCTAATAGTTAAGACATTCGTCTCCCGATCCGAGGACTAACGTTTCAACTCCTGGCAATGCAAAAAAATTAGCCTCAAAAATTTCGGTGTGATTTTGGAATGTTTAAAACAGTTAAAAGACTTTTCGGCCTTTGCAAAAGACCGTAAATTGAAAAAAAATTAGAAATATAAAAACCAAAAAAAAATTATCGCCTTCAAAAGTACCTGAAAATTGAAAGAAAGGCACAAGTCAAAAAAGTTTTAAAAACACGTGTCTTCTAAAAAGCCTGAAAATGAAGAAAGTCAGACGGGAAAAAAATTAACAATTTCCCGCTTTTAAAAAACTCATGTTTACTTACCTTAATTTTTTTTCACGAAAATTTGACAGGGTGATTTTCTCGAGAGTGAAAAAATTTAATTTTTTTCACTTTTTTGAAATTCTCTAAGATTTTTTTTTGACAGAGTTGGATTTTGTCTTGGGCTACCTGTGTCTGTCTTGGGCTACCTGTGTCTGGCTTGACACAGGTAGCCCAAGACAAAATACTTTTTCGTCAAAAAAAAATCTATGAGAATTTCAAAAAAGTGAAAAAAACTAAATTTTTTCACTCTCGAGAAAATCACCCTGTCAAATTTTCGTGAAAAAAAATTAAGGTAAGTAAACATGAGTTTTTTAAAAGCGGGAAATTGTTAATTTTTTTCCGTCTGACTTTCTTCATTTTCAGGCTTTTTAGAGGACACGTGTTTTTAAAACTTTTTTTATTTGTGCTTTTCTTTCAATTTTCAGGTACTTTTGAAGGCGATAATTTTTTTTTGGTTTTTATATTTCTAATTTTTTTTCAATTTACGGTCTTTTGCAAAGGCCGAGAAGTCTTTTAACCGTTTTAAACATTCCAAATCACACCGAAATTTTTCAGGCTAATTTTGTTGCATTGCCAGGAGTTGAAACGTTAGTCCTCGGGTTGAGAGACGAACGTCTTAACCATTAGACCACCGCATCATTTGTCGAAAGCTATTGTTCTTTATTTGACCTAATCTTTTCGATGAAGTTTAAATTAAAGAATAATTTCGGTGGAAAAAATTGAACCTTTCCCATGCAGGATTCGAACCTAGGATTGCAACCTGGTAGTCCGTAGCCTTAACCACTGGGCTACCGCACTAACGTATATATTAAGGCTGCTATCAACATATATTCCGATGGCCCAGTGGTTAAAGCTACGGCCTACCAGACTGGTAAGGGCAGGTTCGAATCCTGCATGGGAAAGGTTCGATTTTTCCCACCGAAATTACTATTTAATTTAAAATTCATCGAAAAGGATTAGGTCGATTAGAGAACAATAGCTTTCGACAAATGACGCGGTGGTCTAGTGGTTAAGACGTTCGTCTCTCAATCCGAAGACTAACGTTTCAACTCTTGGCAATGCAACAAAATTAGCCTGAAAAATTTCGGTGTGATTTGGAATGTTTAAAACAGTTAAAAGACTTCTCGGCCTTTGCAAAAGGCCGTAAATTGAAAAAAATTTGAAATATAACAACCAAAAAAATTTATCGCCTTCAAAAGTACCTGAAAATTGAAAGAAAAAGCACAAGTAAAAAAAGTTTTAAAAACACATGTCTTCTAAAAAAGCCCGAAAATGAAGAAAGACAGACGGAAAAAAGATTTAACAATTTCCTGCTTGTAAAAAACTCATGTTTACTTACCTTAATTTTTTTTCACGAAAATTTGACAGGGTGATTTTCTCGAGAATGAAAAAATTTAATTTTTTTCACTTTTTTGAAATTCTCTTAGATTTTTTTTTGACGAAAAAGTATTTTGTCTTGGGTTACCTGTGTCAAGCCAAACACAGGTAGCCCAAGACAGACACAGGTAGCCCAAGACAAAATACTTTTTCGTCAAAAAAAAAATCTAAGAGAATTTCAAAAAAGTGAAAAAATTAAATTTTTTCATCCTCGAGAAAATCACCCTGTCAAATTTTCGTGAAAAAAAATTAAGGTAAGTAAACATGAGTTTTTTAAAAGCGGGAAATTGTTAGATCTTTTTTCCGTCTGACTTTCTTCATTTTCGGGCTTTTTAGAAGACACGTGTTTTTAAAAGTTTTTTTAATTGTGCTTTTCTTTCAATTTTCAAGTACTTTAGAGCGCAAGAATTTGTTTTCATTTTTTTTTATTTCAATTTTTTTTAATTTACAGTCTCCCGTAAAGGCCGAGAAGTCTTTTAACTGTTTTAAAGATTCCAAATCACACCGAAATTTTTCAGGCTAAATTTGTTGCATTACCAGGAATTGAAACGTTTGTCCTCGAATTGAGAGACGAATGTCTTAACCTCCAGACCATCGCGTCATTTATCGAAAGCTATTGTTCTTTATTTGACCTAATTAATCCTTTTCGATGAAGTTTAAATTAAAGAATAATTTTGGTGGGAAAAATCGAACCTTTCCCATGCAGGATTCGAACCTAGGCTTACTACCTGGTAGGCCGTAGCCTTAACCACTGGACCACAGCATCATTCATCGGAAACTCTTGTTCTTTATTCGACTTAGCCCTATTCGCAGAATTTAAAATTAAATAGTACTTTTCCTTTCCAGGATTCGAACCAAAGCTCACCACCTGGTAAGACGGTAGCCTTAACCACTGGGCCACCACATCCTGTGTTAACACTTACCATAAAATAATACGTTTTAATACTTGAAGGCAAAATTGACGACTTTTCGATCTTCCAAAACGCAACCCAATATGCTCAAAAGCCAAAGAGATTAAACTTGGGAAGCCATTTTTAGCATTTTAAGACAGTTGAAAAAGTTGTCAAAATTTACGAAAATGGTAAGGGGTAAGCCTTATCATTTTGGTCAAAATTGACGACTTTTTCAATGTTCCAAAAACCAACGAAATATGCTCTAAAATGAAAGATATTAGTCCCAGGAAGCCATTTTTAGCATTTTAAGACAGTATTTGAACAGTTGAAAAGGTCGTCAAAATTGACCAAAATGGTAAGGGGTAAGGCTTACCATTTTGGTCAAAATTGACGACTTTTTCAATGTTCCAAAAACCAGCCAAATATGCTCTAAAATGAAAGATATTAGTCTTATGAAGCCATTTTTTGCATTTTAAGACAGTTTTTAACAGTAGAAAAAGTCGTCAAAATTTACCAAAATGGTTATATTGTTTAATGTTTGTATATGGGCACGAAACATGCTTGCGACTTTACATAGGACAAGCATTTGACCATTAAAACAGCGTGGTTATCCATTTCAAAATATTTGACATCATAACCAAAGCACGGTTATATTGTTTAATGTTTGTATATGGGCACGAAACATGCTGGAAACTTTACATAGGACAAGCATTTGACCATTAAAACAGCGTGGTTATCCATTTCAAAATATTTGACATCATAACCAAAGCATGGTTATATTGTTTATTGTTTGTATATGGGCACGAAACATGTTGGAAAGTTTACATAGGACAAGCATTTGACCATTAAAACAGCGTGCTTCAATATCAATTCAATATCAATGTATGTATAAAGGCCGCTGATCTATACAAATATAGTTTAGTATTAATAGGTCAGTGCATGCGTAGGTCTTCAGAGAAATGGGATTTATATTATAAGATTACTTTGTGCTCACCAAAAATTCTTTTTCATGCATGTGTTGAAGAAGTATGTTTTGCATCTTGGCGCATAGCTTGTGAGAGTAAAACTTGAAATCCATCTCATTTAAAGTGGTTCTAAATTTAAAGCGATAATGATGTGACGTAATTACCGAAAAGGTCCATTATGACACGCTAAAGAATGTCCAGAGCTTCAGTTTGGGTTTTCAGATAAAACCAATACGATTTCTCCAATTTCCCGAGCATGAATATTGGTTGTAACTTATATATACTTATATATACTTATATATACTTATATATACTTATATATACTTATATATACTTATATATACTTATATATATCACTATTGATTTGGATAGTCTCACTGTTTTTATACCGTGTCGAATCTCTTTTAAAAGTTACTTGGCGAACTGCGAAGCATATTGTTCAGGCATTTGAGCATGAAAGTTGTATATCAGCTGAATACTCCACTTGTCGAGAGCTATCTCTTGTTTTTTCTTTTTTTCACTGCGGCTTTTTTGACATCTTTATGGCCGGGTACAACCTCTCCATTTTCTTTCAGATTTTGGGCATCTGTAAAAAGTGACGCGCATGCAGGTGATAAGCACGATTGGACTGAATATTGGTGCATCCTTAATGATGAGCCCTTAATTTAAGAAGTGGAATCCAGAAAATCGAGTAGGGCAATTCACATATCGAATCTGAAATGCAAGCATGGAAATCCGGAATCCAAGGATTGGATACCGGAATCTAAGTGTGGAAATCCGGATTCAAACGTCTGGAATCCGGAATTCAAATATCCCTTGGGTTAGCTTGCATAGGGCCAAAGCATACTCGAAAATTTTCAGAAATCACATTGCAGAAATCACATAAACTACAATTACTACATCTTCCAATTCGATACATTTGCCTTAAAATACGTGACTGCTTAGTCACACGCATAGGGGCAAGAATACTGAGCTTGGGAAATTGCAGAACACTACTGAAAAAACCCTTTGGCGACTACTAAAAACAGTTTTGGCCTAACCATAGGCATCGGTAAAAATATGACCGATGCGCGGTGGCCTGAGTTCTATACTTACATCGCATTCCAGCTGTTTGTAACTTTCCTTCTTTTGTCGGATATTTGCCAACAAATCCTGATGAAGCCAGGGGTATGTCAAGCAGTGCGTTTAACTCCGCTGAAAATAAAAAAGATCATGAATGTTGGCTTGCCTGAATTCCCATAAGAATTTTTTATTCCGTACCTTTTTTGCCGGACAATCTCTCTTTCATCACTCGCTGTTCCCGCGAATCTCCCAAATCCTCTAATCTAACTAAATGTTAAGAGAATGCAAGAACAATAAAACCACTCAACAATAATAACAATACTGTCAAGAAATCCTGACTAAAAAAACTATGAACCCGGTTCTAAAAAAGCGAAACATAATTTCAGTCTATAGCACGTGACGCACACGTGCGTTCTGAATGGTCGAATCAGGTCATCCAAAACACGAAAACTTGATTCGCTGATGGAAATCAAATTAGAAACATTTTTTGTTGTTATTTTAGAGAACAATTACTTAATGGATTCCAGTGCTTGGATGGCCTGCTTGGATCTAAACACTTGGGAATGTTGCTTGAGTTAAGAAAAGCTCGAAAAATCACTCGCTTAGGCTCGTGTTTCGCGCGCTTTCTTAACTCTCGCAACCGATTCCCGCATGCTTGGACCAGACCATCCATTAGGTAATGGCTCACTGAAGAATTTTTGGAATTAAAATATTAAAATTAATGAAACATTCGTTATATAGCCTAGAACAAACTCATGATTGTGTTAGTTAGGCAATAATCAGCAGTCACTCAGACTAGCGGCAATGGAACAACACACAATGGCATCAAAAACGTCTACAGAAACCGTGCAAAGCAACAAATCAGTCTTACACTAACAGAACTGCACTAATCTACCCTAGTTTCACTGCACACACGAAGTAAGGATACAAATCTTCGTCAATTTCAAGTTCGGCCTCTTTTGCGTTGTTCAAAAACCAATCGTTGCTCCATTTCTTTTTGCGGAATCTTGAATAAACCAAACCATCGAAAATGAAAACATTAAACAACAAGACAGAGCTGGGACTAAGTATCATATTAAACACGTACTGATGTTCTTCCTTATCAATCGTTCTCGCTAATGAAACCCGTTTTCTGATTTCGTTCAAATATTCTATGTCGACTGGAAAGTCTGGTGGTTCATTGTCTAGAAATGTTAAACAGAAAGTTCAGATTAGAATTCATATTTTAAGAATTAGATATAAGATATAAACTAGATATAAACTAGATAATCTGTTGGAAATTGTGCGGCTATGGGATAATTATCATAATGCATACAAACGTCATAGGTATAAATTAATACTGAGGATCAATAATAAGTAAGAAAGGTAATTACGGACAGATTGGAAGTGGAAGTGACGTTCAACTTAAGAGTATCAAATAGCGATTGTGATAGTGAATGTGAGTTAGCGTTTTTACTTTACTCTTTATTATGAAAAGTTAAACTATAATTGTGATTGTGTTGGTTTAACATAGCCTCTAACGGCATTCCCAACAAACTCTTAACAATTCCCTATTTATTACTTGCCAAGAACGGTCTAACTAGAAAGGCGGGAACTAGTAGCGTGTTGATTGGCTCCTTAGCGGTCGTTATAATCAAGATAACAGAACCCTGAACTTTGGCGGGAAAATTTGAAATTTACATTTCCCCACTGAAAAACATTTTCGAAAACAACTGTTGTTTCTTCGTTTTATCTTAGTAGCCATTAAGAATTTGAAGAACATTTTTTCGCGAGGTAATTTTGATGTTCTGAATTGAATTGGAATAAAATAGACATAAGAAATAAAAAAATAAATATGTATTTAGTTGACAACGACTGACCTTTCTTTAGGCCTTTCCAGATTTTCTCATACGACCGCAGGTCATCAGGACCAATTAGTAACAGGCTCAGACCTTCGTTTTGAATTCTCGCTGTCCGGCCGCTTCGATGGACATACACCTGTAAAACGATTGTGAATTAAACCATTTAGCCTTTTCGCCTCCTGTTTCGATAATTCGCGATGTTGTTAATCCAGTGCAGAGGCGTAGCCAGCTTGACGATTTTGTCCCGCTATGTAAATTTCGAGTTATTATAATTATTCATTTCCTTAGAAATTTATTGTTTTCACAGTCAGTGAACACCAAAATATTAGCATAGCGGGACAAATCGTCAGGCTGGCTACGCCACTGACCCAGTGTACTTGTTACAAACTGTCACAGGACATACTGGATATATTGATAAACAGGATTTACCAACAACATAAATGCTACGCTGTGCGACAAAGCCAAAATAATAACCTGTATATATACAAGCCCTATCTCCCTATAGTCCTACAGGGCAAACTGTGCAAACAACATGTTAGGAAAAACTTGACTGCCGAAAGTTACAGACCTCAGCATTCTTTGGTATTTGATAATGAATCACGTGTTGCACTCCTTTGATATCCAGGCCCCTCGCGGCGACATCTGACGCCAAAAGCAACCCATCGGCACGTGACTTGAACCTGAAGAAAATTTTCGGTTAAGAGTAACGAGATGTTTTCTCGGTTGAAAGGACCTGGTGGGGGGGGGGAGGGGTGAGGTCATTACTAACCTATTAGGACTGTAATGGGCCTACAAAATCACAAAATTGAATCACTTTAATTGTAAAATTTAGAAGCACAAACCGGTCAAGATTCTTTAGTCTTTGCCGCTGTTGTATACCAGCATGCAATGCGAGCGGGGCGAGTTTGAGGAGGTTCAATATTGACAGAAGACGTCTTAATGTATCGATGGTATTGACAAACACAAGAGTCCGCTTCGGGTATTTCTTTAGAAAGTAGTAAAGATATACGTCCTGGCGGAGAGAATTGATAACTATTAGCAAAACCAACATCTTGTTAGCAATCTTCTGTTTGCATTTTCTTCTTGAGGATCATAATATTTTGATCTATTGCTACCCTAACATTTACACCATGATTTGTAATCATTGTAAGGAAAGAGAAAACCGTTTTCAAGCATGAATAAATACATGATTGCCTAAGATATGAATTTGACACAAAACATTTGGAAACAACATTTTCACAAATTTTCAAAACCATTCCAATGTATAACTTCATACAAAATTTTGGAAAAATATTTTTAAAAACTTTAATAACATTTTAATGGCAAAGACATAAATTTTATACAAAACATTTCGTAACAAAATTTTCACATATTTTCATAAAATGTCAGTAACTACACATAACAAAAATAACAAAACTCGATAGTAAGACTCGCCTTGTCTTGAACAGAACACATGAGTTTGGCCTCAGTTAAACTTTCAACCGTGAGACCTTTTCGCGTTAAGTCGATTACTTTTGATTTCTCTCGCAAACCAATCTTCTTTAACAACGTATCTGAGGCAAAAATAAAAAAGTGCGGGTTTGCATTTCATATTTATCCGCGTATATAATTATTCGACAATTTCACATCACATCGAATTCCTTACCAAAGTTATCTTTGTTGTTCTTTTTGGAGGTAGACGAGTACGTTAACGTGGCAGAAAAAACAAATTTCTGTAATTTTGACAACATTTTTTCGGCTGCGAAAAACAATTTGGAAATACTTGTGAGTCAAGATTCAGGCAGTTTAATACTGTCCTTCCTCGCACAACTTCCTAATTTGTAAGCTTTGCCTGAAGGACTAAAACTGCTTGCGCAGAATACGTCGCAAATAGAGAAAGTTTAATAACCTTTTCTTTCGTCTGAAATAAACTATTGTTAAAACTTACAGCTGATATTAATCTTGTCCATTAAGAAAGACAGCTCTTGGTAATGTCCTTCTTGGATCATTCTATCTGCTTCGTCGATTACCAATGATTGCAAATTGCTTACGTTTGACAAATGTTGTTGTCCCTACAATGATGGATGAAAAGTTTAAAGAGAAAAGTCAAAACTGAAATTTGCATTGGTAAATCCCGTGTTCTGATTGGTTTGCAGCGAGTATCAGTGTTTAAAACCACTGTTTTAGATCCCTTGAATATTTCTACCAAATACTTTCAAACTTATAGGATTTCCGTTAAAAATCCCAACTGTGGTACAGAAAATTTCACATGGTAAACAAGCTCTAAGTCTTTCATGATTATGTTCACCAAATGGTTATTTTCTCTATTCAATATTATTTTTCAATATTATTCATGCATAAAAGGTCTATTTCTCTCTTATATTTTTGTGCAAACGTTTGTCACAATGGATAATATAATACAGCAGCATATACCTGTTCAATCAAATGCCACAGACGTCCTGGAGTTCCTACAACGACCTCAGGTGTCCCCCTGAGTACTCGTTGCTGCTTCTCTTCAGACATTCCGCCAACTATGCACGCAACCTGCAGAAAAAACGCAGGGAAGATAAGCCGGACGCACACGCTACATTTTTACTTCGAGTGATTTTGATTTCAATGCATGTTAAGACGAACGCAAAGCCCGACCGTTAAATGATCTGTTGGGTACCTGACCGCCGACAATGGCCATTGCCGATGAGAACTAGGCTTTAGAGGTGCCATCCTCACTAACCGCACAGTATTTTGCTCCAGGCGGAGTAAACGCCTGAGTAGGCGTCTTGTTATATATAATTATGTAAACAAAAGCTTTGTTCACGTTCTGAATTGCCATATTTTATGAAATACTGTGTACTGTACCTTGATTGACAAAGTTTTTGCAACATCCTGAAGATTCTTGTGCACCTGCAATGCTAGTTCACGTGTGGGAGCTAGGATAAGCGCCCGCACTCCTTGATCATTTTCTTTAATGTCCGAACCCTTTTGCCTTAGTTTTGCTTCCAATATCCTTTGCAACACCGGGATTCCGTAGGCTAACGTCTTACCCGAACCCTAAATTGGAACGTGGAAATACTCTTCAAGTATCGAACCTAAAGACCATAATATACGAGAGAAGAAATTTTGCTGCGGCTTGGAACAAAACGGCTTCACGGAGTAATGTGGAAATGGTTGTTATAGAAATAGCATTTATAAAATAACATGCATATAACGTGTGTTCTGATTGCTCGAAGCCCGTGTTTGGATCAGGTCATCCAAAGACGAAAATTTAATTTTAATGCATGGAAATCAAACTTGGGACGCTATCTTGTTGTGGACGCTAACAATTACGTAATGGTTTCCCGTGTTTGGATGGCGTGATCCAAGCACTTGGGAATGTTGGAGGTAGATTATCAGCACTAGCTTGGCTTCGGTAGTCTGGAACAACCCAAAAACAAACACCGTACAACTTCCCATGGTAACTATATGCACCATAAACGTGTGTTCTGTATATGGGCATAATTTTCATGGGAAGTTGTGCAATCTTTTTTTCCGATTCTTTAAACAAAACAAGATCGAAAAATATATTCCAATCCATGCCTTTACAAGGGGACTGATATATTTATTTACCCAAACAATATTATATGTCACATTGTGGAGGCTATGGTTAACCTTAACCCGATCTCGCGTCACCATATACACTTATACCATATTATAATCCATAACTTACAGTTTCCGCCGCACCAATGATGTCCATTCTACTCTGGATTGCTGGTGGTATGGCTTTTCTTTGAATCATTGTTGGTTCTTGGAAACCCAAGTCAAGTAAACGCTTCCCAATCTGGATATGAGTACCAAGATATGTCCATTCGCTTTCAACTTCCACACCTATATCTGGTTGCAATTTTAAAATAGGTTAACGGTGGCTATGTTAATACATTATAATAATAATGGCCGTCTTTGGCTAAAGAATTACAACGGTACGGAGTTGCAAAAAAGCTGCGGGTACGCGGGTACCACCAGGAGGAATGTTTGCTTTGAATGAGGTTTGTGAGAAAGGTTCAAAGTTGAACACTCTAATTGATCACATGCATGTACCAAAAAACCAAATATTTCTTTATGCTGGTTGCCACTTGACTCAGTGAGGTAACGTCATTTTGAGGAAGGTTTTCAAAACTTGAAATCCTACCGAAGAAAGGTTGATCTCTTTTTGCAACTCTGCGGTATCACAAATATAGAATATGAAAATTTTACATCAGTATTTAAAATATAAAAAAAATATAAAAAGTGTATAAAATTTTATCAACCAATGTTTATATTATATTAAAAGAGAAAACAACTTCCTAAAATATACATGGAAATATGACCATTTTAGTTATTATTAGTTATTACTATGTTCATTAGAATATTACAATGACATTCATATGACAAGATTACAGTTACCACTTATTTACTGCGAACGAAGGAAACATTATGTTTTGTGGCTGCACTGAAATACAACAGGACCGGTCTGGCCGTTTTACTGATGTATATAGGAAGGCGCCCATAGATTCCAAATTTTGCTTTCATGCAGAATTAAATTTATATGCTTCTGAAAAGTGAAAATTTGCGTCGCTTTGCCGCATCGCACCCTGTCTGTGTCGACATTAAATTATGCACATCAAATTCAAGCCAGGAAGAATTGAAAAAAAATGTATCAATGTATTTACGGATTCTTCATCGGGAGAAGTATGTCACAAAATCGTAACTGATTTACCCCCAGGCACCCACCTATTCGCAATAATGGCCATCCTAAATTACAGAGTAAACTGCTCTTGTCTTACAACTGTAACTTTTGTCTCATTTGTTCTGTTTGTTCGTGAACACCTAGTGCTGTTCTGCATGGCAGTCAGGAAACTATACATGTATGGTGTGAAGCTGTAATATATGCGGCCTGTAAATATTTTTACAAAGCCGTTGTTTGGAGTCTTTGTGCCCCAAATAGGGATGATTGAAACTACTTGCCAAAAGAATATTTCGAAATCAACCCTGATGAATTAAGACACTAGACCGGAGTGTCGAAACGTGAGGTCGTGAATGTAATTTCTGCATGCATGGTGATTATTTATTCAAAAGCAGTCAGCGATAATTCCGATGTTTTTCTGGATTGTCCTATTTTTAAAAGTTCCCAATTTGTGAATTTCCTGTTCTCAAGATATACCTCTTACAGTTGATACAAGCAGGTCAACAACCCTTATAATTGAAGTCAATATAATGTCAACAACACTTTATATACATGACTGTCTTCGTACACATGAAGTCATTTATGAAGCTTTGTATATAAAGACAAGTCATGTATAAAGAGATTTTATTTATCGTCTTTGGCAAAAGAATTACAATTAACGGTATCACAAATTTAGAAAATTACGATTTTAAAAATATAAAAATATATAAAAAGTGTATAAAATTTTATCAACTATATGTTTATATTATATTAAAAGAGAAAACAACTTTCTAAAATATACATGTAAATATGACCATTTTAGTTATTATTAGTTATTACTATGCATGTTCATTAGAATATTACAATGCAATTTATATGACAAAATTACAATGACATTTGTATGAACAAACCTGGTAATGTATTCACTGCACGCATGCAGGTGAAGCTACGGTATCGCAAGTGACAAGCTTTGAACTAGAATCTATACCAGAATTGATATTTATATCTATTATTTTTCTACTGAGAGAGATTTTATATCTTTTATAAGACAAGTCAAACAATTATTGTTGAACAATGCTAGAGAAGGATTATTATTATGCATTCATGCATAGTGAATAGATTTCAATCTAACATTTCCTATTTATTTTAATATTCTATATAATTGTAATATAATTTAGCTTTTATAACATTTATACTATAGTATATTGAAGATGTAGAGCTACAATGTAGAGATGCTTCAATTAAACCGTTATTATTATTATTATTATTATTATTATTACTGCATGTGTCTAAAAACCAACACAGACAGGACACGATTTGGTAACCCGGCGGGATTTTTAATAATATTAATGCTAGTAGATTTCTTAACGAGAATACATTTTGACTGCTCTAGCATCCATAGGCCGCTTTACATTAAACGGCCAAAATGGTCAGACTGGTCAAATTTGGAATTGAAATAGAGTTGAAACGTGGGGTCGTGCATGAATGTAATTTCTGTATGGTGATTACTTATTCAAAAGCAGTTAGCGATAATTCCATGTAAAATGTTTCCTGCCCTATTTTTAAAAGTTCCCATTGTGAATTTCCTGTTCTCAAGATAACCCCGCGGGCTTAAAGCTGATACAAGGTCAACAACCCTTGAAGTCAATATAATGTCAACAACACTTCATATACATGACTGTCTTTGTGCATATGAAGTCATTTATGAACGTTTGTCACGTGATGTACAAAGACAAGTAACGTATAAAGGGTCGAAGTAATGTATGAAGGGTCGATGTAATGTATATAAAGGGTACCTTGAGAACGTAACAGGAAATTCAAGAATTGGGAACTTTTGAAATAGGGCAAGCCAGGAAAACATCGCAATTATCGCTGCTCCGCTTTTGATTAAGTAATCAGCAAAAAAAAATTACATTCATGCACGACCCAACGTTTCGACACTCCAGTCAAATGTCTTCGTCAGGGATGATTTTGTGTCGAAACTTTGATCCATACTCTCAACATGACGTCACCTGCCAATCAGATGATTTAAGGTCGACATCGTCGCCTATTCCAAAAGTTCCCAATTCCTGAATATCTTTGTTCTCAAAATAACCTTTGAAGTCAGTACAAGATCAACAACCCTTGATACTCATGTATGAAAGGTTGTTGACTTTGTATTGACTTCAAAGGGTATCTTTACAACAGGATATTAAAGAAATGGGAACTTTTGTAAAAGAACAACCAAGGATAACATCGAAATTATCGGGAACAGGGAAGAGCGTCAAGTATAAATACGGCACTTCTGTCCACAACTTTCATAACACCAACAATCTCTGAGACAACACATATAACCATGGCGTTCTTGTGTTTCCTGATAATCTGTTTGTTCGGTTCCCTTGAAGTCAGCGCTGGTGGTATTAATGACATCTTTTTATCGAGGTCCATTTACGTTCCTGACCACGACGTGCTCGGAATAATCAGCGAAAGCATTTTCAGCAATTCCAAAATCTACAAGCCATTACCTGCTCACTGTTACCACGAAACCCCAGTTCATCAATCCCATAAATTTTTCACATTTTACCGAGATACGGCATCCTTTTATTCGTCAATTGCAAGGAGTGTAAACCTCGGCGCGTCGTTAGAAAGCGATTTCAGCCTACAGGCAACACTGAAAATCCAATCGAAAAATGTCGCCGGTTCTAGTAACGAAGTCTCTGGAAACGAGTTGGTGATTTTCGCAAAATCAATGAGCTTCGCGGTGGAAAAGTCGTGCTTGGTCGAACCCGAAGCATTTACAAATGAGTTTCTTTCAGATCTGCGTCGGCTGCCGACAGAGATTCACTCGCCTTGGTTGGAAAGCTCTTGGCGGCTGTACGAGACTTTCCAATCAAAATATGGCAGTCACGTTTTGACTGAAGTTACAACGGGGTCCGAAATTGATCAAAGATCCTTTGCCAAGTTCTCAGAATCATACACCGAGAGAGATTTCCAAGTGAAATCATGCCTGGGATTGGCTGGACCAGTGCCTATTGGAAAAATTGGTATTGACATTTGCGGGAACATTACGGAGGAAGAAAAAAATCGCGTGAGCAAGCTTGAAATGACGACTACAACGACTGTCAATGGCGGCACGAAAGAGACTCGCAACAGGCTCTTGACGAATCGGAGTAAAGAATTGATTGAACAATTTTTAAACGAAGCGAACACGACTAAAACACCAATCCGCTACAGGCTCGACCCCATTTGGAACATCATAAAACAAAGTTACATCGGCGTGTCTGACGATTTCATCAGAGGCGTCAATATGGAGTCGTATTATCTCGGTTTTTTGAACTATGGGTGCCCGTTTCAAACCAGCGGCGGGCAAATTTTGCAACAATTTACCACAACGGCTTCAAGTACCCCGGAAATTCCTGACTACGAATGCACCTTAGCCCCAGAGGGCTGTCACAGTGATCATGACTGTCATTATCAGATTGGAATCTGGTGCGGATGTGAAGGCGATTCCTGTGTCAGATACAAGGACAACACACTGGATACCGGCAAAACTAAAACAACTGCGTACATAAATCATGAAAAGTGGGATTGGAAGGGATGCACATGGAAAGTTGCTGGATTTACTTGTAAATGCGGTGACGAAAGAACGGAACGAAGAAGGGTGTGGCCAGGTGATGCTGGTCAGAATGAGATTCTCTACCATGCTCATAACCAGATGATGCTGAAATACAATCTTCAGACTCAAGACCAAGATGGTATAAAGAATAGAGAAGACCTTTAATAATGATTGACTTTTGATTTATTTACCTTATTCAACAACAATTTTTAGTGTAGCTTTTAAATAACTTTTTTTCTTGAGTTTTGTCAACTTGTATAACACGGAAGGAACTCTTAAAGGCGTGATTTATAGCTTGAGTATAATTGTTGTAGAGCATGTCTTAACATTTCTAGTGCACGCCGGTGATGTTTGCCAATTTTTAATTCAATAAAAATATTTCAAATTTCAAACCTCCAGATCTTCAAAGACGGCCTATTTTAGCATGAATAACTCCAAATATTTAGAAATAATTCAGCATGTGTTGTTTGACAAATAAACTTGAATTTGATGTGGTCTTTTTTACCAATAACGAAGCATTATAACCAACTTTCTAACAAAGCATTCTAACCAAAATTGCAAATTTTATTGGGGGGGGGGGGTGTCGCATCCCTCATACCGTGTCACATTGCCCCACCATCACATCCCTGGTGCACATTCTTGTTAAAACGACAGCGGGGTGATATATTAGTCTAGAGGCCTGTTGTAGTGATAAATATAGAATAGTATTTACACTAGCTTCTCTCAAACTCACAAAACTATATACTGTGAGATTTTAGATAAATGCAGACTGTATTGGGTACTTATAAGAACTAATATGAATTTACAGAATTATAATTTAACCAAGGAGCAGTGTCTTCATATATGTGGTATAAAAACTGCAGAAAATACATAAAAAACTTTGACCCAAGAGCCTTCGTCAGGAGAATTGCATATATAGCGAGGTCATACTAACTCTCCTGACCAAGGCTATTAGATTCAAATGTCTATTTTAGGACAGTTGTTATACGACATTTGGTGCTTAATTATATAATTACTGGATGGTTTATACAATGGATAGAGTTGCTTCCACTGATTGCAGAAGTAGCCTTGAATATATTAATCTGAGTCTTTGTGTCCTAAATTAAATAGGGATGATGGAAGCTACTTGACACAAACAAGGATATTTATATCAGGGGACAGTTGTTCAAATGTAGTTTAGCACTAACCCCGGGTTAAATTTTAATTGATCCAGTGTTTTAGTTTATGTGCTTCAGAACCAGTGTTCGTTTAAAAACTTATAGAAAGCATGACTTCTATCGGTCCAGAAATTATTTATGAAAAAAGATATTAAATTTTGGACACAATGACAAGGGATTAAAAAATTTATTTAAAGATTTGCTTTAATCCAGGGTTACCCAAACCGGCTTTTAAACAATCGGCCCCTGATTGGCAGATGCCGTCATGTTGAGAGTATATATGGATCAAAGTTTCAACACCAAATCACCCCTGACGAAGACATTTGACCGGAGTGTCGAAACGTCGGGTCGTGAATGTAATTTTTGTGTGCTGATTACTTAATCGAAAGCAGATTAGCGATAATTGCAATGCTTTCCTGAATTGCCCTATTCCAAGAGTTTCAAATTCTTGAATTTTCCGTTTTCAAGGTACCCTTGAAGTTATTTAAAGCAAGGTCAACAACCCTCCACGCTTGACTTGTAAAGGTACACAAAGCGGTTGCAGAAAGAGTGTTAGAATACAAATACGTACACGGCACTTCTGTCCACAACTTTCATAACACCAATAATTTCCAAGACAACACATATCATGATGTTCTTGTGTTTCCTGATAATCTGTTTGTTCGGTTCCCTTGAAGCCAGCGCTGGTGGCATTAATGATACCTTTTTATCGAGGTCTATTTACGTTCCTGACCACGACGTGCTCGGATTAATCAGCGAAAGCATTTTTAGCAATTCCAAAATCTACAAGCCATTACCCAGTTTCTGTTTCCACGAAACCCCAGTTCATCAATCCCATAAATATTTCACATTTTACCGAGATACGGCATCCTTTTATTCGTCAATTGCAAGGAGTGCAAACCTCGGCGCGTCGTTAGAAAGCGATTTCAGCCTACAGACAACACTGAAATTCCAATCGAAAAATGTCGCCGGTTCTAATAACGCAGTCTCTGGAAACGAGTTGGTGATAATCGCAAAATCCACGAGCTTCGCGGTGGAAAAATCGTGTTTGGTTCAACACGAAGCATTTACAAATGAGTTTCTTTTAGATCTGCGTCGGCTGCCGACAGAGATTCGCTCGCCTTGGTTGCAAAGCTCTTGGCGGCTGTACGAGACTTTCCAATCAAAATATGGCAGTCACGTTTTGACTCAAGTTACAACGGGGTCCGAAATTGATCAAAGATCCTTTGCCAAGTTCTCAGAATCGTACACCGAAAGAGATTTCCAAGTGAAATCATGCCTGGGATTGGCTGGACCAGTGCCTATTGGGAAACTTGGTATTGACATTTGTGGGAACATTACGGAGGAAGAAAAAAATCGCGTGAGTAAACTCGAAATGACGACTACCCTGACTGTCAATGGCGGCACCGAAGAAACTCGCAACAGGCTCTTGACGAATCGGACTGAAGAATTGATTGAACAATTTTTAAACGAAGCGAACACGACTAAAACACCAATCCGCTACAGGCTCGACCCCATTTGGAACATCATAAAACAAAGTTACATCGGCTCGTCTGACGATTTTATCAGAGGCGTTAATATGGAGTCGTATTACCTCGGTTTTTTGAACTATGGGTGCCCGTTTCAAACCAGCGGTGGGCAAATTTTGCAACAGTTTAACACAACGGCTTCAAGTACCCCGGAAAATCCTGACTACGAATGCACCTTAGCCCCAGAGGGCTGTCACAGTGATCATGACTGTCATTATCAGTTTGGAATCTGGTGCGGATGTGAAGGCGATTCCTGTGTCAGATACAACCATACCACATTGGATACCGGCAAAATTAAAACAACTGCGTACATAAATCATGAAAAGTGGGATTGGAAGGGATGCACATGGAAACATACTGGATTTACTTGTAAATGCGGTGACGAAAGAACGGAACGAAGGAAGGTGTGGCCAGGTGATGCTAGTCAGAATGAGATTCTCTACCATGCTCATAACCAGATGATGCTGAAATACAATCTTCAGACTCAAGACCAAGGTGGTGTAAAGAATAGAGAAGACCTTTAATAATGATTGACTTTTGATTTATTTACCTTATTCAACAACAATTTTTAGCGTAGCTTTTAAATAACTTTTTTTCTTGAGTTTTGTCAACTTGCATAGCACGGAAGGAACTCTTTTGCCATTTTTAATTCAATAAAAATGTTTCAAATTACAAACCTCCAGATCTTTAAAGACGGCCTATTTTAGCATGAATCACTCCAAGTATTTAGAAATAATCCAGCATGTGTTGCATATTTGACAAATAAACTTGAATTTGATGTGGTATTTTTTATCAACAACAAAGCATTCTAACCAACTTTTTAAAATTGCAAATTTTTTTTTTGGGGGGGGGGAGGTGTGTCGCATCCGCTATACTGTGTCACATCGCTCCACAATCACATCCCTGGTGCACATTAATTGTAAAACCACTGCGGGGTGATATATTAGTTTATATAATAACGTAAAGAATTCAAGCAATTTCATTGGTCGAGAGCCATGATCTATAAGAGGACAGACGCACGGAATGACGTCACAGCAATTTTCTTGTTTTTAAATTGCAAACAAATAATTCAATTAATTTTGGATCTTTTTCAGTTTTATTATATAAAACAAATAGATTACAATGAACCGTTGTCTGTTCAGTTATAGACACACGGTATGACGCCATATGTGATAAGAACAAAAGAGTGACCACTCGCCCCGGCGGCTCGTGGCCACTTTTTTTGTTCTTATCACATATGACGTCATACCGTGTATCTATAACTGAACAGACAACGGTTCATTGTAATCTATTTGTTAAATAGACGAGGGCTGTTGTAGCGATAAATATAGAATAGTACTTAGACCAGCTGCTCTCAAACTCACGAAACTATATACTGTGAGATTTTAGATAAATGCAGACTGCTTTCGGTACTTATAAATAATAACTAATATAAACTAACAGAATTATAATTTAACCAAGGAGCAGTGTCTTCAAATGTGGTATAAAAACTGCAGAAAATACACAAAAAACTTTGACCCAAGAACCTTCGTCAGGAGAGTTGCATATTATATAGCAAGGTCATACTAACTCTCCTGACCAAGGCTCTTAGATTCTAATGTCTATTTTAGGACAGTTGTTATACTACATTTGGTGCTTAATTATATAATTACTGGATGGTTTACAATGGATGGAGTTGCTTCCATTGATTGCAGAAGTAGCCTTGAATATATTAATCCGAGTCTTTGTGCCCTAAATTAAATAGGGATGATGGAAGCTACTTGACACAAACAAGGATATTTATATCAGGGGACAGTTGTTCAAATGTAGTTTAGCACTAACCCCGGGTTAAATTTTAATTGATCCAGTGTTTTAGTTTATGTGCTTCAGAACCAGTGTTCGTTTAAAAACTTATAGAAAACATGACTTCTATCGGCGCAGAAATTATTTATGAAAAAAGATATTAAACTTTGTACACAATGTCAAGGGATTAAAAAATGTATTTAAAGATTTGCTTTAATCCAGGGTTACCCAAACCGGCTTTTAATCAATCGGCTCCTGATTGGCAGATGCTGTCATGTTAAGGGTATTTATAATATAAGTATGATATAACGAGCAATTTGATTGCCTACCGCGCGTGCATTGTGAGGCCATAATGCACGCTTCTGGCTTTTGAAGTTTTTGTTGCTAAGCAACATCTTAAATAACATGTAAGGAGAATTTCATTATTGATCAAATAAATAAATTTTGTTGTTCCCCTATAATTTCTTCTTATATTATAAAAGAATTAAAAAAGCTCGTCGCGTGCCTTTATGGTGTAATAATGCACTCGGGGAAATGTTGGAAGAATACTCGAGAAGCTTGTAAAACACTCGGCTACGCCTCGTGTTTTACAAGCTTCTCTCGTATTCTCCCAACATTCCCCCATCGTGCATTATTACACCATAAAGGCACGCGACTCGTTTTTTAATTCTTAAATATGGAACAAAGTTTCAACACCAAATCACCCCTGACGAAGACATTTGACTGGTCGAAACGTGGGGTCGTGAATGTAATTTTTTTTGCTGATTACTTAATCAAAAGCAGATTAGCGATAATTGTGATGTTTTTCTTGATTGCCCTATTCCAAGAGTTTCAAATTCTTGAATTTCCCGTTCTTAAGATACCCCTTGAAGTTATTTAATACAAAGTCAACGACCCTCCACGCTTGACTTGTAAAGGTACACAAAGCGGTTGCAGAAAGAGTGTTAGAATACCAATACGGCACTTCCGTTCACAACTTTCATAACACCAACAATTCCCGAGACAACACATATCATGATGTTCTTGTGTTTCCTGATAATCTGTTTGTTCGGTTCCCTTGAAGTCAGCGCTGGTGGCATTAATGACATCTTTTTATCGAGGTCCATTTACGTTCCTGACCACGACGTGCTCGGAATAATCAGCGAAAGCATTTTCAGCAATTCCAAAATCTACAAGCCATTACCCGCTTACTGTTTCCATGAAACCCCAGTTCATCAATCCCATAAATTTTTCACATTTTACCGAGATACGGCATCCTTTTATTCGTCAATTGCAAGGAGTGTAAAACTCGGCGCGTCGTTAGAAAGCGATTTCAGCCTACAGACAACACTGAAAATCCAATCGGGAAATGTCGCCGGTTCTAGTAACGCAGTCTCTGGAAACGAGTTGGTGATATTCGCAAAATCAACGAGCTTCGCGGTGGAAAAATCGTGTTTGGTTCAACAAGAAGCATTTACAAATGAGTTTCTTTCTGATCTGCATCGGCTGCCGACAGAGATTCGCTCGCCTTGGTTGCAAAGCTCTTGGCGGCTGTACGAGACTTTTCAATCAAAATATGGCAGTCACGTTTTGACTGAAGTTACAACGGGGTCCGAAATTGATCAAAGATCCTTTGCCAAGTTCTCAGAATCGTACACCGAGAGAGATTTCCAAGTGAAATCATGCCTGGGATTGGCTGGACCAGTGCCTATTGGGAAACTTGGTATTGACATTTGCGGGAACATTACGGAGGAAGAAAAAAATCGCGTGAGCAAACTCGAAATGACGACTACCCTGACTGTCAATGGCGGCACGAAAGAGACTCGCAACAGGCTCTTGAGGAATCGGACTGAAGAATTGATTGAACAATTTTTAAACGAAGCGAACACAACTAAAACACCAATCCGCTACAGGCTCGACCCCATTTGGAACATCATAAAACAAAGTTACATCGGCTCGTCTGACGATTTTATCAGAGGCGTTAATATGGAGTCGTATTACCTCGGTTTTTTGAACTATGGGTGCCCGTTTCAAACCAGCGGCGGGCAAATTTTGCAACAGTTTAACACAACGGCTTCAAGTACCCCGGAAAATCCTGATTACGAATGCACCTTAGCCCCAGAGGGCTGTCACAGTGATCATGACTGTCACTATCAGATTGGAATCTGGTGCGGATGTGAAGGCGATTCCTGTGTCAGATACAAGGACAACACACTGGATACCGGCAAAATTAAAACAACTGCGTACATAAATCATGAAAAGTGGGATTTGAAGGGATGCAAATGGAAACGTACTGGATTTACTTGTAAATGCGGTGACGAAAGAACGGAACGAAGAAAGGTGTGGCCAGGTGATGCTAGTCAGAATGAGATTCTCTACCATGCTCATAACAAAATGCTGCTGAAATACAACCTTCAGACTCAAGACCAAGATGGTATAAAGAATAGAGAAGACCTTTAATAATGATTGGCTTTTGATTTATTTACCTTATTCAACAACAATTTTTAGTGTAGTTTTTAAATAACTTTTTCTTGAGTTTTGTCAACTTGTACAGCACGGAAGGAACTCTTAAAGGCTTGGTGATAATTGTCGTAGAGCATGTCTTAACATTTCGAGTGCACCGCGGTGATGTTTGCCAATTTTTAATTCAATAAAAATATTTCAAACTTCAAATCTCCAGTCCAGGGGTTGGTTGTTCAAAAGGCGTTTAGCTTAAACGATGAAAAAGTTAAAAATGGAAAACCAAATGATCTATTCATTGAACAACTCAGCTGAAATGTTTCGATGTGAATAGTTTAATTGTCAATGGAAGTAAATGCATAAGATGCAGGTTCAGTCATTCACAAGATATATGAGAGTATTTTTAAACTTTGTCCACCGTTTAAGCTGAACGCCTTTCGAACAACCAGCGCCAGATCTTTAAAGAAGGCCTATTGTTTGCATGAATAACTACAAATATTCAGATATAATACAGCATGCGTTGCATCTTTGACAAATTAAGTCGAATTTAATGTTGTATTTTTTTTTACCAAATATAACAAAGCATTTTGACCAGCTTTTTAACATTGGAAATTATTTGGGGGGAGGGGGGGTGTTGCATCACCCCACCATCACATCCTTGGTGCACATTTTTGTTAAAACAACTGCAGGGTGATTTATTAGTAGAGAGGGCTGTTGTTGCGATAAATATAGAATAAAACTTAGACCAGCTGCTCCCAAACTCATAAAACTAAATACTGTGAGATTTTAGATAAATGCAGACTGTTTTGGGTACTTATAAATAATAACTAATATAAACTAACAGAATTATAATTTAACAAGGGAGCAGCATCTTCAAATGTGGTATAACAACTGCACAATTATACAAATGTGGTATAACAACCACTTAATTATATCATTACTGGATGGTTTACAATGGATGGAGTTGCTTCCATTGATTGCAGAAGTAGCCTTGAACATTATGAGCATAGAACAGCTGATTCAGAATTGTGTGAGGGGTCCCCAAAAGAACAAGCAATTGTACAAATATTATAATTATTCACTGGGAAAACATATTTTTATAGACAAAAGAAATTATTTTAATTGACAAGATCAATGAAATCTTTTTTGCTCAGTATTTCTGAGCCAAATTTGTAATCATGCATGGTTGGTATATAATTTTTAAATATGGGTAAATAATATATAAGGATAAGAGATTTAAACCTGGCACCAAAAATAATATCTACAATTAGCCTCAATAGAGCAATTATATACTCATAGGTTTTAGAGATTACTAAAATTTTGTCAAATTTCTGTTTTCAAGTTTTTGTTTTCAAATCTGAGTCTTTTAGAGAATAAAAGGCAGGCTTTGTTCAGGAGCAGTTCTTATTTCAGCTTGGCATTATATAATATTTTGGTTTCAACTTGCATGCAGTTATCATGGTATCTAGATAATGTTTTCTGATAAAGATTTTCAAAAAACCTTCTTTGGTTACATCAATATGCTTTATGCTAATATAGGCCACTTTAATGAAGCACAATTTAAGCCTACTTGGTCTTATAGCAACTATAGAATGCTCTTTATTTTTGCCACAAAAACTAGGGCAAGCAGGCCATCAGGAATGATAACTTCTAACCTTATAACTAAACTAACCTTCATCCAAATTCTCTGTCTCAACATTCACAACATCTTCTCTCTTTTCAATAATTTCTGCTTGTTTTGTTTTCTTCTTCTTTTTGCTCTTTTTCTTACTTGGTTTTGACTTCTACATTAGAATTTAAGCTTGTTTAACTTATAAACTCCTATGAACTTGAAGCTAATATAAATATAAATGATGATAAAGAAGTATTTCAGAAGGTTGACCTGACATTGCAATGCTTGTTACACTTAAATGTAAGTAAATTAGCTTGTAGGTACACCACATAGGTAATTAATACTGCAAAGATTTCGGTCCGTTAACCTGGGCCTGCATCAGTGCAATACCTTCATCTGCAGATTGCACAGTTTGCTGTGTGTGGTGAAAATATTCCCCAATCTTTCACTTTTTCACGTGTGTATGCAATAATTGAGACTCATAATTGAATCTGGAAGGCCTTGTGCACTTGCAAACTCTGCAGTTGGCAATAACGAACACAGACATAGTCATTTTGCCTGTTCAGCACAGTGCTTCCTAAGGCTAAACATGTATATAGATACTCTTATACATGTTGGCAATGCATCAATCATTTTCCACTCTAGGATATAACATAGATTTTTGTTTATTAATACACGAATTCACAAACTCTGATTAGCTAATATCTATGAATAAAATTCTCATGTCCAACAAGTGCCGTCATAATGTAGCATTTAACCTTTTTTTGCATGTTATTAAGGATCCTACTGACTGCCTGGGAAAATAAAATGAATGCCCAGGACTCTAAGTTATAAATCATGAACTTACCGCTATCATACATTCCAAATTTCCGTCATCGTGTTTCATAACTTTTCCGCCAACATCATTCTCTAATTCGTCGCCTTCCAAAACCTCAAGTGAAACAAATCCCTCCATATCACCTTGGAAAAAATCAACTGAATCCAAGCTCACCGGCTTCCATTTGCGTTTTCGTCTCCTCCTATGAGATGCTTTATCAGTGCCCTCCATTATTAGAGTAAAAGAAGTTACAAAAACTATTCGAATAGATATTATTCACAAGGTTAAATTGTGTGAATAGTTGACAAAAAATGAGCACTTTTGTCCGCCATATTGGTTTGAAGGCCTGGCTACTGAGTTAGCTCGTTCAAGACTCCCTAAAGATGAAGGCCGAGCAAATGCTCTGGAGAAACCGTTACTTTTGAGCATTGTTTGTAAATTGTATGATTGTAAAACGTTTTCATTTTAATCAAGCCTATTACTAGCCTCCTCCGCAAGCATCTATCCCAAGCCAAATATGCATTTTTTTAATACAATAAGAGATGTCTGCGGAGAAGGCTAGCCATTACCATGTATTAAGCTATTTATGAAGCCTATAATAATATACAGGTGGAGGACACCCAGGAGTGGATCCAGCACTAGTGCACTAATTTGCATTACAAAACAAAGTAGTTATTTTAGCAGTTTTCTTGTGTCATGCAAATTAGTGCACTAGTGCTGGATCCACACCAGAGGAGGCCTGACCAATCTTATGATGAATGAAATTTATTTTCTCAGGAAGGCCCAAAATTTTACCAGGACCCTCCACAGAATCTTAGAAGAATTATCATAAGATAACGGTTTAATGCTGTATACTCTTATTATTTGCCCTTATAACCATTCATCCAATCAGGAAACGGATATATTATATTATATTTATTATACAAATAGTTTCAAGGTTTCATACAGATCAATACTTATTCTATGAATATATAAATCTTAGCACCCTCCCCCCTCCCACTTAACAATCTTCCATCGTCTATGGATTTACTATAATACATAATTCCATGAGGTAGACAGTAAATACTGAAAAAAATTAATTCATCCCTTTTCATCGCATTAAAATTCTAAAAAGATAGCTCGCATATCAATAGTATGAGACAGATTAGCATGGGCCAAATTTTAAACTACAAACTCTTTACCATAATTTTTCAACATTTTAACTAACTGCTGCTAAATTTCTTTTGTCAGGGATGGGGAGGTGCAGGGCCTGAGTCCTGATGAAAAAAGACCCCAAAGCAGAGTGCTGCTAATTGCACACTATAGGTTCTGAATACATCCCAGTGAATATTTATACACCTGTGTACAGGGAAAATAAATAAATGTACAGTAGAAATATTGGATAAAGCAATAAAAGTTTCTTGTTCTTAAGTTCTTCTTCAACTAACAATGATCCAGCACTGTATGAAGCCCAAACCACACCAAGTAACTAAAAATTTTGAGAAGATTTTAAGGGTCTGAATTACACTGATGCATTGCAGAATAAATTACAATATGTTTTAGCCAGTTCTATAGACAATAAGCACTAACTAAGACATCACATACTCTCGGGCATTATATACAGGTCTGGAGCCAGTTGTTCTTGACTAGTGGACAGACCTAACATAACATCTGAGAACATTTTCCACACAACTGAACTTAAATCTCCTGCACTAAACATGCAATTGCAGACATAAAATCAATATTCAGACTTCAAAAGAAAACTGAATAACTATCCTAGTGCAGAGGATTGCTTTTATTCCAAATGTGAATAAAAAAATTCATCACAAACCTTGATTATTGTGTTAAGAAACGGTATACTGTGAAATACAATCAGTGCCAAAGCCGTTACAATCAGTGGCAATACAGAATAACCAATCACACCAAGACATTGGGAGAATGAGACCTGTCAGAAGTACGCACAGAAATAATATCAAACTGAGGAAAGAACTTTAAATTAAAAGTAGGTATAAATTATAATGCTTTGCAATATGTATTTATTCTCATCTCACCAAAAATCATAGAAAATTTATTATATAGTGAAAGCTATTCTGATGTTTGTTTCCTATTAGATATCACAATAACACAATCAACAAACAGCTTTTGTGCATGTCACAGGGTTTAAAAGGCTAATCTTTACAACATAAATTCATGCATGGATACACTAAACACAGAGCAAGGTCTCATTATAAGAACTAGTATAGGTAGACTGGTTAAAAAAAAAATGGTTTTAAGTCACGAATATTGTTAATTGATCCCAACAAAATGTTCTCTTTCACATTACCGTAAGATTGATAGCTGCAAGCTTATAGTTTAATTTTACTTAAGCCATGCACAAAGCCATCATAAGATGAAGAAGAAACAAGTCAGCCTGTGGTTAACCAGCTTAGCTAATGTAACTACTTCATATGTTATACATACCTCCCCACCAAGTACTCTTGCAAGAAGAAAAATTAACAATGATCCAAAAACCCAAATTGTGATGATCCATGAAACAACCTAAAGTACAAAAGTTTGGTAACTTGACAATCTATACATGAATACGTATGCTGAAGCCTGAAAGAGTTCTGAAAGGAGTTACCAACCCTGAACTGACCATACAGAGCAAGCAATGCATACAACAGCACAACAAATAAAGGTCCCCAGAAATCAGGATTTTGTCTCAACACATCTTTTTGAAAACCAAGTGATGGAAGTGGGAACAGAACACATCGAACTTTGTAGTAAATATCATTCACATCAATGTCCAGCTCTTCCCTACATTTAATATCAATATTAATCAAGTAGCATTATCCACTAGCTGTATAACTGACCCCTTAACTCTATACAACATTTTGCAACAACCAAAGTATATACTCTTTTAAGATTGAATGTTCACTAATACTGGTGTATCCAGGGACCAGGTTCATATGTGTGTGGTGGATTATTTGGTGGAGTGGGGTATTCCCTCACCCCCAGGGGGGTGGAGGGCATACTAACTCTATATGACAATACCTACTATCTACTATCACACTCTAATACCACCCTCTCCTTCCCTTGCATTCATATACTATCCTAGCGTCACCCATCGACTATTTATATTTATATATATATTTTCATATTATAGTACTCTTTCTACTTTCTCTCTACCTTCGAACCATGCAAAGAACGATTGATGACTTACAACAGCGGTTTATCCATGTCGTCGTCATCTCCCGTATCGTCTACTTCTAAAAGCCATGCGAATTTCTTCTTGTTAAAAATACTGCCCAAGTTGTAGGCATTCGAACCAGCATCGCTGTCGGCCGCGTTTGGCTGCTGATTGGTCTCTATGCTTCCAGAGTAATCCACATTAAAGTCTGGCGACGAACTGCGAAACGTAAACTCATCCTGCAAAGGTCTATTAGAGTTGTAAGAATCCGCCGTGTTTTGTTGAGACGAAACGGAATACAAAGGCACTGAAGTTTCTTGTTTTTCGGTCGCCATATTTGTATTTTGTAAACACGTCACCAGTCTCACTGATCTCAATTACGACCTTGTCTGGAGAGACTGGGAGACATATTGCAAATTATGCGTACGTGACACCTTATAGTTTTTACTTATTTATTTATTTATTTGATTGAAGTATAATTTTTATAGATTTTGATACATTTGAGATAATTATGCACATGACCAGTAACACATACATGCAGTGAGATATTAATCTTAGGCAGTTTGCAATTACCATTGCATTAACAATTATAGGCACTATGAAAGCGTAATTCCATTGGAGGTTGTTGTCTTGGGTCTGGTCGACATATTATACAGAGAAAAAGTTGTTTGAAGGTTTTTCTGTACGTTTGGTCAAGACAAGCATAAATTATTGGATTGCAGAGGCTGTTAAATAACGGAAGTATATTCAAAATAAAAATAGGTGTAGAGATCCTGTCTAAATCAGATTTTGGAAAATAATTTGGATAGTAAAACCACAGCAATAATAAAATAAACCAAGGACCCCAGCAACATAAGAAAACTCCAACGACAACCAACAGCATTCTCACCACTTTCATATCTCGACGTAATACAGTTCGTTCACTCTGATTATTTATTGTTTCACCCAGTTCGCCATTCGCGAGCATTTTGCTCCGTCTGTGGGCAACGAGTAAGATTAGAGCTTACATAATCAGGATGATTAATGCGGGTAGAAAAAACACGATGATCAATAAAGAAAGGTAAAATAGTCTGACTGTGTTCAAGTCAACGCGACGACTGCAAGAACCATAGCCGGTGGTCAAGATTCCATAACTTCCTGAATTGGGAGTGGCGGAGTATGTACCAAGCGATATTGAAATGAGAACAATGACAGCAATTATTCTCAGTGATCTGGAAGTTTTCATTCGTGATTTGTACTGAAGTGGTTTGCTGATTTTGAGATATCTGTCAAAACTGATGAATGCCAGGGTATAAATGGAGGTTGTTAAGGTAAAGGTATCAATCCACACAACAAAACGGCCCAGATGAACAGACATTCTATGTTGGGGTGTATGGGCAATGTGCCGTTGATACACCTTCAGTGGTGTTATTAATAAACCAACCAAAAGATCAGCGACAGCCAGACAAGCGATGAAATATTTATTTGGTTGATGAAGACTTCTTTCTCTCCAGGTCGCAATCAACACCAAACCATTTCCCAGAATTGTAAATATGGTGATCAAAATGAGTAAAATTTTCTCGACTAGATCAAATTGTTCCTCAAATTTTTCCGGATCACTGCTTGTCATTCCAGACATGTCTATTAGTCTTGTGTATGAATATTGAATATATGTTCCAGTGATATTGTCAACGTCCTTATAAACTCACTCTGTATAGAATAAATAAAAAAACAATTTGACTTATCGATCAGACAGTGCCATCCATTACAGGATCAGTTTTCTTCCATGAAAAGCAAAGCCCTCTTTGACATGCGCATGCCTTACCCCAACCTGCCCAACAACATATCTTTCTCCCTCTCAACGCCAGTGCCTTGTCTTGTCGCTGCACGATCGAAACACAATCTTATATTAAGTTTTGACTGAAATTAAAGGAGAAAAACATGACAGAAACGTTTAAGGGGGCCTGGTTTACAACACAACATAACTAAGGCATGGAAAACTGTGACAGAATTTTCATTTTTTCCATATCGTAATACGACAAAGATATGTTGACTGGCTATGATCATCAAATTAGGAAAATAAAGCTAGTTATAATCTATTAATACCTCTCACTGTTACTGTCGAATATATTAGGCGTAGCTCTCTCTCAGCCCTCACTTCTCTGACTTCAGATCGACCAATTCTTGTGAACTTCTCGGTGCTCTTCAATCTTCATACACACTTAAAATTTCAAATTCTCAATTCCCATTCCTATTCTCAATATGACACGCGTATTTTAATAAAAATACAGCATCAATTATTATTGATCTAATTGCCGCATGACCAATCAGATCCCAGAGTCGTAATTCTCTAAACGAAGATCCCTTGTAACTTATGAAGACCTTCTTCACGAGAGATGTGGAACAACTCTGGAATTGCGAAAGCTTTTTAAAACACTCCAAACGAAGTGCCCTTCTTTTGCATGTTTCCTCAAGGCGGTTGATACGCCACATTTCACGAAAAGTAAATTATTATGTTGTTCTAGAGTTCACTTCTTTATAGATCACAAGCCTATTGCCAGAAGAGCTGAAATTCATTGATCATTCTGTTTGCGGATGTAATTATGATTACTTGAAAGTTCCCTCGAGGAACGCTCCTTTCTTAAATGTGATGCACAACAGCAAGAATTATATTCGTTAACGTCAGCTGTGTTGATGAAACTGCAAGTATAATTCATTAATTAGGATAGATTTAATTACTTTTAAGTGCATCTAATTACATTTTTCGCCTCATCATGCATTTTTCATAAAAACGATCGATGATTCAACGAATAACAAACAAATGCCAAAACCTAGTTGATTTGTGCTTATAATTAAACGAAAACTGATTAGTTGCAACAAATAATTAAACACCTAGCTCTCTCCGAACCAGTAAATTTTGCATATTGAAAATTATAGCTATTCGTCAAATAATCAAACGTACTTTATAATTCGAACAAATTGCAGAAATGAAGGAGCAGTATACTCTCAACATATGAATATTTTTTGCTCAATGAGAACCTTTTCATTATCCGTAACAAACATGGTTCCTGAACATATCAAATTATATTATATATACGTTAAACGTAATGGCAGGACTTCGTATAATGGTTAATTACATTATGGGAAAAGAACCACACTGACCTGTAAAGTCCTGGCTCCCTCTACTTCTATCAGCCTCTGCATATTCAAAAGAGCTCAAGCTTCAGGCTATCAGAGGCGGCACCACGGGGAAAAACTGGGGGGGGGGACATACCCCCCAGTCCACCTCAAAATCAATTTTCCAATTCGTTCATAACCGATGAGAAATACGGGGGGAGTGAAAAGTTTTAGTTTTAATGTCGATTTCACATAACTTTTTAAAATGCGGTTGCGTTGCGTTGCAGTACAGCCAGGTTTACACAACATATACGAACTAGTAAATTTAGACTTTTGAATTAAGATTATGCAGTGCCTATCATTATACAGTTTTGTTTAATTTAATAAACTGTTATTGGTATATTAACATGCAAATGAGATATGAGGAAAATGTTTAGAAACTATAGCCTTCTTCCTATTAATAGCTTTTATTTATTTATTTTACTGATTTCTTTTGGCAGTTGTTTCTTGTTTTCAGCGGAACAGCTTGTTAGCTACTCTACGTAAGTTTCATTTATCTCGAGGTGAGCTAATTCTATTGGTGGGTGTTGTCTTCTTGAATCTCGTCCACGACAGATTATTCGGCGAAACAAATGCTTGAAAGCTGTTCTGTACGTTCGGTCAAGACAGGCATAAACTATGGGATTGCAGAGACTGTTAAAAAATGGAAGAATGCTAATTATAAAAGCAATTGCGAAGATTGTGCACCAGTAGTCCAATGAAACGCTCTCCCAATCAACAAAGTTTGGATAGTAAAGATTCAACAATACAAAAGTAAACGTAGGACCCCAGCAAAATATGAAAACTCCAACGACAACCAACAGCATTTTAATCACTTTCATATCTCGACGTAATGCTGTTCGTTGGTTCTGATCGTTGATTGTTTGACCCAGTTCACCATTCACGAGCATTTTGTTTCGTTTATGAGCGACAAGAAAAATGAGAGCGTACATAATAAAGATGATAATTGTAGGCAGAAAAAACACAATTATTGATAAAACAAGCTGAAATACTTTGACTTTATTGAATCCAGGATAAAAAATGCATTCACCAAAAGCTGGATTCAAAATGCCGCGGCTCCCGGAACGAGGAGTGGCGGAGTAAGTGGCAAATGAAATTGAAAAAAGAACAATGGCGAAAATGATTTTCAACGATGTGTAATTTGTCATTCGAAACTTGTACTGAAGTGGCTTGCTGATTTTGAGATATCGGTCAAAACTGATGAATGTCAGTGCATAAATAGATGTTGTTATCGCAAAGGTGTCAATCCACACCATGAAACGACACAGATGATTGGGGATTGAAAATAGCGATTCAAAATTAAGATCGAGTTGATACAGCCGTAGTGGTGCCACAAATAAACCAACCAAAAAATCAGCGACAGCCAGACAAGCGATGAAATATTTATTTGGTTGATGAAGACTTCTTTCTCTCCAGGTCGCAATCAACACCAAACCATTTCCCAGAATTGTGAATATAGCGAGGAAAATTAGTATAATTTTCTCGCATAGAAAAAGTTGGTTAAAAAATTCATGAAGTTTTAATGTATCGCTTTTTGACAGCCCAAATATTCCAGTTTCATTTGTCTGATTGTTTGTAACTGTGATGTTGTTTGTGATCGTCATTGCAATCTTGACTCTGTGTGAAATAATTAAGTAAAACACGTCAAATTAATCGATGGTTTTAAAATAACTAACATATCGACTTCAAATATCAGTCGGTTGCATGGTCATTGATATTTTTATAATGCTCACAGTAAAAATTCACACCTACAGAGTACAGACATGTCACCCCACAAGCCTACACAGTCCCTTCCTACGCCAGCGCCTGCGAACTGGGTATTGTTGTTGTTGCAAACTTTGGCTTTCAAATGCTCGTTATTAAAGCCCAATGGCTATACGTGTCTTTGAAGCCCGGTTCTCATATACTATTGTCATACTACGAAGAAAATTTATTTAAAATAACAGGCACTGAGACACCTTAATTAATCAATGATCACCGACAATAGCCATCGGCAACGGTCGGTGACATATTTGAGTTTATTTGTTATTTGACATAAGGCTTTATTAACATAAATTAGCATCACTGAAAGTGCATCTTTCATTGTGTGACCAATCAGGCTGCAGGTATATGGGTCAGCCAGCAATCAGGTGACGAGGTTTTGTCAATATCGTTGTCAAATATACTTCAATCCCAACTT